AAATAAACTTGTGTGCACTTCACTTGTACACGTCCTTTCATAGAATAGGTGACGACCACAATATTTATCGCTCGTGGAAGCATCCAGAAGCTTCTCTATTTACACATTTCTTCGTCGTCTCGAAGGAAAGAGAAATAAAGTTGCATGCATAGCAGCATACTGCCATTTTACAGTAATGGTAGCAAAAAAGGCAAGGCTTTATTTGTGCAAAATCAAGATGTTGACATTGGTGAAAGCATTTCTGCTGTATAGGAGTAGTTTTATACTGAAGCAGAAACAGAACGAGCCTTATTCTGTGGGCGAGAGTAGATGTCATCGACGATATGTGGGTATCGACTATTGCAACAAACTTAAATGATAATAATGATGATTTTTTTCAGTAAAATAAAAATACTAATTCACAAAACGAAACACATCATGAAAACTTCGTCATTATTTTCTTAATCGGATGGAGTGTGGGTGTGGATCTAATGTGGATGCGATTGGATCGAAGACGACATTAACACCTACATCCCAAACTATTGCTAAATGATAATAAAAGTAGAGCAAATAACTCACCTGATTTTATTAATCAAGTTAGGTAGATAAAAAGATTTCATTCGAATGAAACTTTATCATTTTTGACAAGATCATGGAAGTGACGAAGTCATGACTTCTGTTTTTGATCAGAAGAATTTGATGAAGTCTGTTTTTTAGCAAAATTCATCTATTTTCGGCAATGTTATAGATCTCTTTCAGATGTTCTTTTAATATATTCTATTTGAGAATATAGTAGAAAGAAGAGAAAACTGATAATTATTTCATTTATAAATAAAAGAAGAAAAACAAACTTAAAAGGTAATATAATATTCATATTCTTTTTCCGAAAATGAAATCAAAATCTCGATGTCTATCCTTGAAGTAGCTATTCCATGATCTTTTTGGAATCCAATTATTCTCTTTTCAATTGAAATTCCATTTATCATCTTCAATGCAATAATATTCAATGGAGTGAGACAATTTCGTCAATCTCCTAGTAGTTATTATGTTGTTGGTCAATCAATAGCCGATCTGGGTGCATTGTTAATCGTTTTTCTTCAAATTTAACCATCAACATCAGTTTCTGGTTCGTCAATTGCATGCAAGTTACTAGGCTTCTTTAGTCAGGTAACAGTACCTTGTGCAATGAGTTTCCTATGTTTATCTGCATTCAATCGTTGGGCAAGTACATCTCGATCAGCTCGAATTCGAGAATTAAGTTCAACTGACGTAGCTCATCGTCTCTTTCTATTCCCTCTTGTTTTCTGCTCATTGATTTGCATCCCTTATCTTATTTATTGTGATATTATATCTCCTATTTATATTTATTAGTTCACCAACGATCTTTCTGCTCAAATTGCCATATATTTTCTCTCATCCATATTCTCTGCTATTTTTCCTCTTATTATTTTAATCATATTCTGTATGTTAACATATCGAAATATTCGTGTTGTTACTCGTATTCATTAACAATTAGTTCAAAATCGTTTATCAATGTGGGAACAACAAATAACGAGAATGATGATTGAAAAAGCCTTGTAAGCGTATCATTTACACTTCCTCGAGCTATCTTCGCAATCTATACAAAAGCAACAGTGAAAGAACGTGAAACGAGAAGTTTTGATCGATTTTCCATTGAAACTCTTCTTGATCAATTAACTGTTTTTATTTTTTTTATAAATTTTGTTTCGTTCTTTTATATTTTTCTTCTTTCTTCACCTCTACTTTGACAAACAATTAAAATGTATCTCAAACGTCTATTCAATTTTGGACATAATCAAGTCGATCTCATGCTCATTGCTCTCACAGCACCACCTCTTATTGCGACGCACACTACGAGACTGAATCTTCATTTGACTAATAAAATCGAACAAGTTCAATAAATGACGACAATATTCATTTGTAAATTTTAATTTCGTTTAAAGTTTAATAAAACACTCAAATATTGCGTAAGTCAAATTCTATCAAACTACTCGTTGTTTTTTCTTCCAATGAAGTAACATAACAAAGAACTTCTCTCAACGAATTTAAACACTGCAGGTTTAACTTTTAAGATCAATATATGACCTGTACTCGTCATCCAAATGTTAAACTACTAAATTCTTCCCAGCTAGAGTCAGTCAGTTACAAATAAAAAAGTCTGCATGTTATAGACAGATAACTGTAATAAACAAACTTTTTGCTGAAACATTTTCTAAAACATACTTTTAAAAACGAAAAAAACAATTTCCTCCGACAGCTGAATATTCACATTGCTTGATCAAAACATGCACGTGTCCATATGAAGCCATTTTTCTATTGTAAACCTTGCCTGATTTAATGGCGTGTTATGTTGGTATGTGTTTGTACTGTGCTGCCTTTGGGCACCCTAGATTGTTTATGCAGTAAAATGTAAAGACAAATCACAGTTAAAGTTTCAATTTTTTGTTTCGAACATTGGACAATTAAAAGAAAAAATGAAGTAGTACTAATATCCATTCTATGTGCATACATCAATGGCGAACATAGCTCTTCCTAGTCTACCAAGTGAACTACTCCATCGTATTTTTTGTCCATCACAATAACAAAACTATATTTCTATGGATTCGTCGTATATCTAAACGACTCTACACGATAACTAACACACATGACTGACTTGACCTCAACGCAAAACCAGGCTCAAGGGCTGATTTTGAGTTGATTTTTCGTCTCATTCTATCATCCATTATCAGTTCATTGACTAAATCAAACGATGGTGTGGGTGTGAGTGCGGGTTTTCTCTTCACACGCACCCATACCCTACATCCAACAAAAAGTGGCCAATTTTGAATCATTATTAATTGGTTCATGAGAATGACTTCAATAACATTGATTTTCCTTTTTATGCTCAGATTTTTAAAAATCACTAGCAATGAGTATGTCGGAGTTAACTTTAAAATGTAAAGTAGTAAATGTTTATTTGTGTGATAAATATCATGTTTAATGAAAACAGACCTAACAATAATGACCAAGAGAGTAAAAACAACCTATAATAAAAAATAGACGGTATATGAAGGTTGGTCTTGGTTGATGTGGGTTCGGATGTAATTGTGTGATAAATTCAAGTCCCACAGCTAGTGTGTTCACACCTAGACCCCGCACCTACACCAATATACCCATCAGTTTTACCTATTTAATAAACATTTACTCCTTTACATTCTAAAGTCAACTCCTACAAATATGTAAGATATCTATGTATCCTATGAAAAAGAGTATGGAACCGAGTGTGGCTCGGGTGTGCGTGTGTTTGTTAATGAGGAACAAGTTAAAACCATTGTTCTCACTCACAACCCATCTTACATCCACGTTTGTTTCGACTATTCCAATACAAAAAAGATGACTTTCATCTATCATTAAGTGTTATTGGTTGTTCTACGAACTTTTTTTTATATCCGATATTTTACCTTTGAAGATTTTATCTTTCGACCTTATTCTTTTCGAACGATTAGCACCAGCGGTGTAATCAGGAGGGAGAGGGTAAATGGGTAATTGCCCCTTTCATTTGGAGGTTTGCCCATTGTAATTCTAGTTTTTTAGAATTGTTTATTTATTTTTGAAATAGATAGTAACTGTATTTTTTTCTTCCGTCTGAATCACACATGCCCTCTTTGTTTATTCTTTCTGTGAAAAATTAAGAAAAGAATCGCTTCTTGTATTTTAACTGTAAGTTTGGATCAACGTGAATTCGCTTTTATTGGGAAAACACTAATCACGTAAAGGCCAAATGTTCGTTATATTTTTAGTTATCTTGGCCACATTGCCTGTATCAACAGCTTCTGCTAAAAGAAGTTTCAGTCAAATATTGAGAATTCAAAGTTATTGTCGTTCTCCAATGAAACAAAATAGGCTAAACGGACTTGCTGCTGTATACATTCATGAAGATCTCGATATAAATCCAGATGGAATATTGAAATTATATACATAACTGCATCATCGTCGTCTTGATTTTGGTGTTTAAATTTGAAATATAAATGTTATAAACAGAGACATTAAAAATAGACTAAAACACACATGACTCAGGCTTAAAATCTGAGTTTGATGCATATTTGATTAAAAGAACCTCATTTTGAAAAGGATGTGGGTGTAAGTGAGATGTGGGTTTTAACCTCATCATCACCCACATCCACATCTAAAAAAAAATGATTAAATCAATATTGCTGTTTTTTTTGTCATTCTATTTTTTTCGTTTTTTTTTGGTAGCCTTTCTCTCTAAATAAAGCAGTAAAACGTGACAATTATAGTCGATGTTTTATATATACTGTACTTTTTTACATTTTTGTCGTTCTTCAACAAACTTACGAGTAATAAATCACGTGTCTATTAAGTATTTCAATTGCTTTTATATTCTACAGTGTCGAGATTTTTGTTTCTAGATTCGTAATTTTCGCGATTTTGCACGTTTGAGATTTTTTTTCTAGATTTTTGATCTTCGAGCTTTTACCTTTCCAGCAATTAATATTAATTCAAAAGTGACTGAGTTTTTCGACGACTTGCTCAGCAGTAGTAGTGAGAAGATTCCTTGACAAATCGTCTATGCATCTACTGAAAGAGTCTTTTTTTTCTCACTCTTCTTGTAGTAATGATCATCATTATCACCTTTATCCTCTGTTTATATGAATTTGATCCTGAACTCTTAGAAAGAAAATAATTAACGAAAAAAAAGTTTCACGTTGGTTTTTACCTAGAAAAATTGATTGCTATGTGATGATGTGTATCTTATCTTTTACAATATGTGTCAGAGCATACTACTTTCTTGCGTCAAATTGTGTCAATAAATGAAGTGGGCTTTTTCTTTTCTGTGTCTCGAAACATTCGTTACTCCACACAACCTATTTGCTCTACGATTCAACGAGACACTATTTGAGTCATTCCTCGAGTTTTCGCCTTTTATTCTGTTTTCTTTTACACACCTCTTTTCTTGTATTATTTTACTTTTCTAAGAGAAAAAATTAATAAGTATTGTGATGCCGTCCGATCCAGTGGAAAGATACAAAGAATTACTTGCAAAGGAACCTAGAATTGATGACAAATATGTGATTATTGATGTTAAATGGTTAAAACATTGGAAACGCTTTATTGGTATCGATAAATCAGATGAAGAACAAGTCACTGAACCAGGTCCAATAGACTTCACAACATTAGTCGATCCAGCAACAGCCAACAGTTCCAATGAAGTTCAACTTCGTTCAGATGTTGTTGAAGGAAATGATTATACCTTCATTCCATATGGACTTTATATAGAACTAGAACAGACATATAACAAAATCGGCCTCGAAATAATTCGTAGAGTAATCCCACAGGGTCAATTTCAAACTGTAATTGAAGCCTTTCTTGTACCGCTACGACTACGCGAATCAAGAGATGATAATGCAAAAATAAAACAAATTTATCGTAGTCGTCGAACAAAGATAGAAGAAATAAAAAAAGATATTTGTAATGAATTTTGTATTCAATTAAGATGGAACTATCGATTATATTCATCAGTGGATGAAAACGGTCAAAAGTGGGAACTCGTTGATGATGGACTATCGTCAACTCTTGAAGATGTCGGTTTAATAAAAAATGCATTTATCACATATGAAGACCGATCATTATCACTAGAGACAGCTTCTTTATCAAGAACACAGTTCCCTCGAGGACTTTGTGGTTTATCAAATTTAGGCAATACTTGTTTCATGAATTCAGCCTTACAATGTTTATCAAATGTTCCAGCACTAACAGTATATTTTCTTAGTGATACATATAAAGAACATATAAACCTTGATAATCCATTAGGTATGAAAGGTGATGTTGCTATAGCATATGGTAAATTAATACATGAAATGTGGTCAGGTAATACAGATTTTTGTGCACCAAAATTTTTGAAACAAAGTGTTGCAAATTATGCACCACAATTTGGTGGTTATTCACAACAAGATTCACAAGAATTTATGTCATTTTTACTTGATGGTTTACATGAAGATTTAAATCTTGTCAAAGTAAAACCATATGTAGAAAAACAAGATGATGATGGAAACGCTGATGATTCAACATTAGCTAAGGAACAATGGGAATATTATCGAAAACGAAATCAATCAAAGATTCAAGATATATTTCATGGACAAATCAAATCTCTTGTGCAATGTCTTACGTGTGGAACAAGAGCACGTACATTTGATCCAATCTGTTTTCTAAGTTTACCATTGCCAGTTAAAGCCAAACTACGAAAATTTAAAATCGATTATGTTCGTTTAAGTGGACAAATTAAAACTTATCATATTAAATGTGATGAAGATGGTCATGTATGTAATTTAGTTCAACAGTTTTGTAATCGTTTTGAAGAGAAAAAGAAAAAAATTCATGAAAGTGAATCTATGGTAACTGATGTCGCAACGAAATCTGGTGAAACTAATCAAGATGAAGATGAAGATGAAGATGAAGAGGATGAAGATGAAGATGAAGATGAAGAGGATGAAGAAGAAGATTTTACAAAAGAAGACGATTATGATAGACATAAACCTAAACCAGATTATATTGTAGCAGTTGAAGTTTACAAACATAGAATTAATTTACAATATAGAGACAATACTCCGTTAACAGCTATATTCAAATATGATCAAATTGTTTTTTATGAGGTACCTAATTCATTAAAAAAAGAAGACAGTGAGAATATTTTAATTCCATGCATATTTCGAGATGACTATTATCACTATGATTTTGGCTTACCTATTTATCTTACTGTACCAAGACAAAATTGTAAAGGAAGAGATATTCAAGAAGCATTGCAGGTAAGAATTCATTTATATAAGACGTCTACATTTATATTGATAAGTTTTCATAGAATCGAAATAATTTCGTTCATTTTGAGAGAAATTAATGACTGAGCGAAATAACTTAGAATATGCGTATATTGATCATTATGTACTTTCAAAGTACTTTGTAAATACTTAAAAGCTATAGATTGGTAGCTAAAACAATTAAGGAAGAGAAATTTGTGTTAGGACAGTCTTTTTATTGACATCATCCAAATGGTCTCGAACAAATGTTAGAATAGTTACCACGCCATAGTTTACATAGGAAAAGATGTATGTAATCAGTTCATTTTGTCCAATAAATGGGCATATATGCAAGTTTATTTAAGAAAAACGATGAATTCTCAATTTTACTTCTTATTTCAGAATGAAGATCACATTGTTCATTTACAACTATCGTTTAGTACAAAAAGTTGTTAGCACAATTGCAGCGGGATTAAAATGTGAAACACAATGTAGCTGCTGTTGCACAATCTCGATGAAAATTGTTCTGACTAATCTAGCCCATAAAAACAGAAATTCATTTTTTGTTTGATATAAATCGTTGATGAATTTCATATATTGAACTTTAAATCTAAAATGCAATCAATTATTTTGATTATTAAGTTGACCAGTTAAATCAGTCTTTCCTCATAGTTATCAATTTTCTACAAATATCACTTACGAATAAATTCGATCATTTAGAAATGAACAAACTACGACATCTAACGTCCATTAAGAATGACATATAATACTAAATGTCTCCAACACTTTCTCATCTATTTATTATGATTTATTTTTTAGAAAACAGTCAGTAAGTTTCTTCCATTATCTTCAACGGATTCATCAGATAAACCATTTTATACTGCTTCATTGACAATCAGCCAAAGTTATTATCCAACAACTCAACCATTAGAATCACTTCTTGATGAGCATATTGATTTTACTCGCATAAGTAGAACACTTATTGTTGATGTTGTATCATCAGTTGTTGAACAATATAAAAAACGAGAAGAAGAAAAACGAGAAGAAAAGGATCCTGTTTCACCTATGACCTCTGGTGTTCAAACACGTAGTCAACAAAAACGAGCAACAACATTATTAGATTGTTTTAAATATTTCACAAAAAAAGAAGTATTATCGGATGACGATCTATGGAAATGTTCACAATGTAATGAATTAAAAAAAGCTACAAAAAAAATTGATATATGGCGTTTACCAAAAGTTTTAATTGTACAATTAAAACGTTTTAGTTATACGCGTCATTTTCGCGATAAAATTGATTTATTTGTTGATTGTCCAATACGTGATTTAGATTTATCCAAATTTGTTCTAAATTCAGATGAAAAACCACAAGCAAAATATGATTTAATTGCTGTTAGTAATCATATGGGCTATTTAGGTGGTGGACATTATACAACACATGCAAAAAACTCTATTGATAAAAAATGGCATACATTTAATGATTCACATGTATCAGAAGTCAATGAAAATGGTATTATTGGTGAAGAAGCTTATGTTCTTATTTATCAACAACAAAGACAATTATTATCAGAAAACGAATGTGCACAGAAATGAAATGTACATTTAATTTTTTTGTGAAAACTCCAATTATTTCTCTTTTCTTTCCAATAATCTTTTTATTTCAATTAAATTAAATGAGAGAAAATTTTCATATATATTTTGATATTTGTTTGTTATCAATGTTCAGTTTTTTTCTGTATTTATTCATGAACAAAATATAGCAAATTCCTTTTTTTTAATTTCATTTTTGTTACAAGTTATTCAACATTAATGATCCAATAGCACGAACTCTTAATAATTGTTTGAGAAATAGTTCATTCCCAAATATTTGTACAACTTTTATATCTAGGTTCAATGGGCTACTGTCCACAATTGGATGCTGTTGTGACTATTTAATTACTATTCTTTGAGACATTTATCAGTACCTGTTGTTATGAGAGAACAGTCAGATTTAATATTATTAGCAAGTTTCATTGACTTTTCATATAAAAAAAGACTTTGTTACATTGTATTGTACGACGAATCAATACATGGAATGAGTAAATGCATAATTCGCAAAAAAATTATAGTTAATTAACTTTTTGTTTAGACCCTGAAAATCATCGTATCGTTTGGAATAATATAATTAAAGCTAAAAAACAAGATAAGCTATTCTATTAACATCATATTCAATGGCTGAATGTGTGATGTTTTATGTTCACGTTCAGCAATTACGGTTTATGGACAATTTAAATGTCTAGGTACACCACAACATTAAAACACCGTTTTAGTACTGGCTATTATTTAATATTACGTCTTGCAAATGAATTATCGATACAAATAGCATCAAATATTAACACTACTCAACCATATCTTTCCGATTCAAATATGACGGCTTAAAAAACAATAGATTTCTAAAACGTTCACTGATCTTAACGATCATACTTCAAATTATATCTCTAACTGTGAAAAATGTTGTTGATATATGGTCAAATATTGAATATGAATAAATTCTTGTTCTAATATACAAACTACTTCCTTATGGCATATCTGGAGAATTCAGTAAAAGGATGCTGAAGATGTGTGTTCCAAAGCAGAGAAACGATCGAGCATAAAAAACTTACCTTGTGAAAAAAAGATTGTATACTGATAACATTTGGCGTTCGAACTACATAATACCTATTGTGGTAGATAGAGCTGAGACAAAGCTCTTAAATAGAATTGATTTCATTTTGAAAAAAATTCATTGTAGCTAGAGACAATAATTTTCGAAAAAGTGAGTGAGTATAGGCGGACGTACAAGTTAAGGGATTGATCGAGTTATTAGCTTGTTTGTGAAATTGTGATACTATTGGTAATGATCAATCGACGTTTGAACAGTTATTTTACATCAAAGACCGAAAACAAAGCGAAGCAAACTCAAACTCGAACCAGTTAAGTCTGATTTAATAACGAAATAGGAAAATGGTCTAACATATCTTCAGGCGACATTTCTAGAGACGTTCACAGTTTAAATACATATATAAATTATTGTGAACAATTGATGGTTTGTTACTTTTATTAAAATGTTCATGTTATAATATTGTTGAATATTCTGGTAGAGCAACACCCACGCCCACACCTAGAATGCACACATAAATTAACTAACATGAATTTACATCAAGGATAAGAAGTATTTTTTTAAGAATATTCAATGAATTTAACTGAATCTTACGAGAGAAGCACCCGAACTGTTTAAAAGCTTTTGAGTTCGGACTTTGTGCATAAGGTAGATCCCAATGAGATATAAAAAAAAACCCAAAATGCCAAGTGCCCATAGGTCTTTCCTGCAAAGTTATAGGTGTTTTACTGAAATTTTAACTTATCGTAGCGTGTGCACTAAAGAATCAAATGACGATATTTCGAGCTGAAATTTTGCCTACAGATAGGTCTACAAGTAAATAGAATGTTCTGAAAATTTTAACTTAAAAGAATGCTTCCTTCACGAGATATCGAATTCCTAAAATGTTTTATATTTCACGAAAGATTCGAGAACCTCATGTTTTTTCGGGGGTTTCAATATCTCGAGAAGGGAACGTTCTTTTGAGCTGAAATTTTCAGGACATTCTATTTACTAGTAGTTCTATCTGTGAGCAAAATTTCAGCTAGAAACATCGTCATTCGATTCTTTAGTGCATACAGTACTATAGGCTAAAGTTTCAGTAAAACACCTATAACTTTGCGTAGAAAGTCTATAGGCACTTGTCCTTTTGAGATTTTCTATATCTCATTGGGATCTACATTATGCACAAAGTCCGAACTCAAAGGCTTTTAAACAGTTTGGGTACTTCCCTCGTTAGATACCAATACATATAGCAATCTATCAACTTATCTGCTAATCTACTTTCTATCCATTTATCTACTTTGTTACCTAACCACTTACCTATATATCTATCTATCTAACTAATTACCTACTAACTATCTTTCTACCTACCTACCTAATTATCTGCCTATCTAACTATCCACCTACTTAACTAACAAGTTAATTTTAACTATTTGTCTTATTACCTATTTGTAGATTGACCGTACTTCTAAAAACTTAATACCCCGCTTAGCAGATTACTCGTAGATATGTTTATCTAGTTAATGTCGATTTCAGATTTAAGCGAATCTCAGCTTTTGTGGCATAACAATCAAGAGCTACAGTGTGTGTTTTGAGCACTATCTATAGTTAATATTGCTCTGTTGTTTTTTTACATAATCAACAACAAATTCTCTTGCTTTTCGTGTAGGATACATGATCCGACGTAATATTACAATTGGAAATATATTTTTAGCCTGGTCGGATGGGGACCATCTCCAAAATTCACCATATGCTCAATAAGAAAAGTAAGAGAATTTTTGTGTCGATTATAGATACTATTGAAAATCCATAAACTGTTTAGTTCTTATATTATTATATATAAGTACATATATGACAGAATTCTTTTATTCATTATCAAAATAAAGGATTACACTACAATAAAATGTGTGGCACTTATGTGTTGCTAATTATTATGTTGCAATTAGAATATGTTGTATTATGAATAATGTTATGGTCTATCTGCTGGCTATTCATTCACTGTTTTGTTTTGTGCATACAGCTACATCTAGCCAATTCAATTGGAAAAGTTAGACTTATGTATTTTCATATGTCTTCTTTTTTTAAATTATTTCTCGATTAGTTCTTGGTCAAGAACATACCGATTGATCAATGATCGAGAGAGGACCGCCTCGAAGCGGTACGATCGAGTTCAGAAGACATCGAGACGGCTACATCACAAAATCTGACCACCTTGAATTTTAAGAATAAGTCATCAATTCAAATTAAATTTAAAAAAACGTGATTATTTGCTTGTTCAGACAAAAATGAACAATACACTGAATAGTAGATTTGAACCATGTTTCTAGAATGTGTCGCATGTGTTGTGAAAGAAAATGATGTGCCGCTGTTGAACAGAATGTGTCGCAACGAGCGCTACATGTCGCACTTTAATATGTCGCACAGTAGGACACATACGACACATTTTATTTTAGTGTGATGATAGAATGACTGTTATTCATCATTCGAAAAGAACGAAACACAAAGAAAGAAAAATGAGTCTCGACCGAGATTTCAATTCAGACAGTATCACAAGTGGTAATTAATCAAACGTTTTTACCAACCAAAGGGTCGAAATACAATCTTAACTCAGATTCTAATTCAATTTGAACATTTACTTGATTTTTTTCGAATAATAAATAAAACCGTCCTGTCATATACATTTATATATAATTATATATGATTTAATTCAATGGCAATAGACAGGCATATTTTCAAATCGTCAATTATCAAGATCGATTAGTGTTAATCTTCGTATGAAGAAGTTTCTATTCGTAATATTACCCTCAAAGATTAAAATAAATGTTCACATTGAATTAGAATCTGGGTTAAGACTGTGCTTCGATACACTGGTTAGTAAAAGCGTCTGACTTGTTATCACTTGTGATACTACCTAGGTTTAAATCTCCGTCGAAATTCATTTTCTTTTCTTTGTATAGCATTCTTTTTGACTGCTGAATAATAGTCGTTTTATCATCTTTTATTTGAATAACGAAAAAAAAAGTCCTATCATATACATTTATATATCGTCATTCGAAAGGGGTTATGATCATCATGAACCGTATGAATCGCTCATGAAATGGTATCGAGAATGGTTTCTTAAGATCATCAATCGCAGGAAGGACATATGAAAGGGTATATAACGTGGCTTAAAGAAGCGTTCAAGATGATCATTAACCTGAAGAGAGCGTTCAAATTGGCAAACGGAAACTTCTATTTTATGAAGTTTCCAACTTTTAAGAAAAAGCTATCTAACCAAATGTTAAAGGATTGAAACGGTTGCAAAAGCAAATAGCACTTAACCAATGCTCAAGCACAGTAACACAAAAGACTGTAGTGCAAAACACAACTAAAATGAGCCATTTCATTCTACCGGTCTCTAGAAATGTTGAAAAACTATCAAAACAGCTAAATCACGGAAAGAAAAGAAAAAAAACGTGCACTAATTGCTTCCATTCTCGCCATCACGTGCTTGACACTTACAAGCAGAACTAAACCGAGAAAAAAAAGTAAACTAAACAAACTTATTCCATTTCTTTCATAAGACCAAGAAAGATTATTGGCCAAACTAAGCGAAGAAAAAAATAATGCTGTTAATTTTTTATTTTATTTTTCTCCAAAGAATGCTAAAGAGTTACTAAGACAGCAAATCACAGAAAGAAAAGAAATGTAAACTAATTGCTTCCATTCTTATCACCATATTCTCGACAAATACATGTAGAACTAAGCCGATAAAAAAAAGTAAATTAAAAACAATTATTCCATTGCTATCATAACATCAAGGAAAACTATCACTGTAAATAAGCGAAGAAAAATAAAAGTACTATTAATCGTATTATTTTATGTTTCTCCATAAAATACTAAATAACTAGCAGGAAACTAAATCATGGAAAGAAAAGAAAAAAAATGTAAACTAACTGCTTCTATTCTTGTTACCATATTCTTGGTAAATACATGCAGAACTAAATTGAGAAAAAAGTAGACTAAAGAAACTTATTCCATTTCTTTCATAAGAACAAGGAAAACTATCGCTGTAATCAATCAAAGAAAACAAAAACAAACAATATAACTTATTGAGTGCCTGGTAATAAGGTACTCGACAGCTATATGATTAATCAAATGAAGAAAAGAAAACTAAAGTTAGTTTTCTGATCCGAATTCTCTCATAAAATAGCTCAGATCTAACAGGATAACAAAATGAAGAAAAGAAAAGTTAAGTGAATTTCCTGATTTGATTTCTCTTATAAAATAGACGAGAATTGCCAGAATAACTGCCCAGAACGAGTATTATGGCAGTCGTAAACGATCGTACACGGTCATATACAATGTCGTTTGTCATCGTATTCCACATTAGCTTTTCATACTTCCCCTCGTTCTTCCAACTCTCCAAATAATAGAAAAACTAATATTTAGGGTACCAAGTCTGACCGTTAGTTTCAATTCTTTTTTTCTTATACAGCGTCGATGATATATCAAACAAATATGATTGTTTTTCGAGATAGTAAAACAATCATATTTGTTTGATATATCATCAACACTGTATAAGAAAAAACAATATGGGACCTTCAGCCAGACTAAGTATCCTCATTTGTTTAAAATAATACGTAACCTTCGATTTATCATCATATATTAATCTAAAAATAAAAAATAAAATTTATTTAAATAGATTAAAACTTATCCCTCGATTTATCGTTGTACTAGTCTAAAAATAAAAATAAGAATAGAAATAAAATTTTTCTAAATTAATACTTACTGCAGCATCTAGAACACGCGTTTACTTTTTTATGAAATTATTCAATGCAGTTTTTTTTTAGTTTAATGTTTGTATAAAATATATCTCTGATTAGTTATATAAAAATATATACAATAACCAATACATAAGTTATTATACAAAATCGAGTATAAAAAAAAGTCAAGATGCATTTCCACATTAATATATCTAATAAAAATTAAATTTTGAATGCGATAGATTGAAATTGTCAGCTTTTTAGTCAAGCGTCTACATTGTTTTTTTATTGATATTAACATTGAATTTACTTCTTGTCGTCTATGAAACATGAAAGATAGCATTATTCAGCAAAGGATCTAGAACAAAATTAAAAAAAGAGATTGTTCGCACGTTCCCATCACAGTAAATATAACAAGAGTCTAGTCAGCTCATTATTAATAATTAGAAAGCATATTACATGAAGATCATGTAAAGTGAAAAAGATAAAACAAATAAATAATTTGTAACAAGAAGTGACAGATATATAACACTATCAATCTATCTTTCTATATACGAGAAAAATGTACGACCAATGTACGATCGTATACGAGCTTCGTTTACAATGGTTACGTTCAGTGGTGGTTTACGGCAATCGTATATAGTCGTATTGAATGGTATACGATCGTAGATTTTAAATCTGGGTGAATAAAGAAAAAAAAACTAAAGAAAATTAACTTTTCAAGTTCTCTAATAAGATGTGGGAAAACTATCGGAATTAAGTTATCGATCAAAAGAAAAGTAAACTAAGACTAAGATACTCGATTAATTTCACAAAATGCTCGACAACTATCATTATAACTAAATGAAGAAAAAAAGCCTACTAATGTAACTTCATCGATTTCACTTATAAAATGATTAAAGTCTATCAGGATTCTTAAATCAAGAAGAAATTGAAGCTCGCTAATTGATTTTGTTTCTGTCGTAAGATGCTGCAGACATATGGAGCTGTACATGAATCACGTAATTAACGAGGAGTTCAAGGTATCTCTGAAATATTGCGTTTGATTACAGATAAAAGAGGGAGATGATAAGACAAATGATGAAATTATCAACGCTATTCCATAGCCAGTTTGAAAAACTTGATTATTCATGTGGAAAATAAGCAGTATCCATTTGTGCGATGAGTAAGAATTTCACTCAAACATACGCGATTTCCTGAAAGACTTGAGTTATTGCGTCTACGCTGTCTCAGATAGAAAATAAACTAAATTGCAGCTCCGCTTTCTTTCAAATTCTAATCTCATGTATTGAGATAGCCAATATTTCATGGATCAGTTCGCTACACATCATAAACACTGGAATGCGAAGTTATCAAGAGCGAGCGATATCATTATCATCTACTTTATATAATGTCACTGAAGACACGTAAAAGCATATGGAACAAAATACATGATATACAAATAGTTGCGTTTTTTTGCCGTATAGACAAAGATTCTTAAAATGAAAACTAAGGTCTGTCAACAATCATTGGCATACACCATGAGGATGCCATGCATTATCCTGGTATGTCAAAGCAAATCATACACTCATTTTCAACATGTGCATCTTTCGACATTTCTATAGCCTTTTTTTTTTTCAATATTTTAATTTTCGACCATAGTAGGAAGAATCGAATTCTTCTTACTAGACCCTATTCTTAGTCTATGGGAAACAACAAGTAAAGTAGGAAAAAAAGAATATTTTAAATATGGCATACATTTGCTTATCAACAGAAAAAACTGTACGGTAAAAGAGAGAGCATTTTCTTTGACTGATATAACTCTACAAAATGCATAAAGCTTGTCATTTTGTGATTTATGGCATCAATAAATAATTCACGAGTCAGGTAACATGAAACGAAAGGTATGCTTAATGTTTTGTTTTTTTTTCGGTCATAAAAGCTTAAATATTGCAGACTAAAGGTGTACGACAGCCTTCGAAGAGAACGAGCACAAACGCGCTGAAGTAACCATTCATTGATTGATTGATACCTTCAATGGCAAATAACAACGGCAATAACAATCTACATGGCTATGTTGCTCTGGGTTGGGAGAGTGTTCGCTCTGTTTTCGACCAAAATTTAGTTGAAGGACTTGATATTGGGGCAAGTTTATGTGTTTATCATCAGGGACAATGTGTTGTCGACTTGTACGGCGGCTGGAAAGATATACAAAGGAATAAAGAACCATATACATCGGATACATTGCAATTGGTTTTCTCAGTATCAAAAGGTGTTATGGCTGCAGCGATAGCATTATGTGTAGAAAAAGGTTGGCTTGACTATGATAAACCTGTTGCACAATATTGGCCAGAATTTGCTGCCAATGGAAAACAGGTACGGCATATTCGAAGAGTAGTACTACTAGATGATAATATCTTTCTTCTTAAGAATATAACAGTAAGTGATGTATTATCACATCGAGCTGGTTTGCCATATGTTGATGAAAAATTAACCCTCGACGATGTATGTAATTGGTCTCGAATAACTTCTCTATTGGCAGCTCAAAAGCCACATTGGGAACCTGGAACCACACATGGGTATCATCCAGTTACGAGTGGTTTTCTTGGTGGTGAACTGGTTCGTCGTGTCGATCCTCATCATCGTTCCTTTGGTCAATTCGTTCATGATGAAATAGATAGTGAATTTTACGTGGGTATATCCAATGATGAGATTGAAGCACGTGTTGCTCCTCTTTTTCGACAGGTACATACTCAGCTGCTGAAAAACAGAACGAAATTAGTTTTTCTTAACCAATAACTAAGGTTTTTTTCCATACACAAAATTTTTATTATTTTATCTCTCAACGAATTGATATAGTTGTCTGCACTAATAAGTAACTAAATCGTATCTTCATGTTTGTAAGATCAATATGAATTCGGTTACTTTGCCTCCGATGAATTCGTTCACTGAAAAAGCTTTAACATGCAGTGGTGCTTTTCCTGTTGAACCACAGAATACTAGTGACTGTTTCTTCAATAAAACTCAACTTCATCAAGCTGAAATACCTGCTGCTAATGGTATTACAAATGCTCGTACTTTAGCACGGATATATGCACGTCTCATGAGTGATATCAATGAAGATGGTCAAAAAAAACAACGTCTTATAAGCGAAAAGACATTATCACAAGCTACAACAAGTGTGACACCATCGGATGAACCTGATCGAATTTTGTTTGGTGTAAAATCAAATTTTGGAAAGGGTGGTTTTCAAATGTATAGTGATTATTTCAAAGCAATGGGTATTGGTGTATTTGGCCATAAGGGTAAGGTCTGTCTTTTTAATCGTTTATGTAATGAAAATAAGAAAATGTTAGAAACAAAATATTTCTTAATGTTTTAAAATTTTTATTTGATATTTGTTACTACATAGGTATGGGTGGTAGCTGTGCATTTGCTTATCCTCCACAACAATTGACTTTTGCTCATGTTTGCAATCAACTTAATTTCGGTATGCCAACTCTTGACCCGCGCACTGTTCGTCTACTTAAGGTGATTGAAAATATTCTGAATCATAAAAATGATTCATCGATATCTCAATTACATGTACAATCAACAGACACAATACAAACAAGTTGATTTATAATTTGAAATTTTATCTCATTTTGAATCTTATATCACTTCAAGCTTATATTATTAACTTAAAATTTATTTCCTTTGTTTTTAAATATATTTTTAAAAATTTATCATCTTTTTACCATCGAGAAAACTTATTTACATTTATTTTTTAGCAACAATTTGACGAATTGTTTTTTTTTACGAGTTACCAGAAATTATTGTTTTTTTTGTTTTGTTGGAAGAATAAAAATATTCGTTTATTCATATAGATATTAATATTAAAAAAAAAACAATATATTCAAGATACGCATTTAATAATATTTCATTTTACACAATTAAAAGAAATGTCAAATTGTTTAATGATCTGTTTTTTTTAAAAAGTCACACACCAACACTTTGTCTTTCCGTCTGCCTCTTGGTCACTTGAGTGAACATTTGTAGAATGATTGCACAGAATAAATGAAACATAAAATTGAAAAACTTTGGAAAAATGTCTTGTAGTGAACTTCATAAATGATTAGCTAATATACAAACTGTTTTTTTGCATTACTCCATCTCTGAACAAAATGAATTAGAAAATTGATAAGCTTGGAAACGCTAATCAAGTTGAATTTTTCTAAATCAAATGTTTTTTTCTATCACTGTAGAAGATAAATGATAGGAATGAATTGTGTAACATGTCGATGATTATCGTTACGATTTATATCAGTACTATTCGAAAGTTTCACAGAAGCTACATAGATTAGAAATACCAAGATGCAGAATGACCACTAGAGTTTTTATGAAACCGAACCCCTAGTTTTTCAGCGCCCACAGCTGATCTACAAAAACTTGCTCTCAAGAGACATCATGATAGAACCAAAAAATCCTCCACAAAATAAGCCGTTTCCAAACACTGTACAACTCTTTTTGGTTGAAAAACATCAGATTTATGGAAGGTCTTCATTAGGTTCTTGTCAAATCTCTCTTCATCTAATGGCTACTGGAATGACCAAACGTCCGTCGTAAATGTTAGTGTACCAGATCGATCTTTTCATACTATTGCTATATTGAAGACATCAATACTCTATTTCAATCTATTTTTGATCAGTGGCTCTTCTAAAGTTGTTATGAAGGGTAAAGGATTAAGTAATGTTCATGATTGAATACGGGATTTGACATATTGGCAATAGGTACCACCCTATTACAGATAGATTTAGATGCAATAAAAAAAAACAGGAATATCTTATTATTTTCAATATAAATTTAAAAATTGAATACATTGCAATTGATTCTCTCAGTATCAAAAGGTATTATGGCTGCAGCAATAGCATTATGTGTAAAAAAAAGGTTGGCTTGACTATGGCAAACCTGTTGTACATTATTGGCTAGAATTTGCTGCTAATGGAAAACAGGTACAGCATGTTCACAGAGTAGTACTACTAGATGATAATATCTTTCTTCTTAAGAATATAACAGTTAGTGATATAATATTACATCGACCTGGTTTGCCATATGTTGATGAAAAATTAACGCTCGACGATGTATGTAATTGGTCTCGAACAACTTCTCTATTGGCAGCTGAAAAGCCACATTGGGAACCTGGAACCACACATGGATATCATCCAATTACGAGTGATTTTCTTGGTGGTGATGCACTAATTCGTTGTGACAATCGTCATAATTGTCCCTTTGATCGATTCGTTCGTGAAGAATTAGATACTAAGTTTTGTGTTGGTGTCTCCAATTATGAGATTGAAGCATATGTTGTCGATCTCAGTTTCAAAATAATAAGAAGAAAGATAATACGCTATCGCTAAATAAAGTCTTTCTAGTATTTCATTGATAAGATTTTTCGTAACTTTAAAAGTAACAACAATTACTTAATGTATTATAATGATAACAATGATGTATTTGTCACGATATAGTGAACATAGTCTAAGTGACTGGTATATATTCATTTATTAATCGATGATGCTTATAGTAATGGGAAGGAATAGAAATGACTTTTAAGTGAGATAAGTTGGTGTGAAATAATCAAAGATATAGTACCATGAAATGAATCTGATCGAAATTGGTATAATATAAAAACAACATTTGAAATGGTTGTTTTATAATCATATAGTTATATAGTGATTGTTACAATCTATTAGGAGGTAATGTGTTCACACATTTGAGGATGATCTTTATAAATTAGATTGAAATACTCTGTAGTTTTAACAAACACTCATTTATATCGAAGCATAAATAGTATTTTTATTTGTATTCCAAATAGGTTTCTGATGATAGTTATACTTTCATTTTTCACTACTGCAATAATTATTCATCTACTTAGTACTCACCTGATTCACATGATCGAAAATGTATTCCGCGTTCAATCAATGTGAACAATGATCATCATAGCAAAAATAGGCATACTATAGAAGAGATCATTGTTGAAAATCTCCATTAGTTGTTTGCTTATTGACAAAGTGTCCAGAACACTTGCATTGGAATCGAAAAATATATCAGTATAATATCAAAAGTTGATATCACTTAATATTGGCACCAGTACAAATTTTCTGAGATATTTTGTTGGTTCTATACAATACAATACTTCCGCGGGGTTAGTAGCCATTTTAAATCTGATCTCACTCATTACAGTGCGCTCTGCTTTGGGAATAATTCTTTGATATTTCTATTGTTTGATTTGAGAATTGATAGTTGTGAAGAAATCAAAGAGTTTAAACGTCATGAAATATAAATGCTTTGCTTCCATAATGAAAACCATGTCATCTCTTATTTCATCCAACTTAAGTGTTGTAAAAACATCATTACACATGTGAGATATAATTCTCTTATTGATTTTTCATGTAAAAAGTATTTTGATGTATTTTCTTCGTCTAAATTATGATTTTATTGAATAATAATGTGAACGTATTAATCAAAAAATTTTGTTAAAGTAATTTGTCAGTATACTATTGATCTTTTCTATATCAAATAGTATAATGCTAAAAATTCTAATCATAGCTTTGATTGAAAATGAAAGAAAAAAAACGAGCGAAAAAAGATGGGACGAGACTAGAGATCGATGTGACCGCCGTGACCATCTCTATGATCAGAGTCTAGTCATGAAAAATTTTTACTGCAGCTATGTAACGACTGTTTTTGGTATTGTAGAACTCATACAACGTTTCATGACAGTGTAAATTAGGATCTAAGCTTTTCCTCTGCTTCTTCATGCTCTCTTACAGAGCTTTGTTCTTAGCAATACTTTTTCAGTTGCTTCGTATTGCTGGAATAAAAATAAATATGCTAGCAGTGAATGATTCGAGAAAAATACAAGCAGTAGCAAATACACATTCAATAACATTTATAAAATCTAATCCATTAGCAATCTTAAGTGATTTTCGATCAAGAACCAAAAATCCGATTAATACATTCGTGATTTTATTTTTCGTTTTGTGACGTACATGATTCAATTTGCCTTTAGTTCAATCTAAAAGTTTCGTTACTTTATTTTTATCGTATTAGCCATTTAAGAAAAAACTCAATGGCACGAGTTAATAAGCTTTTGCATACAATCACAAATGGTCGTTGCTCTGGACAGATTACACTAATACAGTAAAAACAAATTTCTTGACTCAAAGTCACGATGGTATCCGCGACCAAAACAATACTGATCAACGTCGAATTTTGATATGGACGACAAACTCATATATAATGCATATGCTTCTCAAACGTTTTTTTATCCATTTTTTCTGTATTGGTTTTTTATTAATCTTTTAATCAATATACAATTTATTACAGATTATGTATCACTTCTGTTGTTGAATACAATGGATGACTTGGAAGTTGTGACCTATTTCGCTTAAAAAAACATTTTCCATATAAATAGATGTTTTGTAGCACTGTCTTTATAGTGAATAAATGAAGTAACATGCACTTTTCAAAGTGACCTTAAATAAAATCTACTCGATTATTTAGCCTAGAAACATTTGGGATTTTTGAAAGCAACTTAACACTTGATATGTGCAATGCTAAGAAACGAATTAGTAGACAAAGTATGGCTCAAATAATCAATTCACATTTCAAAACTACGTCGAATATCTAATACATTGACTGAATATAACTGATTTCGTGCAGTAGTTTTATCTGTAGCAAGGAAGAATCCTACCGAGGCCACACTTTACATTGCTAATGAATTACACTCTTATGAAAATTCTTCTATTTTACGTCGAGATTTAGTAAGACGAATATTAAAAAAAATCACTAAAAGATCGACTAAGATATAGTACGTCAAGAACTGTTAGACTAGAACACTTTACAAAAGCAGTGAACAAGTAAATACAAATTGATGAAGTCAAAGTCAAAGAAAATTAGTGCACAAAATCAGTTACATTCAGTAAACATATTGTTAACTAATTCATTGTTAACGTTGCAAATATTGTGTTAATTTGATTTTAAATTTTACAGACGTTTCTAGGCTTATAAATTTCTTATAAAATGAGTTAGTGAAGTCAATTTAAGGTCGTTTTGAAGAATGTATTTTAATTTACTTATTCACTTTAGAAATAACTCTACAAGAACATGTATTCGTATGAATATAGGTTTTTATACAAAATGAGTCAGGACTTCTGGGCTATTGTTTAAAGATTCAAATATTAGAAGAAATCATTTATGTTCATCAACAGCATCAATGATTTGAAAAAAAAAAATTTTAACACTTGTTATGAATGCACTTGATAAACAAGATTAAGCTTACATTTATTTGGATTTATTTGATATTTTTTTTTTATAATAGTAATAATAATAAAATACAATATACCCGACAGATGCTTTTTCTTATCAAATAATATAGAACATCCCTTATGATTTTGTTTTTCTTCGATAAAGAATAAATATAAAACAACGAACCAATTAAATAAAGAATATCTGAACACAAAACACCAAAGTTTTAAACAATCGGTTTAAAATTTTGATAAAACGATTGCGTTACATCAATCATTAATTCTTTTGCTGTTTCAGGAAAATCTTCAACAAAAGCTGCTGGTGATCCTCCATAAATCGCTAAATAAAAATCAAATAAATTTAATTAAACAAAAATCTTCAAAGAACTTACTATATGATGGTATAACTGTTTCAGGTGGAATAACACTATTTGGTAAAATATAAGAACAATCCATGATAATACAACGTCTTCCAATAACACTGTTTTTTCCTATATGTACATAAGAACCAATTGATGCTGCATTAATAACACATTCATCTTCGATAAAAACATGATCACCGATTTGCATTGGAAAAAAAGCAACACCTTTAGCAAATTTTTTAAATGGTGGTCGAATAACACATTTTTCTCCGATAACACAATTTTTTCCAATTTTAACAGCAGCTAAATCTCCACGAACAATGCAATCAGCCATAACAATCGTTTTACCTTGAAGAACAATATTTTGTGAACCACACATTATTGAACGGCGACAAACTTTATTGCCTTTACAAAAACAAAAAAAAAAAGAAGTATTAATATTTTAAAATAAATCAAAAACAAAATTCATTACCTGACGTTGTTTCAATAAAATCAGATTTTTTATAGAAAATTTCTGCTAGTTCCATCTAGAAAAATAAAGTTCAGGAATTATATTTTCTTTGTTTATATGAAGATATGTGGTTGAGATAATTTACATCTACATACACTTTGACGTACATGCACGTTTTTTTTTCCATTGCATTAAAATGATACTAAGCCTCTGTCAAAGAAAAGAGGGCGTTCGATTCAAGTATATGTATACACTTAAAGATCAGAAAATAAATGTTGGAGAAAAAATTTTCGATTAAATATGCAGAATAAAAAAAATCTATTTCATTATATGTGAAATATTTTCATAAAAATATTTAATCAATTCAATAGTGTCAGATTAACTAATTTATAGTTGTATAAAAAATAAATCTTTTTTTTTTTTCATTATTTTTGCATTTTTGTCTTCTTTGTTCTAATCCATTTTAAACGATTCGTATGAAATAGAGCAAAGGAGACAACAGAACAACTGAGAAAAAAAATAGATCATTCAGAGAAGGATAGAAAGAATGAAAAATTCTTTCTGTAAAGTTTATTTTTAAAAATTCTTATCGAGAACTTAACTATAATCTTCTGAAATAATTTGCATTCCTTGCTCAACTTTTACATCTCTTTCCAACAATGTTATGTTCATTCTGTTTTCATAAAATTGAAAACTTCGAAGGGATTGACATGATTTCATGATGATACATAGTTCAATAATGATCTGTTTACTTCTCCGAGGAAAAATATCAGTTTCTCTTCTAGATAAATCAGAATTTTATCGTGATAAGATCATAACAAATGAATTTGCATATGTTTTTAATATATTTTAACTCATTTTCAAATTAGAATAAAACTTTGACTCAGTTCAGAATTAACTTGTGTCTCTTTTAAGATCATGATTATTTATCAATTCAACTGAAAGTACTATTTCATATGAATTGAGGATTAGCATTAGTCTCAATAATATTAGACAATTCTCTAAAAAATATTTGAAGTTCGTCTCTCACAAAATCATTTCATTCATATACAACACTCATACACATCACGTCAAACAATTGTTGGATAAAAAAAGAGTAAAAAAAAAATGAACCATCATTCTATTGGTTCAAGTCACTAAGGATAGGTTTCATACAATTTTGTATGTAGCGTGTGTATGTAGCTTATGTCAATCAAGATATGTATATATATTAAAACAAAGTCGAATCATTACAAATCAAAAATAATCACAATAGAAATAAAAAAATCATTTTAACTTTTTTTTCTTATGCTGGTAATTGATAAGTCTTATCCCATAATTGCAGAAAACCTAAAATGGATGCAATTGTTCCAGCAAGACCTTGTAAACCATTATTAGCACGAACAATATTCAAATTTGATAATGGTATATAAAGATCACATAAATTTTTAAACGTATCAATAACCAATGGTTTATTTGTCCAAAATATAGTTGCACGTCTCATTAATGATTTGTCTTGTTTTTGTTGATGATTATGTTGTCCAACAGCAAATGATGCTTGCATTTCATAATAATCACGTGTTAATGCTAATGATAACCATAGTAGCCATACTTGATTAAGATATTGTTGTAAATGTTGCGGATATTTAAAATAAATAATTTTAAAACGATGAAGTAATAAGAGATTGTCAAATAACATAAATAAACTTTGACAAACAGCAATTAAACCAAATAATGTTCCAATACGTTTATTTCGTATATGAAAACTTTCCAAAACACTTTTTACATAATCAACAAAGCGTCCAAGACGCATTCCTTTTAAAATAAAATAAAGTTTGACGAAAAAACAAAATTTCTATCCATTAGTTTACCTTTTCGAGTTAAACTCATCACTGATTCTAAATTTTGAAATAATTCAATTAGTCGTTCAACATTTACGACACGTCGTTTTTTTATACAATACCAGGCAATAAAACGTGATGCATATTGAATTATACGATAAATTTTATCACGACCAGCTGTGCGTGATGTAAAACGAATTACTTCGTCAAGACTAACTTTTGAACAAGACATCTGAAAAAAATAACAAGATATTTGCCTATTTACATTGACCATATAGTCAAATATTTTTAAGATGATAATTTGTTCCGTTTTTCTTTTAAACAGAAACCGTAAATAATAATGGGCGAAGCAAATGTTTTATTACTTTGATATTTCAATATAAAAACATTGTAGAATATCAATGATTTTGCCTTGAAAAATGATTCATAATCTCTTCAAAAAATTTTGTTTACAAAATATTCAAATTATACATAATTAGCTACTCTATATCTGAAAACTTTCTTTTCTGCTATACAAGGAAATTATATAGCTCATTCATAACTCTATCGATGATAGTTTTAAAAAAAAATCTAACTTGTGTTAGATTAAAACAATATTTTCAAACGTCAAAATTGCTAATTTTATCATTTTGAAATGATTCAGGACGATGCTTCTATTCTATTTAATAGTTTCCTCAAGAGACTATTAATTCATGTAATATATATCGTGTAAGATCAGTCGAAATTTCAAGTACGTTTTTGTGACTTTTTTTTACTGTCAAAGTAATTAGTATGTAACGTCAAGCAAATATCTCCAACGAAAACATTTTATAGACGAAATTTGTTGATAAGATTATGAGCTGGATTTCGAAACAAAATTTCCTCTCTGCAAAGCATCGATACTGAGAAATAGAAATCATAAAACTAATGCACAAGTTTAACTTCACCGTTACCATGTGAGTTAGTTAGAGACACATATTTAACATTCACGATGATTGCATTTGATTTATGAACTTCAGTTTAACTTTGTGTGTAAAAGGCATCGATTTGACTTTTAATCGGAATGAATACATAGGCTGAACCAACGAATTAGTTTTGATCAATTGACTAAGGAGTACAAGATTTTTGCAGTACTCAGATACATTCATATATAATTTGTATATAGCGAAAATTCGAATGTTTTGGTTGAGAGCACCGAAATTGATTTCACTATAAGCATTTACCTATTCAAGAATTTCGGATCTTTAGAATCGAATAAATAGTTGCGAAAACAAAACTCTTTGTCATTATCTTGAAGTTTGCTGGTATTCACACACAATATTTTTTTAAGATTATCTTCTGGTTGTACTATGCGATGGCTCAATTTAAAATATCCTTATACAAAACTCTGTCAGCTATTACTTTTATTTTCAAAGAAAAAAATATTTATCATTCAATCAATGTTCTATGATCTTCTTTGGTCTCTTTTAATAACAAGGAAGGAAAAATCTGGGTAAAGAAAGTAATACAATGATATAAAACTATTTGAGTTCATCAAGCTATATTCAAGACAGGATACAGAAGTTTTAACCTAATCCAAAATTTCGATGAACTTTCGGTTTCAGTTCCATTCATTAACTTCCAAAACAGCTACATTTCTATGGACAGTTGCTTCACAGTCACGCACTCTGCAGAACGCTAACAATAAAGCATGATTTCAATTCACACTGTTTAGGATTTGTTGAATAGAATTATAGCGTTGTAGTTCGATCTAAATGTATTTTAGTGAGCACTACGCAGAAAATCAACTATTCATAGAAATATGGCTTTCTGTAAAGATTAATAAGATACACTTGAGCTTAGACTGAAATTCCAGTCTTCCTTCAAAACAGTTGACAATCGAATTTCATAGAGTAATAGTAATAGTACAACATCCTTATCAAAAAAAGACAATATAATTTTACCATAACAAATATAAATTTAAAACTTCATACCTCTCCTTTGTATTAATTACTACTGTAGTCAAAATATCTAGTCGTATAAAACACACTGATATGATACTATCTAAAAAGATCATCATTAATACGTTTTCTCATAAAAATCCAAAGATCATACAGATTCTTTTTTCTTCAATATATCACGAAAATAAAAAAGTAGCAGCCAAAAAGAGAACAAAGAAATCTTCATAGACAACCACTTAGAGAAAAAAAACGATATCATACATATAAAAACAACATAACAAATCATACTATTGAATAAAACTTTTTCTTTTACTTCAAATAGTTGATCGATGGTATTGACAAACCAATCACATTGTCTATGAAATATGTAAATTAAAAACAAACTGCAAATGAATAATTATTAAACTTACATTATTTATTGATTCAACTAAAGCATATTCATCGAATAATCGACCTGGAAAATCTTTTTGTCGAATAGACGAAAGAGAATCATAATTTTGCTCTTTTGGAATATATTCAAATGGTTTAGCATCTGCCCGTAATTGAGATTTTTTTGACGAATTATATACTAAAAAAAAGCTTTCTAATAACAAGAAATCAAATGCATTGATTTTCAATCGAACTTTGATTTATATCATTATCAGTTTTAGTAATAGTTTCATTATCATTTGTTATATTCTTTTTTAATTGTATATCAATATTTGGTTTGTAAGAATAATTCATTTGATCATTATTAACTAATTTGATTGAACATTGATTTGTTTTAAAATGATGAACATCTTCACGTAATTGTTCAACAGCTGTTTTCATTTGATTTAATTGTTCAACACCTATTTGTTTACTTAATTGCGAATTAAATAATCGACGTTTTATACTAGTTAATTTGGACTGTTGAATTTGTTTAAATTTCTTTAATTTTTCATCAACTTTCGAATGTGCTTGTTTTAATTCAAATAGTTTTTCTTCATAAATTTTATCTAACTGTTTCATTTGATCATTTATCCAATCATTTAAATCTTCTAATGAAAAAAAAAACAGAATTCATTTATTTTTATTTAAATAAAAAAAAAAAAAAAAACCTTCAGCTGATCTAAATTGTTCATTATATGACATATTTTCAATTTCTTCAGTTATTTTATTAAATTCATCACAATACATATTTGCTTCACATATTAATTCTTCATTATGTTGTAAAAGATGTTCAACACATAAATACTACAATGAATAAAATATTTTTACAATAAATATATAGCGAATTCTTTCTTTTTACTCCTTGACAATGTAAACAAACGGCTATTGGACTATGGGCACAGTTAGATGTCTGGCAAAATTCCATCTAAATAATATAGAGAAATAGTAATATGAAGGCAATATTAAACTTAAACACTATGTGAAGATTATAACAATCGTCTGAGTCTAACTACAACGAAATTATCTGTTTCGATTGTTATATCCAATTATAAAAAGCAACTAAAGAGAGCGCTAGTCGAAACGCTTCACTCTGTTACTGTATGTCATGGTAAACATAACTATGCATTTGTGATGAATATTCGTCAGACTACCTTAAAAGGGATAATAAAGTATGAAAGTAAGATTTGATTGATAAGTGAATATGTGATCTTATTTATGCAAAAATTAACGTTCTTTAACCTCATTTTAGTCAATTAGAAAGCAGATTGTTGACAGTTATCATGAACGAAAGTTTGTCGATGCTGAAATAATAGACAAAAAAAGTTTCTATTTGTCCTAATTGAAATAAACATCAATTACATCCATATCTGAAATGTTTTTGCATACGATTTATTCAGTCATACTTTCTGAAAAACATAGAGTAAGTTTTCGTTGCTTTGCAGCCGATTGGCCATAAATACATGATTTTAAAATAAATAACTTGAACTTTTTTTTCAAACCAATATCATGAATAGTTTGAATTGATACACATTTTTCTTTTATTGTAAATTTTACTCAGTCTATTGTATACCTATTGTCTATGATTGTTTCTAAATACATTGACGATAAATTGCTAAAAATAGATTATTCTGGGTGAAATACAAACATTGTCATACAAAAGAAATTTCTTCATTCGTACAACATTCAATACTTTTCTCTTATTTTATTTATTACACGAAAAAAAAAAATTATCATAATATATTTAATTAGAGCATTCATTCTTATACAATAATCTCTCTACATATAATTTTCAAAAATGTGTGTGTATGTTCGAGTCAGAGGTCAGAGTGTTAAATAGATGAGAGCTGATCCAGAGTGTGTATTATAAGTGTCAGAGTGGATGTGAATGGGTGAGGTTGTAGCTGTATTGAAGATCATGAAATAACATCCACATTCACACAGTTTCTCGCTAGTATCTTATTATTATACTTGGAATTCGTTCTGTTTTTGATAAATTTTGTAATTGTATTTTTACGAAAAACGATTACATTCTAATGTGTGTTTTATCTTCATTGCTGCCGTTTCTATGACTAAATTATCAAAAAATACTCAAATATGTAATCTTTGTCGATCACAGCATGCTTTATAAGTAGTTGCCATTTGTACTTGTTATTTGGACTATTGTTTCTTTTCATATTCCTATGATTACAAGTGTTTAAAATGGAAAATGTTTAATGTGTACATGCGCTATAGCTCTGTATCATAAAATTGATACTTTCTTTGTAGTTGCTATTCTATCCAGCAATTTAATGATTATATTCAGTGGTTTGTAAGATTTTACAATAGATGATACATAATATAATATATCCTCAATAAATACTTCGTCAAGAAGAAAGTTAGACTCAAATAATTGAAAAAATGTGATTTCAACGACGTGACTCACCTACATCTTAAAACATGAATGTTATCTAGTAGTTCTAAATACAAATAATGAATTCATAGTAAAGTTAAATTCTATTGAAGGAATTTCGTTTGAGCGTACCTTTTTTTCTATGTGTACATCTTAAAGATAATAGATTAATAACGCTTCTGTCTTAAAAATCAAATCAATATGCATTATGAATCATACTCAATGATGATAGAAAAGCAAAAAGTACGATAGACATTGTTAATCGAACCACAATCAAGTGAAAGTAGTTTTCTTACAAAAAAAAACAAAATAAATAGAAGATAAAATACTAAAGAAAAAAAAACGAAGTATCATCATCGTCTATATTTTATCTTTTGTTTTATTTACTTAAATACATTAGCATTTCATCATTATAATTACCTGGTCATATTGTTGTAACTCTTTTATTTTCTATTAAAATGATGAGAACGATAGTCCTTCTTTTATTTTGTCTTCATAATCATTTTACAATACATGCATTAATTGATAACAAGAATAATTTAACTAAACTTGATTGTACTTATAAAGATGCAAGATTTGGTCGTATTGATTTATCAAGAGTTGGTTTAAAACATGGCATTCCTGCCTTTCGACATGTGCTCAAAGACGATTATTTTTATTCGTAAGTATCTACTATTCATTATGTCTAGGATTTTTTTTAACATTTAAATCTATCTGAAAATATATAGTTACAATCCATGTTATCCATTTTCTGAAGAATCATCTTGTACGAATGTAGCTATATGTCAAAGTCAGTACTTTTCTTTTTAATTATTATCTTTGAATTCGATAGATTTTTCTATATAGTTTCTAAAACTGGATCAGCTTATTATGTTCTTGGTTTGAATTCAATGGTTAGTTGGTCCGTAACAGTTGATGGTACTGTAACACTTGTATATTCAACACTTGATCGTCAAACAATAGTTAATCTTGCTTGTTGGAATGAAATCGATCAGCTTGCTATTAATGGTGAATATGAATTACGACATTATAATTTAACTTTATTTAGTAAATGTGCGTGTTGGAATGGTTGTTAGTTTCAATTTTATCTTTTAATAATGCTCTTTTTTTTCTATAAAATCAAGAATATGATTATTTAATTCACAGCAGAAATCTGCCGAGTAGATAAATAGTCATCTCTGTCACTGTCTATAAATGAAGTATTCACTTCATTCCACCTGAGCGGCAAGTTCTTTGAAGTGCAACTCTATTGCATATTTTGCGAATACCTAGGTTAAACAAATACAACCGAAAAATGACCGTACTTCAGGAGATAAGGCAGTTTATATATCTCGGCAGTATGGTTATATATCTCTGTGTTGTATATTGAAATATACGAACATTTATATAAACAAAATTTATGCTGATTTATTGTTTTCGTATATGAAGATCGCATAGGAAATCTATTTTGATTGTATTGCTGAGCTATAATGTGTACATCACAATTGTTGTTTCATTTTCATGATATTAGATAGATTAAATAAAATAAAATAAAATATGTATAAACTATTTCAAAATACCAAAAACGAACGGCAATTATTCTATTCCTTTTTTTTAAATGAATTTAACTATATTCTTAATTAAGTAGAACCTTGGCGTCAGACAAATGAGGAACAGCATTCAATCTAGTTTTACTCCGCCACTGAAAATTTTAATATTGTTTCGTGACGATATGACTACAGAATGTTTCGCCTATTGGCATTGACAACTTTGCCCAATCAGATCGAATTCGCTTTATTTAATTAAAACTAAAATAAGTTGTTTTTACAGCTCATGAGAGAACCTATCTAGATGTCAAATCGGTTTTCGATCGATACAGTATTTTTTTGATGAATGCTAGTGAGTAATAGAAAAGTCTAGAATGATTTGGTTTTCTGGATCTTCGTTCTCGAGATGTCGAAATTTCACTAGATTTTTTATGAAAAAGTTGTGATAACCCTTAAGTCAAGTGGAAAACTAACTTTCAAGTTTTAACTTCAAACTTTACAGCACAAAGTTCTTAAAGAGATTAGTTCATTGGACAAGTTTTAGCTCTTCTAGTATGTTCTTTTTGAAGATGGAAATTCATGAACAAAATTGACTTTTATACATGAGACTATTTCGAATATTCAATATTCCAAGATAGGAGATACTAGAAACTTTACAGCTTACCAAATGAACTAATCTCATTTGAGAACTTGGTTCGTTCAAAATTTGAAGGTGAAAATAGGTTTTCCACGTGATCTGAGAATACTACAACATTTTTTAAAAGATTCAGTAAAATTTCGATATCTCTAAAATGCAGGTCCAGAAAATCAAACCATCTTACACTCTTTTATCATCCACTAGTACTCTTCAAATGAGCATCGTCTCGATCGAAAAGACAATGTGATACTTGGAGAAGTGCCTTGTCAGAAACGATCAAACATATTTGTTATGTAGCTTGTAATTTGCATATTTAATAATGATATAATTCAATGCTCTAGCATGAGCACAATAACATGCATTCAGATGAACATGAAGCATAAAACAAAAATGAACAATGATTTTAATCAGCTAAACGTTTTCTTTTCTTTTTTATTGTTGAATTTTTGATAACACGTTTTGGTTCATCTAGTAGAAAGAAAAAATATTAAAAAAAAAGAGATTTGAAAGAACACAATTTTGTTTACCTGAACCAAATGGTAAACAACGGAGTTTTAATTGTTTTGGAAATTCGGGTCGAAAAGTTACTTCTTTTGGTGCACAATCCGTAGGTGGTTCAATATCTTGGACTAATGAATAGGTTTCTACTGGTGATGAAACTGAGAAAGAAGGATTTCCTCATGAAACGAAAAGACAAGGCGTACCTAAATGAGCTTCATTTCCATTAGTACTCTTTTGAAAACAATAAAAGTCAGCATTTGAATCATTTTGACGCCGAGCTCGTAATTGATGATCACCCTAAGAAGAACAAGAATTAAATTTTTTGTCCTTAAAAAATCATGAAATTTACCACAGTAAATTGTCTTCCTTTAGTAAGATGTCGATAAGACAGTGGAAGTTCATTGATATTAGAAAATGATTTGAGTAACTATTTATAAAAAAACAAAATATTATAAAAAGAAAATAAGAATTCAATTTATATTCACATACAGTTTTTGGAAACAGTAGAAGTACAGGTTTCATATTCGTCATCTAAAATAATCAATGCAATATTGACTTAGAATATAAATATATAGTGAACATTTATACAATAAAATATGAAGGCCAGATAAGAAATAGAAACAATAAAAAATTGAATGAGATTCAATGAACATATGTAAATAAACGAAAATTTTCATGACATCATCATTATTCATAAGAAAATCAAACATCACTATAAAAGAATAAGTGTAGAATCATAAATGCTCACTATCCGTTTATTACCATTACAAAAATCCTTTTCAGATTTATGAGCATAATCTTTCCTGTCATCAATTATTCTACTATTTTCTGTGTTCATAAACTCTTTTTCGGGTACACTAATGGAATAAACTCTCACTTAAAAGGTCTATTATTCTACATTTATTTTTTTACACTGACATAGACAGTCCAATAGATCTTATTTTCTGTAATATTAAAAATTAGGTTCAACTCAATTAACTAAATAAAATCTACTTTTATTAATATTCATTCGACTAGGATTTAATTATTAATTTTTGTATTTTGATTTGTCATAGAACGTATAACATAAAATTTTTGCAGGATTTATTATCTTTACATGCAATATGAAACATGATTGAATATATTTTCAATCAGCGTCAAATAATGTTTTGTGAAATCAAACAAAGAAAATATATTGTTTTCTTTTCTTGTCTTAATTCCATCATCAATATTACCAAAATACAAGGAAGCCTCTACAACATCAATATAAATTTTTTGACATAAAGTACTTTTTCATATCGAGTGTTAGTATAAGTACTTACATTCGATAAATAAAGAACAGGTTTATCTATGAGAAATACAATAATAGGAATACTTTTACATAGCAAAAGTGATAGTTCTATACAACAACAAAACTAAAGATGTGCACAAGACTTTCTATTATAGATTTTAGAATCGAATATTTACGAGGAAAAAGAAAAATTCAACTGTTACACTTTTGAAGAGAAATATTTTCTCTATAAAGTACAGTTCTTCTCCAGAATGAGAGCCGAAGAGTAATCCTTCTCCGAAGATTGAATTGGTTCCTACGAACTTTGTGACTGTTTTACCACAAGTAATGTGTTTGTGCTTCCAAAAACATAGGTTTTCGCTCCTGTAACGTTTTAAATCGCCTCTTTAGAGGAAAAAACCTGGATGAAACATTGATAAACTAAGACTATCCCAAAAACTATATGATTATTGATATCTAACGAGAGAATATACCCAACTATCGGTTGTTATTCGGCTTCAATAACATGGCTACGAGTAGATTTCGGTGAGACTCAATAGTCTTAGAAGGATTGGCGCCCATGGCCTACTGGTAAAGCGTTATAGTCTTTTAAACAAAGCTTTTACTGAGAGCAAGACATTGTCGAAAAGTCCAAAACAAAGAGTTTCAGCTCGAAATTTTGTCTATACGCATGTTTGATAGTCATTAATTAGTTGTGAAAATTTCAACGAAATTGAACATTTTTTTTTCTCGATATACTCGATTATTCTGTTCTCCTATTGTGAACAGTTGGTTTTTTGGATATTAAATATATTACACAAGACATGTTTATTTTCATTGAAAGTTTCAAGATTATCTAATCACTATCAAATGTGTCTATAGGTAAAATTTCAGGTCGAAACAATCTTTACTTTGAATTTTTTTGGAAATCTCTTGCTTTCAGTAAAAAAAATTAATTTAAACAATCATAACTGTTTATCAGAAGGCCATAGGCTAGAATCTTTTTAAGTTTGTCTTAATCCTCACTAAGACCTACTCATAGCTATAATAATATGAAGCCGAACGATATCTGTCCATTGGGTATGTTCCCTCGTAAGCTAAAGCATGACTATAACACGTTCAAGATTAATCTCAGCCGCAAAGTTTATGTTCATTTTCTCAGGCTACAAAATATTCACAGATGTCACCATAGTCTTGCATTTGACAGGAAAAGATATCTCTGCCAAAATGTAGCAGTTGAGTGTTCTTTTACTTTCTCTTTCCACAAAATATCTCTGACTATTCAAACAGGACCAGAACGTCCCGTACTCATCTCTAATAAAAACACAAATTTACAACAGACAAAAAAATAATAATAATTGATATACAAATTATTCTCGATTTTGCTCTTCACATGCATCAATCCATGAGTTGTATACATCAACTGGTTCACTTAAATCTATCAAAAATAAATAAATTAGAGAATAAAAAAAACAAAGGTAAAAGAAAATATATTTACAATGAATTGATGTTGAATAGGTTTCCTGGCACATTCGACATTCGATTGTACCAACATTTGCTTTTCGATCACTAGAAAATATTGAATAAAAATTTTATAAATATCTACATTGAAATTTCTTACATTTTAACTTCACAAGAACGATCATGTGAACAAAATGGACATGGAAATACAATGGAAAGAGCTACAATTCGTTTTTGTTTCGGTGGAGGTTTTCGTTTAGATTTTCGTTTACCCATTTTGTTCTCCTTCAAAAATATTCAATAAAAATCTAAAGAAAACAATATCAACCATTGTAATAACCAAAAAGAAAATTGCAATAGGTTGTTTCTTTATTTATTTTTTAATAAAAAATAACAAATAAATAATGAAAATTGATATTATTTCTTTTTGCTTTTTATTTTCGTTTTTACTTCAGTTTTAGCTTGAATCGGTTTAGCATGATCAAGTTCTTTGATATGTTTGAACAGTGCATTACGTGAAGAGAATTCTTCTTGACAAATAAAACATTGCAGAATAATTGGTGCGTCTGGTGCCTAGAATAGAATTTAGTACAATTTAATATCGAGAATTTTTCTTTTCGTATTCTATTGATTTCTGGTCATTAAACTCGAAGACATTTATAACAGATTTATAACAAAACATTAAGTTTAGATTAATCAAAAATATTAGATCATTATAATAGAATGAATTTTCTTTAATATAAATCAGATGAGGAAACCGTTTCAATGGATAAATCGGTAATGACTCTGAATATGAGCATGAGAAATACTTTTTAATCTTGATAAGTTAATTTTTTGGAAAACAGGCGTTTCAGAAAAGCGAACTGTTTGCCAAAAATCATATTTTTTATGTCCCGATTATAGAGAATATCGCACTGTAGAGAAAGTTTTTCTGCCCCAACTAAGTTCTTGGAGGAAGTACAACCATTTTAAATTGATACAAATGATAAATATCAACAATTCAAATTGAAAACATTAACATTTATATATTTTTTTTTAAATTCTATATGCTCTATAATTTGATCAGATCTAAGAATGTCTCATACTCATATTTGGAATCAATCACTGAAAACATGCGATTTATCAGTTGGAACTGTTCTTTCATAAGTTCAAGCCTGGAAAATATTCGTCTTTTAAAAAGTTGTCCTAACCAGCCCTAAAGCTTATACTTAAATATTCTATGGTTTTAAGTGAATTATTTTATAAATCATACCAATCATAATACAATTCAAGAGAAATAATCCAAAAAGTATTAGTCATCAACTAAATAAAACTAAAAATGTATTGAAAGATTTTCTTAGATGTAATGCGAACAAGTTCTGGAATAATTTTCTCTAGATTGGGACCACGATAACCTGGTCTCGCATATTTCTAGCCTCTAATCAAAGTGATCGGAAAAAAATGTTCGTTACTTTCTGTGCGAAGAGTCGAGTCGCCTTCGTTTGGCAATATTTTACTTAAGCGTAAGCAATAGTTACTTGTAATCGTATTAGCTTTATTCATCCTTTAAATGTTTATCAAAATTACAGGCTTAGTTAGCTAATAAGATAATTTCTACAGATGTACAATTGCTTTTCGACCGAGACGATGTTCATTTGATGAGTGCTAATGAATAATAGAAAAGCTTGTAATGGTTCAATTTTCTGGGTCTTCGGTCTTAAGATATTCAAATTCTTACTGAGTTTTCAACGAAAAGCTGTGATGCCCCTCAAGTCACGCAGAAGATTGATTTTCGATTTCAAACTTTTCACGAATAAAGTGCTCAATGAAATCAGTTGATTGTGAAAGTTTCAACTTTTCTAGTATCATTTTTCTGAAGATCTAAGTATATGAATAATATTTGCTGTTACACATGAGAGAAATTCGTATTTTCCACGTTTCCAGATAGAAAATACTAGCAAATTTACATTTTACTTAATGAACTAATCGTATTGACAACTTTGTTTGCGCAAAGTTTGAAGTCGAAAGTCGATTTCCAATGTAACTTGAGGAAGATCACAGCTTATTGTTGAAAAGTCTAGTAAAATTTCGACATTTCAAGAAAGAAAGCCTGCAAAACCAAACCATTCGAGACTTTTTTTTTATCACTCTCTAGTACTCATTAAATGAACATTGTCTCGATCGAAAAGTGTTTCGACATCTGAAGAGGTTCTCTTATAATATTCCTGATTGGACATGGACGAACTGATCTTATTCATGTTCAATTGAGTGTTCAACAAAAAGTATATTTGAGATTAAATGAGTCACAGTTTAATTACAAGATACTATATTTTAAGCTCTAGGCTGACAAAATTTTTATTAAAGACAATATAACAAAAATCAATGTCTTATTAATCGGTATCAGAACTAATAAAAGACTGGTCTTGTTAACATTTAGTCCAACTTGGTATGATTTCATGTATTTTGAATAAAATTCAAATAATTCAAACCTCATCATCTCCATCAGCTGTGTCCATTGTGGATTTATTTTTCTTCTTTTTAGTTTTTTTTGGAATCGTAGAAACTTCGTCTTCTTCTTCTTGTCCGTCTTCTTCTTGGTTATTTTCTTTGGGCCCTAATTCATTTTCAAGCTGCTGCTTCATTTCTTCCGTATCATCATCGGATGAACTATTTTCTTTATTATTTCGCCGTTGTTTCTTTTTTTTCTTTTTCGATTTACTAAAAAAAAAATAACATAGTTTTTATTTTCAAACACTAAATCAATTACGTAAACGCAAAACGCACCTTGATTGATTATTTGTTGGTAATTCAATAGTTTGATCATAGTCATCGTTGGTTATATTCGTTTGATTTTCAGTATTTAATGATAAATGTTCATTTTCTTCTTGTATATGTGCTTTCACCAAGAGAACAAATTCTTTATGTTTACGAGATTTTTCGTGATTAAGAAAACTAAATATTTCAAATAATGTAAATAATATCAATAATTATTATTTTTTCTTACGCTTTATCGGATTTAAATGATTTATTGCAAGCAACACAATATAATTCCTTTATGTCATCCATAGAATCATCATCATTATCATTTCCAATTTTACTATCATTTAGATTTGATTCTTGAAAATTATTTTTAACTGTTTTTTCTAAATCATCCAATTGTTTTTCAAATTCTTCGAATGACATCCATTGGGATTCTTTATATTGTGCTAATTCTCTAAAACAAAATTAAATTCATAGTAAACAGAAAAGAAAATTAAATATTTCAATTAGATTTCGTACTCTAGCTTTTTTTGTTTTTCACGATTACGTCTTTCAGTATCAGCTTTTTTCTTTTGTGCAGCTTGTTCTTCAATATATATCTTAAAAATCAATATTGTCTTACATATTTTTTTTTTTGGTCTTTTTATTTTACTTTTCGAAGTTGAACACGTTTATCACGTTTTTTAACAAATGCAATTAATTCCTAAATATAGAAAAATATTAGTTTGTTGTAAATATTGTTTTCTATATATTCAGAAAATCAAAGATTTGACGTTATATGACTTGTCCCTACTGAGCATTGATAACACTCTTCCTGACACACTCGGAGCACCGTCTTACTAAGGATATATATCAATCGATAGAGCTTGAAATTTTGACGAGAGAGATGTCAAATCCATTAAAAAAATCTATGATATTTCACCAATAGGACGAAAAATCTAATTTTTTTTGTGGATTTAATATCTCGAGACGAGATCATTCTTTTTGGCTAAATTTTTTAGAAGATTTTAGTAACTTGAAGAGCTGTCTATGGGCAAAGTTTTAGTTTAAAATTCACTCGTCCAATTTTCGTTTTATCAATACCGTACCAAAGGTAAAAAGTCCAGTGTAACGGCCATAACTCTAAAATGGCAGCGCATAGAGAAGAATTTTTGTCGGTTTCTTTTGGTCTCAGCAGACCCTACATAGTGACTGGGATTACATCTCAAATACGTGATATCACCTCGGATAGTTCCTTCGTTAGTCGAGTGAACTTCGCTCTAACACAAAATACTAACAAAGTAAGTGTTTAAAAAATCAAATCAAACATAGTTCTGCTACATATTTTGAACTGATTAAAGCCATCAGGATTTTACCACCACTTCATCTAATGTCATTTTTTCAAAAATTTATCTTTTTGGAACTTTTGACTAAGAGTGTAGTTCAGTAGAATCATAATCTGAAGCTCTATCCGCTGATGTAAGTTCTAAGTGAAATGTCACTCAGAGTAGATCACAGTATATTTTACTAATACTTGCTTTTTACTAGAATCCTGCATGAATTCAACTTTTCATATTCTCGAGTCAGCGGATTTATATCCACACTCAGACTTTGGATCGTAATGGTGTCTTCTTTCCAACTATTTTTTTTTCAACTTCTCCCCCGTACGTAATGCACAAAAATGAGCTTATACTAACTCTAATAAACTTCAAATTGCACTGTTTTGACCATGATTGTTTTCCTCCTTTAAAGCAGCGCACACGTACAAGTGTTCTCTAAATTGACTACTGAAGAATTATGCTTCAGGAACAGTGTTTCATTTAGATCTTCTTATTCGGAGAAGCAATTTCAAACTCAGAGAGAACCAGAAATATAATGCTATGCGCTATTATTTTGAATTTCCGAAATAAACTTTATTTCTTACTCGAACTTCTTCATTACGCTCTTTTTTTGCTTTATCACGTAATTTTTTATTTTCTTGTTCCATTAATCGTCTAACACGTCGATCCATAGCATCATGTGTATCATGTTCTTCTTTCCAAACATACGATCTTAATGTACAATAATTCGACCAATATGCATAAAATGGGCCAACAACCTATTAAATAATAATAATAATAATTCTTTCATAAAATGTTTCTATTTTCTTTTATTTTACTTCTTCATAATCACTTTCAGAATTTCCAAATTTTGGTATTTCAATTTTTTTATCAGTTGAGGCTTTTAAATCTTGTTCTGCTATATCTTTAAACAATTTATTATAAACTGTATAAAAACCCTTGAAAAAAAAGAAGAATTTTAAATAAAAAAAAACAAAAAATGAATATATTTCAACATACATTTTCACTATCATTATATCCTTGATAACATGAGGACGTAAAATATGGAAAAATATTAATGGCATCATCTTGATAATCATCACCCGAAGCTTTTTGAAGCATAACATCTCGATGTGCATCATACCAAGAACGTTCTCTTGGATCAGACAAAACTTCGTAAGCCGCTCGAATTTCTAAAAAACGTTGTTTTGCTTCAGCGATTTTATCAGGGTTTTTATCTAAGGCATAAAAAAAAATGATTCTAGAAACTCATGAGAAATACAACGAACCAGGATGCCATTGTAACGCTAATTTTTTATATGCTTTTTTTAAATCATCATCAGTCGCTGTTTGTGTAACACCAAGTACTTCGTAATGACACCGCATGATTAAAAAAATGAGCTAAGAACGTATCATAATTTCAAAATATGGTTCTCTTTTATTTCTATCAATATCCAATCAAATTCAATTTACGAACCTCTATAGAAAAATATCTTTTCCTTTAACCAATAGACATCTATTGTCGTATGATCGTTTGATTGATAGATATTCATTTATCATTGAAAAAAGTACATTTTTTTATCGTCATCAGTTTAAAAACGTTGCAAAAAACGAGTTCACGATTATATTTAGATTATTATTCAATATGTGGAAATTGAGTTTCGAACAATTGTTCGTGTGAATATACTTGCACGCGAACAATTGATTCCTCGGTGGAATTCATTAAAAATCTGTGATGAATGCACGACAATATAAGTGTACAAGATACTAGTATGAAAATAAATAGTAGAAACATTCTGAACAACTCCTCAAAATAAACAAGAATTACGAATAGTTGAAATTGGTTTCTACTGAAAACTAACCAACTGATATAAACTTTTTTCTAACTTAACAATTTATTTCTTATTTGTTCTTTTCAACAAAGCAAAAGGAATCAATATTGTACTGAACTGATTGAAGTCCAACATGACTTGAAAAAAAATCATGTCACTGGAGTCGAGCGAAACTCAACTAGTCGATGCTTTTTTTTATCCGTAGTGAACCGTTATCTATTGACGTACATGTATCCATGCAAACAATTGTACAGATCCTATGAAAATTAAGCAAAAACCGTTTGTGTTGTTTATTTTAATATGAAAAATCAAAAATGATTTCTCCTAATACATTTGATATCAGCAATTCTCTTCTTATAAACCTATTTCATTGAAAGTTCTTTGGTATTTTCTAAGGTCAGAATAACCCATACGGAATAAATAGTAGATTAAATTTAAAACCGCGTTTTCCTTTCTATACTCTTCTGATTTCTTTCAATTTCCTTTTTCTCATCTATTCATCATAGAAATCTTCTTATTTGATTTAATAACTGCGATTCATTTATTATAATGTAATGAGCGACTTTCAATGTCATGAATCATCCATTTTAACAAAATAGATGCTCTTGCTACTTCATATAAAGTTAGAGTGAATCGAATTCAGTACCATGTACACAATACAGTAAGTCAATATATAAAGATAACAGGGCCACGACTGCAATAAATGCAATTTCATACCAATTTTGCATCATATGAAATAATAGTTTGTTCTAAGAGTCACTTTTACAAAAAGCTGAAAAGTAATTGTTTTAATCATTTGTACTACCATATATCTTTTGAATAATCAATCAAACTTGTATAGCTGAGCTAAAAATAATAATACAGAATAAGATTATATTTCTATTTATGGAAAATTATTTGTCCTATCAATTATATTCTGCTGATTTCGTTTTTTTTTACCAATTTCTTCTATATCTAAATAAACATAACTCCATTTGATGTATATTTGTCTGATCTATAAAACATCATCCGTTACATTACACGCTAAAAATATGACAATTAAAACGTATCTGACATTCAAAGAGAACAAATAATTCCGTGTCATGTAATGAAAATTTCTTTTGTCACGAAATATGTTAAGCGAAAAGAAGTGAATCTTAAACTTGATTTTTCTCATGAAATTTTCTCGTAGTACATTGTTTTATTTCGATTTAAAATCCCATGCGTTCATTTCAGAAGAAAGAACAAAGAACTTTCTCTAAGGAGAAAAGACATTTTTCATGTTGTAATTATTATTCTCCGATCATATCGATTTATTTTCTCTGTATTCTATTTTTTGATCGAACGATTTTTTAATATAAATCATTTCTTATTTAATTCGTATGTCTTACTGATAATCATCTATAGTTTTCTCATTATATTGATGATTAATTATTTTCTATTCTGTTATGACAACTTTGTGTGATTGAAAAAAAAAGGCTCTCCCATTTTTTGTAAAGAAAAAACGAAAGAAGAAGAAGAAGAAGAAGCTCATTTTGTTTTGTGTTTTAAAAATCAGAGCCCAATCACAGCGTTATTATGAATTTTTATAAAAAGACGAGTAAACACACTGCGTATACAATATGTACTACGACAAAAGAAAAAATAAAACACATTCAATATAAAAACAATAATAATTATCGCTGTGGTTGTGGTATTTGAATTTGTGTTTGAAAATTTGTTTCACTTTTTGTTGGTATTCGTACAGAGGGCTTATTTCCAAGTATTCGATCAATATCAGCCATTATTGATGGAGTTAATTTTGAAACAACCTTTAATGCAAAAGAACAAAAATAAATTGAAAATTTTAATTATTAAGTATTGTGTTGTATTATACTTGTATTGAATTAATATTTTCGTAGAGTTGTTCAACTGATGACGCACCGAGTAATACACAATGAACATTTTCATTTTTTAAACACCATGCTGAAAGAAATATGATAAAACAAAATATTTATCCTATCTTTATATTGAATTAGTTTTTATTATGAGAAAGAAATTTTTATATGCAAGCTTCTAACGATGAAAATAACAATTTTGATAGTTTGATTAATTTGACATTATATATACAAAAATTTTTATGACATTTATGTTAGATATGACACGATATTAAGAAAATTTGTTTGTTTATTTTTAGTCCTCAAAGAATATCCGATTGTAATAAACATAACATTTTGTTTTTTTTTCTGGAATTTCTATCATAATGTTAAATAGAGAATTATCAAAATAAAAAAAAATTGTTTTCAAAACTTACCAATAGCTAATTGAGCAAGTGTACAATCAAATTTTGATGCTAAAACTGCTAATTCTCTTAATTTACTTTGTTGTTTTCGACCTTCATCATTTAAAATTTTATCTTTTAACCATCCGTAGCCCTGTGAAATATAATAAATTATTATTTTTTATTCTAATTGATTTTTTTTTGATAATTATCATTTAATACTTTAAGTGCAGCTCTTGAATGTAATGGTACACCATCATCATATTTTCCAGTTAATAAACCACATGCTAATGGTGACCATGTCATTGTGCCAATACCTAGAAATCATTTATTTATTTAGTAATAATAATATTTCAATCTTTCTTTTTTTTTACCTATTTTATGATATATTTCTGGTAAATGAACTTCAACTTTATCACGTTGAAATAAATGATATTCAGCTTGTTCACATATTGGTGGGATTAAATTAAATTGACGAGCTACTGAATAAGCTTCCTTTAAAAAAAAATATCGATTTTATTATTTATTTGAAAAAAACAAAGAGAAATAATAAATAAATAACTTAAAACAATATATTACCATTATTTCCATTGGTGACCATCTTGAGGTTCCCCAATAGAAACAAAGATTATCATTAATGACTTGTGTAAATGCTCGTACAATTTCTTTTATAGAAAAATACAAATGAAAAATTTATTCCTATTATTTGACAATAGTTCATCTACCTTCCATGGGTACTGAGGTATCAGGTTTATTAGCAAATACAATATCAACATAATCTAATTGTAAACGTTCAAGACTAGCTCTTAAACCTTCAATAATATGTTTTCTTGAAAGTCCTTTTTCTGTTTCAGCTCTATAAAATTAAAAAAACCAAGCAGAAAAAAAAAATTTTCATTTCCAACAATTATTGTTTAACATACTTTCCACCCCAAAATAATTTTGTTGATACAATATAACTTGACCTTCTCCATTTTTTCTTTTTTAAAACTTTTCCAAGTGTTATTTCTGCTCTAATATATATTAATATAATTAAATAAAAATAACATCTAACCATTTGATTATTAAAAACCAAAAAGAAATCTTACTTTCCAGCTGCATAAACTTCTGCTGTATCAAATAGATTAATTCCGCTATCATATGCAACAGTAACTAATTCTTCTGCAACATCATCTGATATTTGTCCACCAAATGTAACCCAAGTACCAAGGCCTAATTGAGATACTCGCAAACCATTACGTCCCAAGTTTCTAAATAAAGAAAAATATTATTTTGTTTTCTTTTCATGTTTCAAACAGATAGGAAATAAAAAAACAAGAAATAAAACCTATATTTAAGATCAGGTTTGTGAAATGAAAAAGAAGAGAAAATATGCGAATGCAAATGATCATTTTCTATAGAACGACGATCAATATTTGGTGACGATGTTGATGATTGTAAAGGAATAATTGAACCACATAAATGACGTGTTGAACGTGGCATATGTATCTCATTCATTTTTTGATCTAGAGATGAATGATGAAAATTACTAAGTTGATGTTGGAAACTGAAAAAACTATTTAAGCTTTTTTCATCTAATTGACTAGTATCTTCTTCATATAAAATATTAGCTGTTGCCGTCGTCGTTGTTTTTGTTGTTGTTGTTGTTGGTGATGGAAGTGATTTGTGTAATTTTTGAGTTGCAAATGATGTTGCTGAGGAATGATGATGTGCTGGAGCAGCAACACTGTGATGTCTACCTAATGGTGAATGTCCACTAGCAACCATAACTGATTTACGCTGATGCTGTCGAAGAGATGACGACGACATAGCCTTGTATGTTAGTTCCTTTTGTACACCGCCGTCATACAGAATACAACAAGGTAAACGACGATGCCAGGATCTTTATTCCGTTACTTGCTGTTCTGCTAATGGAAAAAAAGCGAGCGCGCTAAGCTAGGACGACGATATGCATACTTCATACGTCAGAGAAGGAAAACTAGTGTCGCGGTATTGCTACCGCCCCATCTCTAATTGTTTTCTGCGAGTAAGTCGAGCCATCGGTTGTAGCGGTAACGAAAGACGATAAGCCAGAATCGACCAACCAACTCATTCTGTTTACATCAGCTGCAACAACAGCTTTTCTCGCTCTCTCCCTCCTTAAAACATACGACTATTATAATGATGATAATGAATGCAAGAAGAGTTTTCATTCATAAACAAAGCACACATGGTCTTTATCTTTTTACGGTATTCTCATTGTTGTTTATTCATACTAATAGATAAATATACTTGTTGTTTGTAAAAAAAAACACGAAACTCTTTTAAATACCTGTATGAGACAATACGCGAACATTTATGTTGTTGTTTAAGTATTTGTTCTTGACATAATCGATGTATTTCATATTCATATGGACGTGAATAAATTCCACCCATAGATAATGCATTCGAATTAGTAGTATTATTTATTTTTCGCATTGTACCATGATGCATTTCTGAATATTTTTTTTTTTTAGTTCTTTTTTTTCCCTACCCTTTACCGAACAATAATATTATTTGATTCTTATCTTATCTGGACAAAAAGAAATTCTAGATTAAAATCCGAAGATAGATGATGCGAGTACACCAAAATGACGTTCATTTAATAGAACAACTTCGTTTATTTTCTCTCGCTCTATTCTGTTTCTCTCAGTTCAACGTTTATTTCCGGTTCTGTTCACGACATTCTCGTCCTTGTTGCCTGTCTGTTACTGCAGAGTTTATTATCAATTTACTCATGCTTTATACTGCATACTTCTCTCGTTCGCTCTTGCTTTTACATAGACAGACACACACCATTAGATCACGCTCTTCTGATAGAAGTGTGTGTAATTGTCGTTCATCCACTGCAAGATATAAAGACCAAGAAAAAAAATCTCGAAGACAAAAGAAAAAAAACAAAAAAAAAAAAGAGAAAAAAAAAAGAAAAGATTTTATAGAAAGAATGAACTCAATAAAAGATAAAGACTAAAAGCATTCAATAGTTTTCACGAAAAACAAGAAGAGAGGCAAAAAACACACAAAGGGGAAGAAAAGTGATGAATGTTTATCTGTTTTTTCTCTTTATGAAACTTACTTGAAGACCATTGGCACCAATGCTGTTGTCTCCGTCATTATTATAATCAGAAGTAATCAACATGATAATAATAACAATGAGTTACTTGATTTGTATTCATTGAACATATTAATATAAACTACATCTAACCAACAAATACATTTTTGGAGAACAATACAAATGAGCTCAAGAAAACGATTAAATGACTGTGACTACCAAAAGAAAATAAAAAATGTGTGCACTCTGCAAACTAATAGAAAAATGTAAGAGAGAGAGAGAGAGAGAGTGAATGCAGAAAAATACACCACACCCAATAATAATTTATTCTTTCCCTTGACTACTTGTCTCCTTCGCTCTCTCTCTCCCCATCGCGCGCGCGAGCTTTTGTCAACGGAACAACGACAGCGATAAAAAAAAGATGATTGTCTTCATTCTCGTCTTTTCCGAAGCACAAATGAAATGCATGCATGTGCATACAGGGCCTTAAACCGATTATTTAGGGCAATGCAAAAGCGCGATTGATCACTAATGAATTGAATTGGAATGTATGACAAAAAAAAAAGACACAAGCATGATTTTGAAAAATGTACGATAATAATCATTATTAATCCATTTATTAAAAACAAAAAGATTTTCTATTTTCAATAAAAATTAATCGATTTGTTCTCAATCGATTGTAATATAATGCCATCTTGATCGTTACGCGTTTTCTCCTCCTTCTAATGATCCTCTCAGCTAAACTCCAATGCATAAAAACCAATCATCTCTTGGTCCATATTTTACCATGTAACAGGTTCTTTTTTTATTTATTTTCTTTTTCATCCCTTTTCATCTACCCTGTTAGTTTCATATATTTGTTCATATTATTTTTTAGATTATTTTTTAGTTTCTAACAAAAACAAACCATCATGAAAGCAAAAGGTAATCTTCGTGAATATCGTATAATCGGTCGTAAACTTCCATCACCAACATTAAAAAAGCCACCACTCTACGAAATGCATATTTATGCACCTGATGAAGTTCAAGCTAAATCACGCTTTTGGTTTTTTTTACGTCAGCTTAAACGTGTAAAAAAAAGTGCTGGTGAAATTGTCGAATGTAAAGTAATCAATGAACGTAAACCATTAACTGTTAAAAATTTCGGTATTTGGCTTCGTTATGATTCACGTTCAGGTACGCATAATATGTATCGTGAATATCGGGATTTAACCAGAGCATTAGCTGTTACACAATGTTATCGAGACATGGGAGCTAAACATCGAGCAAGACCATCAACTATTCAAATTATGAAAATAAAACGTTTACCTGCTAAAGAATGTCGACGACCACATGTTACACAATTTCATGATTCGAAAATTAAGTATGTAACAAAAACAAAAAAACAACGATTCCTAGTTTCAAAAATTTTATTCTTTATTGTTTTTTAGATTTCCAATGGTTAATAAAGCAACAAAACGTTTACACCATCCACGTTTTACAACACGTCGTCCTCATACATATTTTTAAAACAATCAATACAAAAAAAAGCCAGACGTATCATCACATCTAAATTGTTTTCTGTATTGCATTGTTTTTGACAAAGAAAAAAAAAACTGGATAATCAACAAGAATAAATATTAAGATTAACTTTATTCTTTGTCTTTGTTTTTTAAACAAAAAAAAGGAAATGACAATCGTTTTAGGTTTTGAAGAGATTTTGCCAGTTGATGAAGCATTCTTTGATAAGATCATTGTATGATGAAAATTAACATATCCTGTTTTTCTTTATATAAAATTTGGGTTCGGCATGACCGCGACCGTCAGTTACTTACATGTTGGAAGGGTTTAAAGCTTAAAAATGCAGAAAGCTAAGTCAATGATTAAAAAGAGAATGATCGATTGTATTTAAAATGAAAACGTTTCTATTTCTAAGTAGCATTGATTACTCTAGACACGTGAAATCTTTGTTAGAGTGAACCATTCGAAAATTTGTGTAAAAGATGTTATCAAAATACCTCTTTAAACAGCGATCGATCAGAAGAAAAAGAATTCTTTAATTAGTTATTAATCAATCGGATATGAAGTACTCTTTCAACATATGACTTTCGTAGAAATGTTAGGAATCTACGAATCAAGATAATAAAGTTCAAAAATCATTTCTACTTTTGATGAAATTCTTTAACGAAACTCGCTTATAACGTCTTTTGCTGACTTCAATTACTACTGTTCTGAATAAAAACGACCTCGCTAGATAGAACTCAACATAAGTTTCACTGAACACACTCATTTTGAGTATAGTTTGATTTAATATTCGCATCCGTTTTCTGAAAATATTGAGTTACGGAATCTTGATAGCAAGAACTTCAAAAATAAAAAACGGCATGCAAATGATGAAGCGTACGCAAAAATTGATGTATTTCACGATAATTTGTTAAAATCAACCTCTTTTATCAATTTCATTTCACGATTTGGATAAAAATAATTTTTCTTGCATTTACTTGACTAAGGTATTCACTCTAATCAATGAAATTTAAATACATCAATTTTCATGTCTGTTTCATCATTCGAAACGCTTTTTTTTCATGTTATTGATATAAAATTCATAAAAGTCATGAAATTTATGTCATTTTTTAATTGCTTGAATAGTATTCAAATTATGCAATGCTGATAGAACATGAAGTGTTTTGCTTAATTTTTGCTCATAAGAATGCACATATTTGAAATTAACATTAAACTCTGAACAAAATGGAATATTGGCTTAATCAAAGAACCCCCACCGGATTTGATGATCTATCTTGAAACAGGATACCATACATGTGGGTTTGTAGAACCACTTGCAGTGCACTGGATGGCATATAGGAATCAAGTTTTCCTCAAGTTTCGGCGTGTTGAAGGTCCATATATTGATTATAATAATTCTTTAGTAATATATATGGTACTTATAGACATTGCGGTTCGTAAGATGTTCTAAAATAGCCTGATGCAAATTTTATGTTTAAATTCAGTTCAATACAGGTATAAGCGCTCTTCAATTTTCTATAATCAATATTTTTCATCGTTGTTTTTTTTTATATTTAAAAATGATTTCTTTTCTGACGTCTAGGTTATTTCTTGATTATATGATATTCTCGTGTATTTAGCTCTGTGTTATAGAACAAATGGATAGTAACATTAAACTTTTACAAAAATTGCACATTATCAAACTCTATATGTTTCAGAAATAACATCTTTCGCAACAGCAGGAATTCATTGTTAACTTGCAAGATTATCTCCTAGAATAGCCTATTTTTCTATATTAAGAGAGCAGTATATTGATGATATTTTAACAATTCTCAATGGTCCTATTATAAATTTCTTATGTACCAATAATCAACACAGGATCCCTGATGAATTGATATACATAACTCCTTTATAAACGAAAAAGTTTTTTGGCAAGGAATCCCTGGGACGGGGTAGAGGGATATGAAAAAATTTATTTTTGGAATGATCATAAGGTATTTAAGGATTCTTTTAGAGTTTCATCCGTAAATCAAACTTGGACACTATGAATAAAACTTGAAAAAAGTAATATTAAAAATAACTGACCTTCTTTCGACAACCATACTCCCGTACCGTTCTCCAGGGATTCGGAAGTCAAAAAGACTTTTTTCCGTTTGTAAAGAAGTTATTTATATCAGTTCATCAACCATGTTTTACTGATTATTGGTACATAAACATTTTTAATAGAACCATTGAATGCTGTTGAAATATCGTCAATATAACGCCCCCTTAACATAGAAAAATAGGCTATTCTAGGAGACAATTTTGCAGGTTGACAATGAATTCCTGTTCTTCCAAAAGTTACTGTTTCTAAAACATATAGAGATTGAAAATGTGCAATTTTTGTAGAAGTTTAACGTTCCTACTCATTTCTTCTATGACACAGAGTTAAACACACGAGAATATCATATAGTCAAGAAATAACCTAGACGTTAGAAAAGGAATCATTTTTTTTTTGTATTTTGCTAGCTGAGTAACACCGATGCCTAGACGAAGATCTGTCGGTCAGTACCTAGAGATTAAAACATAAGAATAGAGAGTCAGACTTTGTAGAGAAGATAGTAGAAATAATAGAGAGGGAACTTGAAGGGCGTAGAAAAATGAGGACAGATTAGTACCGTACACAATCAGAGAGGAGACGTTAGATACATGATGATGGTAGATATACTATACTTGAAAGACGAGAAAACAAACAGACAGATTGATGTAACAGCAAAGATATACACACCAGTACACAACAGCTTGAAATACTTCAGAAGGTTTCGGGAAATTCCTTCAATAACTCGATATCATCCGGTGAGAGCAGAACAATTGTGTTTGTGAGGAGATTTTCTTCATGCTAGGGCAAACATTTTTCCAGAACCGTTTTATGATTGATGAATTGTTTAGTTCTACGAAGACCCTGGATCCTTAGCTTACCTGTTAGTCATTCATTTCTATTTATGTTAAGAATTAGTTGCTCTGCAAGCAATTTACCATCTTTCGATTCAGCAAGTGCTTTGAAATATGTATTTCAATAACGCGTGCGTCTATTAACTAGCGGGACTTCATTGAATACAAACTCGAAGAACTCATCTGGTCAGCTCTGACAATGTAAAAACCCGTTTTAAGCAGGTGACATAGAAATGCTCTAAGTGACTACGTTGACATTCAGAGAGGAGAGGGAAAATCGTGAAAAGCCAAGTTAATAATGGGAGAACATAGCAACAGAACAAGACTGTACACAGTTCTGGAGATGAGGTTCCATAAATACGACAGGAATTTATCATACCAACTCTTTTTGTCGAACTTTTAATAAGGATTTGTTAATCATAGTTGACCAGTCTAGTTTGGGACTGATTCAATAGCCTAGGTATTTAAAGGACTTACACCATTTAATGGGATGATTGTCACAGCTTAAACTATATTTCGGTCCCTCATGCGCTCCCCAAGCTTTGGCGGATCAGAGAGCCTCATTTTTTTCAAAATTAATCGGTTGGACCGAGAGCAGTGAGTAGTACTCCAGACTATCGAGAAAATCATTTAGGCTTCGCTTTTGATCTAGACACTGTTCTGAATATTTAGCTCAAATCCGGCCTGTCATTGTGGCCGCTAAGTCATTCACAAAAAAAAATGAAGTACATCTTTGCAAGAATTGGTCCATATCAGCATGATATGTGATGAAAACTAACAGGATTAGGCTGGATCTCTGGAGTTCTCCACGGTCAATTGAAAACCATAGGGATCTAGATCCATGAATTTCTACATAGCCTCTTTTGTCCATTAACCATGCTTGTATCCATTCTACATGTGCACTAGGAATCCTAATACAACTGAATTTGCCTACACAAATCTCCACCCATAACTGGTCAGAGGCCTGTTTGTAATCTACAAACACTGTAGCCACAGGAGAACTGCTAGACATAAAGGACGCCATTTGTTCGATCAATAGCAAAACTCTGGTTTGGAGTCTGAAGTTGGATCTAAATCCTGATTGCGTATCGAGAAGGATTCCATGTCCCTTAAGTACATTCTGAAATCTATTTAGGAACAATCTTTCAATTATTCTTAGGAAGATATCTAGGAGTGAAATGGATCTGGTGTTAGATGCGTTGCAGATAGCTTCTTTCTTAGCGAGTAGAATAATACGAACATCTTTCCAGAGAGAGGGTAAACAGAATGAAGCACAGGATCTATTAAATAGTTGTACGAATAACATCTAGTATTGTGGAGGTAGGAATTTAATAAGAAACGTCGAGGGACCATGAGCATCACACGATAGCTTTTTCTCCCTATTAGCTACCATTTTGATAACTTCCTCAAATGTTACAGGAGGAATTTGCTCATCTTCATTCTCCCACGACAACGGAGGTACATCAACATAGGAATGGGTACGAACGATGTTAGGTGCTGAGTAGATCTGTTTGTAATGCTCAGCAGCAATATCTACCATTTTTGCACTATCTCGTATAATTTCACCTGTCGAAAGCACAAACCCATGCAATGATGTACTAGCTGGTTTGAAGAACCGTTTTGGTTTTGACAAAAAAGTTACTGAAGTATGAGAAGATGAGTACCGCGTCGGGAGACTTTTCCTTAGTCGATCCGAGAGAAAAAGTTTTAACTCTTTTTTCAGATTAGCTCACAAGTGACAGATCATTCTTCTCAACTCACAATCACCTGTTCGACAGGCACGAAAAGAAAATGAACGACAGTATGAAAGCCAAGCTCGAATTGTATTTGATAAAGCTACTCGATATTTATTTATCGGAAAGTGGACTGTATACCTAGCAATTCATAACGACAGAAATGACACGTAAGAATTGAATAGCTTCTTTTCTCTTGATATGGTACAATAGAAATTCATTATCTTTAGTAACATTAATATCTCTAATTGATTATTATGAAGAAGAATACAACTATGAAAGTTTTCGAAACATGAATAAGAAATCAGACACGTATTTAAAAACTTGTATAAATAATAATGAACTTTTTTCTAACAGTGATTAAAGTATATGAATATTTTTATTTTTATTCTATTATGTAACTGGAATTCTTCCATAAAAATATTATTTGTAAAAGACAAATATTGACTAGTTTTGCTTTAAAATGCATGGTCAGTTGAAATTTATTTGATGGCTAGCCAACAGTTTTCAAGTATTAAAAGATATTTCTTACAGGAGAATATATCGGTGAAATCTTGTGTCAACCTTTTTCTCCACCTTCAAAACTAAACGAAAAGTGTCAAAATAAATGTCAACGGTTTTATTCAGAACTTCTATAATCTTTAGCAATATTGTATATATAATTTTTCTCGAAATGATTGATAGTTTGACAAAATAGCACGTTAGAAATATGACAGTAAAACACAACATTTCTTTAAAAACGACTTGATAATATTTGGATTCCGGAAGCTAATATCAACGTATAACAAATACGCATTGAATTATATCATACAATGAAAATAAACTTTCAAACTCTTGTTTAGAAATTTAGATGAGATTATGTGAATCTCACATTTTGGTTCTTGATTAACTGCCTTGATAATAGAGATGGAACAGGCGATCGGTTGGTGTACCTGTGGATTGAGCCATTGTCAGTATATCGTATCTCTTTTCGTAACCTCATAGAAAGTATTTGTTGAGGCTAAACGAATCAATTCGTATAAATGATAAACGAACCTGAGCAATTTTCATCTGTAGAATGCAAGTTCTTTAATCAGAGGCGTATGTACAAAGATAGAGCAAATATTGGCTCAGTTTTTGAACCAGTTGGTTGACGTTAGACAACATGAATCTCGATAAAGAAGAGTCGGAAGTGTTATCTCTTCACTTTTTACCTCGTGTCTGCGAAATTTCGATAAATCGCTCGAAAACTGTCTGTCAAATTTTCACAAACAATTCTTTCGTTGCTAGTCAGTCTGCCGAATTGTAATGAAAATTTTTCGTTAAAATACAGCCTAATGATGTCAAAAGCTATCAAACTTCGTATTATAACTGTGAAAATTTCTACAATACTCCCTTCCATCAGCTCAATCTCCGGATCCTAGTGTAGACTTTTGTCGATGGTCTGTTTGGATCACTGTTTCATGGTATGCGAGTTCATGATATTATCAAACTCGATTGCTCAGTCATATTTTAAGCTAATAATCAATAAAGGAACAAAATGTCGACATGAACAAATAACGTGTTATTGTTGACGCATGAGAGATCATCGCTCTCATCTTAGCGTTGAGCCGGTACGTCACAGTAAAGAAATAATGATATTATATTTTGTTGTTTGGAAGATACAGTCTAAAACTTCGTTGCATTACACTGTCTTATTGTCACTCTCATGATGAACAGCATAGATATATCCTGATTTAAAACGTCAAATAATATTTTGATACTGCTACAAGATTTTTAAGTATCTTTTAGCACTGGTTGTGACCTAATCAAATATCTACACTGGTATTAAGTATACTGCAGAAAGAATTGATGCTAAGTATCGCAATGAACACGATTTTACATCCAAAACATAAAAAATATCATTTAATTAACTTTCAATCTATCTAAGCTGTAGTGAAGAACGCTAAAAATAAGCAGGCATATACGAAACTCATTAAAAATACCCTGTTTACTAAATCAAATTATAATTAAAAAGCTCAGCTTCTATTTAAAAAAAACATATTTTAATCAGTTTCTAAAAAAAAATCAAAGTTCAGATGTTCTTTGGCACTATGTATGATACACCACTTGAACATCACTCAAGAACTAATTAGTAATTTTATAAACAAGATTTCATTCTATTTGGACCTATACAATGTGAAATTGGTAGAACTAGACAAGTTCTTCTATTCAGAACCTTTATTAATTTTATTGGAATTAGTGGTGCAAAGAATTACGACGAGTTTTTTCTGAATTTGACGACTGCGGTATTTTTATTGCAGTAACCAAAAGTTCTTACGGAGATGAAAGACTCTTTTTCGAAAAGCGATCTATAGAACCAATAGAGTTCGATGATTTCTATTTGGAGTCAAGATAAGTTGAATTCGAAATAGCTTTATAGTGATCCTCTTCAAGAAATATTCGAATATTGACGTAAGATATACGTAATTTTTATTCCATTTTTGACTAGTTCTTGCGGATACACATTTCCATGTTGATTTTCCTGTCTATAATTCAGTTAAGCATTATCTATAAAAAAGTTTTATTTCGATTGAAAAATCGTGTTATTTTGCTAAGAATCAAGAAACGATCGTTCTCATTCATTTCTCAATTTTCAATCTTGTCTGATACTTTTTTCTGAAAATCTTTTATACTGATGGTTGTAGCACACAATGCTCTGTAAAAGATACGCTACTTTAAAGCTTTTTTCCAAGCTACAATCATTTTAAAAAAGGGCCTAGAATTGGAAAGATTTAGTTAAAGAAAAATATTATTTTTGCGAAAAGCTAATTTTTCAATATCAAGATTCAATATTTCAAGAAAGCTAGACGAAGTGTTTGCATTCGCCTTGGTAATATCATTTGAATAAGTCATTGTTTTAAACCAAATAGTAAAATAGTGCAAGTGCTATACACGAAATAACTGACGTGAGATATCTTATTTTTATCGAGTTTTCAGATCTTTTCATGTTTCGATGATTATAAAACTCCGACAAACTAAATCTCAAAAACCAAAACCATTCTTCACAACCGCCATTTGACGTAAGGAGTTGATTGATGTAAAAAAAAAAAAAGAAAAGAACATGATTTTATGCAGACTGTAGAATCATCTTCGTTGATACGCTGATGTAGCGTCTCGTAAAGATATTTAATAATAAGGTAACTATTTGTGCCGTAAATTTAGTGCCCTAAATGATTCAACACAGAACTTAATACGGTCTGCCAAAGAGATGAGCACAACACATAGGGCTATGCGACGGTCCTAGTGTTTTGGTCTATCCTAAAGGAACAGTGATTCGAGAACAGCAGGATAGAACAGAACGCAAACAATCTAGTTCTATGCTTGTATGTGATTTCTCTCTGCAATGTTCGTATAGCATAATACTTACCATATTCGGTTATAGATGATACTCATGATGAGTTGTAGGTGTCACTACTTAAATGGCGAACAACGCTAGCCTCACCATTGGTTGATAAAACTATCAAATCATGAACATACAATATTAAGAAAAAAAAAAAGAATTATAAATAAATAAGCAGCACATATCGATTGTGAGGTATTCACTCATATTTCTATAGATCATTTGTTTTATTCTCTTAATTCGTGTTTTGTTCAATTTTTTAAAAAGATTTCTGACATTTTCAGAACACGGTGCTATATGGATTTAATTGGCATCAGAGAAGAGCACCGAAGAGAACGTGGCAATCGTCCTATCCTAGAAGATAGAAGAGGACAGGGCAAACAAAACTTTCCTGTGCTCATGTCTGGTATGCCATATTCATCAACAGTTCCTTCGAATACGTATTATCGAAGATCACGTCCGATGCCATCAATTACTACTGCACATGTAACATCATTAACAAAAGCTATTGAATCAGGCAGTATGAATGTGTCAACAGGAGCTTATAATCGAATGCGGTCACCAAGTCGTTATATTCAACCATCACCTGAACGAACGATAAGAGCCAGTGTAAGAACTACACAACGGACTAGATTACCAAGTCAAGATCGATCAGAAAGTTTTAATAAAATTTTATTTTATTTTATTTTAATTGAAATTTCTTTTGTTTTTAGAATTTGATGAAAACTAATGTTGCAAATAATTATACTGTTGAGCATGTGTCAAATCCAACAGTTACTGTTTATAGTATAGCATCTGTACCTCAATCAACGAATTATAAAGATAAAGAATACACAGTTTCAGAAAATTCAATGAATGAATCGAGATTAATCAACGGTGGTTTATGTGGTCTTCAGAATCTAGGAAATACTGTAAAATTTTCAGAGTATATATTTAAAAAAAATTCATTAATTATTTATTGTTAGTGTTTTATGAATTCGGTGCTTCAATGTTTGGCAAATACAAAACCACTTCTGTTATTTTGTTTACAAGATAATCTTGATAATTATTTGAATACATCAACAACAAGTGTTATGAAAGGAGCTTTAATGACAGGTTTGAAAAAAGGAAAAATTATTTTTTTATCTTTAAACTTTATATGAATTAACTATTGTAGAATATGCAAATTTAATTCGTAAAATGTGGCTTTTACCAGAAGGTCGGTCAGTTGTTAGTCCATTATCATTTAAAAATACAATTGGAAAATTTGCTCCACGTTTTACTGGCTATTTGTATGAAAAATTTTTTATTATATTTAAAAAGAAAAATCAAGTTTTATTTTACTTTAGAGAACAAGATTCACAAGAATTTTTAAGATATCTTTTACAAGGCCTTAGCGAAGACGTTAATCGTGTACGACAAAAACCAGTACCAATTACAATTGATGAAAAACAAGAGGAACGAATGAGGTTAGCATAAAGATTATATATATATATTCAAAGTGCCGAATACGCAAAATTAAAGCAGAAGTTTTTTATTCTTTTCTTTATAGATGGTCAGATAGAGCACGACGAGTTTATCAAGAATGTGTGTTTGCAATTGTTTGAAACTACTTGTTTTTTGAAAAAACTCTCAGATTTCCTCAGAAAAACAGGCCAATTTTCAATTTTTTTCATTTCCTTTAAATTTCAAAAATACTTTGCGTGAAAAAACAGAATCTAAGGAACTCATCTATAAATAAGTTTCCTAGATTCAGTTTTTCGCGTTAAATTTGAAACAAACATTTTTGAAATTTAAAGGAAATGAAAAAAATTGTAAATGGATCTGTCTTTCAGAAAAAAGTAGGTCATTGGAAAAAACTGAGGACTTTCCACTGAAAAAATATTCTTAAAAATTGAAAGTGCACATACTGTTGATGAACTCATCATTCTCTATCTAACCATATATACAGAAAAAAATAAAAAGACTTCAGCTTTAATTTTGCATTTCCAACACTTTATAAATCGATTAACTAAAAGAAATTTTTATGTAGAAAACTCGAGTGAAAGTAACATTGATTATTACGAATAAAGTTTATGCATGACACTTTACTTAAAATAGCTGCTTACTGGATACTGAATATTTTATTTCATTGTTCGTTTTTCACTATTACTTGTCTAGAGAAAATGTTCATTTATTTTTCAGCTTTTTTAAAGAACCTATAGAAATTTGAAAACATTGGATTAGAATCAGAGTTTTGTGCTCTTTTTGAATGACTTCGAAATGTTTGTAGGACTTTTACTTTATTAGTTATGAGCTGACCCTTGAGAGACTGGTAAATTAAGTTTGGACAAACTTAAGCACACCAAAAATTGGCTAAAATAGAAACGAAAATTATTTTCAATACATAACGAGTGAAAGAGCAAACATTTCTTAATAAAATGGTATATTAATGATTAGTTAACTCTAAATCATTTGTTAACAGCAACTGTTTTATTAAGGAACACTAAGTCCATTTAGACTATCTTCTCAATTCCTATGGAAAAAAAAATACTTGCAATATGAGCTCGACCATTCCTGAAGGATTGCTCTGAAACTATGCAAAAAAAAACTCGGTAGCATAGCGTTTGCAGTAAAAGAGATTACAACAGCAAACAATGCCAATTTTTTCTGTCTAAACTTACTTTTTGTACCTGTAAAAAGGTCAGCTTATAATTTCTGAACCAGAAGCCCTACAAAAATTTTGAACCGATATTCGAATAGAACACAAAAGTCTAATTCTAACCCAATGTTTTCAAATTTATGCAGACTCGTTAAAAATGTTGAAGAATGAATGAACATTTTCTCTAATTACTTTTCGATCAACCGTTATATCCTATCAATGGATAAGTTCATATAAATCAAAAAAAAATCCATTAGCTTCTCAAATCACTCATATTTGAATTCGAGACTGCATCACTTTTGTTTTGGCTTTCTTTATTGATTATCAGATATTTTTATTTTACTGCTTTTCTTCAGAGAAAAAGATCGTGCAAAAGCAAGTTGGGATCGTTGTTTGCGTTATGAAAATAGTCCTCTTGTTGGTACATATCAACAAAATTTATTTTATTCATTTATATATATTTAATTTTTTTAAATTAAGATATATTTGCTGGACAATTAAAAAGTACTCTTGAATGTTCTTATTGTCGATATCAATCGATAACATTTGATATGTTTTGGGATTTATCATTACCTTTACCACGTGTAAATATATAAAGAGAAAAGCAAAATAATGAAGAACTTTAAAGATTTCATTTGTTTTTAGGATAGATCATCTACAACTTTACAAGAGTGTATTCAATTATTTATGAGTGAAGAAGAACTTAATGGTGATGAAGAACCAGTAAATAAAAAAAGAATTCTTTTTTTTTTTCTTAATTATTAATATTAATTCATTTTAATTTGATTTAGATGTGTACAAAATGTAAGAAAAAACGTCCATGTACAAAAAAACTCTGCATTCAAAAATGTCCTGAAATACTTGTTCTTCATTTAAAACGTTTTTCACAAATGCGTGGTAGAACTAAATTAAATACACATATAGATTTTCCAATAACGAATCTAAGATTTGATGGCTTAATGGACATTATGTCTGAAAGTCATGAAGGTAAAATTTGAAGAAAAAAAAACAGATGTTTTTTTTTTTCAACTTCGTATTCAAATATTCTAGGACCTATACCAACATATAATTTAATTGGTATATCAAATCATAGTGGTACAGTTTATACTGGTCATTATGTAGCTCAATGTAAACATCCATATACACGTGAATGGCATGAATTTGATGATACAAATGTTCATTTAATAAACGATATTTCAAGAATAATATCTGCAAATGCTTATGTTTTATTTTATGAACGAAATAGGTTTTAAAAACATGGCGATTTTTATTTTGTGTTTTTTTTAATTTGCAGAAAAATTTTTATTTTATTTTTTGTATTTATTTTTTCTTTGAGATCTGAGATCTTCAAAATGATGAATTTTATTAATCTCATACAGTTTTTGTTTTCTCCTTTGTGTTTTTTTTTTTGCTATCTTTACAAGCTAACCATTTTTTTTATGCATGTTTGGGTACATGCTTGCATTTACCATTGCTTTAGTAACTTTCATCAAAACAAAAAAACAACAATAACGCGATTTTTTTAGTTTGATTTGCTCCTTTTCTTCATTATCTGTAGTGATTTATTTCCATTGTTTTTAGAAATTTTTCTAATTATATTTAAAAAAAGTAAATTGAGAGAAGAATTACTTAAATTGATAAGAATTTGCGACAATGAAATTTGATATTATTAAGAAACACTATGAAGACTATATTTATTTTTTTATCGACATGAGCAAAAATAATACTCAATTTTCTTTGTAGATTAAAATAAAAAAAATGAAAATTCCTAATATTATTTCTGAAAAGATCAATATGACTTACCAATATCTAATGTCTCCAGATGGACCTCTAGTGAGTTCCTATTTTGCTTTTTCATTAGTATTCAAATTTTAATTTTGATGTAACTAGATATTTGGAGACCGTACGGAAAACACAATTGTTGGTTTTTGTTTATTAGTTGTTGTTCTTCTACTTTATTATCTTATTCGACGATCTCAAGCGAAAACTCGATGTAAATAGAATCTTTGAAGTAAAGCAAAACGTTTTTTTTTTTTAATAATATTTATTTTAGCAAATGAAAACACTAATCGATTTCGTAAACGTGATAAAGTTCTTCATTATGGAAAAAGATTTCTTCGAACAGTAAAACAATTGATTATCTTTGAAATTTCCTAATGATTATTTTTATTTTTTTGATAGATGCGATCATACTCGTCAACAGCTCGAAACCGTATTCGACGTAAAACAAAAAGGTAGTAGAATAAAAAAGAAATCTGACAAATGTTTTATTCTATTATTAACACAGATCTCATCAACAAAGAACACCATCCGAATTAACCTACACATTACCACGTAAACCTCCTGAATTTTTACTTGATACTGATGGTGACACAACAACTACATCAAATCAATGTCAGATTCCAGCTGAAATACTTTATTTATTAAAAAGTGTCAAGTATGTTGATAATTTACATGTTTTAAATCAATTACATGAAATCATATTTTTGTTTTAAAGGGTTTTTGGTCATTTTGAACGTCCAATTTTTCTTGAATTGTGCAGGTCTTTGGAAAGTAAAATAGTTCTTGCTGGTGCTTATCTTTTTCGCATTGGAGATGCTGATGATAGTTTATATGTTGTACAAAAAGGACTTTTACATGTATTTATAACTGATGAAGTAAGATCAATAACCTTTCTCTATTTTATTGATTTATTCAAAATAAAGAAAAAATAAAGACAAAAAAATGTTTAGAGACATCATCGACATTTAATAAAAGAATGTGTTGAAAGTGATACAGTTTTTTCTCTGTTAAGTATGGTCGATGTAATGACTGTAAGTTTAAAACACAAATTTTTGTGTAATTCTTATTGTTTTTATTAATACAATAGGGTCACAGTAAACCATTTAAAACTGTTAGTTGCAAAGCAATTGAAGATAGTGTTGTACTTAAATTACCAGCTGCAGCTTTTCTTAATGTATTCAAAGAATATCCTGAATGTATGGTTCGAATTATTCAAGTAAGTTATCATACTAAAGAATAGAAAAAGATCACATGAATAAAAAAGAATGGTTCGTGAAACGATGAAATATATCTTCTCACGAAATTGAGATTATTATTTCTTCAAAAGTTAATTACCGTCCGAATCAGATCGTTAAGCTTCATTTCGGGTGTGTGTGGCTGACTCAGATTTCGATATGATCGGCCTATTTTACTGTTATGCAATGCAGCGTTCATACAGCAAGTTTGTCTTTCTTCTTGACCTCTCTTTATTTGACTAATTTATTAAATGAAAACTATTTCCTTCCCTTATCGAACAACATATAGGAGCATGACAAAATTTTATTTTTGTCCTTTTCCTTTTAGATGGCACAGTTCGCTTGTATATGTAATATGAGGACACCCATGACAGAACTTCCTTGCTATTGTAGAGTGAAAGTAGTAATCCACTCTGAATTATATATAGTTCGATAGGCTTTTTAAAAGATTCTAAAAACAATACTTTTGTGTTAAGCTTAAATTGTGCCCAGAACACTTTAGTCAAACGTGCAATGTTCATGAATGCCAAAAGTTGCTCTTTTTGTCAAAGCTTTAACAGGTTTTGGTCATAATAATCAGTTTTCCTATTAAAAACAAGTGATATATTTGAAATTAGGATAAACAACTGAGTCGATCTATATGTGTCACAATATCCTCCGATAACTTTTATTTTCATCTAAAAATTGAGCCTTAGCTTCCTGCGGGGTTAAACCGAAAAATAAAGCAATTCAAAACGTCAGTTTGACTGTCAACAATCCATTATAAACTTTTAAAAACCTAGGAATATCTAACATGACGGATGAATAAAAAATAGAAACGATGTTTTGATTGGCTTTATTTATCAACATAATTCTGAGAAGGTCAAAGATGAATTTTTATACGAAAGCAAAAGTTGTCAGGATTTTGTGACACATAGATTGTCTCAGTTTTTTATGCTGATACTAAATACATCATTTGTTTTGATAGACTGTCTGATTATTCTGACCGAAATCTGTCAAAGAAGGCAAGGAAAAAAAGAGTTTTTATTTGATATATTAGTCAAATGAAGGAAAGTTAAAAAGGAAGGCAAACTTTCCATATACATACTACATTGTATAAAACTATACGAGATTGATAATATCGAATTCTAAGTCAGTTGTACGCTATCAAAATGAAGCTTAACGGACCAATACGAGCAGAAAATGACCGTTGAAGGAATAACAAACTCCATTTTGAGAGAAAATTGATGCCATTGCTTAATAATTGTTCTCCTTTTTTCAACTATAAAAATTAATGATAAGACTTCATTTTATATAATAGATATTGATGATTCGACTTCAACGTGTAACATTTCTTGCACTTCATAATTATTTGGGTTTAACAACTGAATTAACTCATTCACATTATGTCCCTCCACAAGATCAAACCATGCATGATACACAAAATAATCATTATAAACGAAATCATCAACGAATTAATACTCATTCTACAAGCGTTCCTTATGCAACAACGATTTCAATTGATACATTAAGTAATACGCAAAATGATTTAATTGATAATGAAAATTTTCGATCATTAACATCTATTCCAACTACATCGAATAATTCACCATCATCGACTCAAACTGATATAGCAACGATACCTGAAATGGATGATAATAAAAATGGATTTGACAATATCGAAGCATCATCAAGTACTGAACAAACAGCATCTATTCAGATATCAACACAAAAACTTTCAAAGACTTTTTCTAATCAACGATCAATGAGTGCTATTGAAGATCATCATATGAAACCAGATTTTGAAGAAGCAGCAGCACGCGCTCGTGTTAAAAATTCATTAGATACAACATTCTTTCAAAAACATAAAATAAGTTATCCAAATGTATCAAATAATCGAGCAACGAATTCATCTGCTTCACGACGACGAACAAGTTTTTCTGATGTAAAATTGTTTTTTTCTTTTGTTTCATTTTACATTCATATTTCCTCGTTTACCTTTTTTCTTAGCCTGAATCCGCAAATATTTATGCACGATCATTAGGATCAGGCAGTGACAGTGGTGGAAGTGAATATAATGAAGGAATTGATGATTCCGATCTTCAAAGTGAATGGCCACAAATTCGAAAAGCTTTAGCAACAGCACTTGGTTAGTTATTTCATTCTACAGAATGAACTATCAATAACACTACAATAAAAAGTTGAAATATCTCAGCTTTAACTCATTAAAATGAATTAATTTTTTGTGAAACATGATTTAAAAGAAGTGTTGAAATATAGGAGTAGACATTTGGACCTTCCTCCCATATATGTGATAGACGCTGTTGATATACAATTAAAGACTGTATATCAATAAAGTGTTGTTTTACTATATGAACTATTTCCTTATTGCATTGCTCGAGGATTATATGAAAGAATGATGAAAAAATATGTCCCAAGATAGAACGAGTAGAACAATCTTCCTATGATAAGTAACATCAACTACATCATGCTTTACATTTTAATCCTGCAAAGATTCCTCTGACAACTTTTGAGTTAGTGACGGGAGTTTATTCAAAGTTTTTTTCTTTCTGTACGAATATTACTATTAAGTACTATTGTTGACAACATTTGAGAAAGTTTACCTATTGTCCATTAAGAAAAATATGTATGGTGCTTTAAGATAATTTTTCAGTTAACATCTAAGAAAATAAAAATAAGAAATCAAAACAAACTTTATGAATGTTATTACATTGATTTGTCTAAAGCAGATTTTCAGGATTCGTCAGCTTAAAATATAACAGTTGCAATATTTCGTATTTTTAAGTATAGAACACTGGCTTTTGTGAGGAGGTTGACGATTTAATATCGAACAGACTTCAATCAAACATTTTAATTATCGAACACGAATTTCAATATTTAAATTAAATAATTCTGAAAATTCACTCTAGGTACACTAATGCAATAACACTCATAAAGTTTGTTTTGATTTCTTCTTTTTATTTTCTTAAATAACAACTTAGAATCACCCTGGAGTGCTACACATATTTTTCTTACTTGACAACCGGCAAAGTTTCCTCAGTGGCGTTAACAATAGCACTTGATAGAGATAGTTGTTTACACACTATTCTCGCATGTAAAAAGAAAAGTGTTGAATAAACTTATAACATTAACTCAAAAGCTAATGTGTGAGTGTGAATGGAGAGAAGCATCAGATCTATACCCGACACCTACCCCTTGAACTGAAGTGGAAATATTTCAATTTTTTATTGTAGTGTTATTTATGGTTAATTCTGTTGTTTATTGTTATATGAAATATGTATATTTCTTTTGAATAGGTTTTGAAGGAGATTTAGCATTACTCGATACTAAAGCTCATTTACATCGTTTACCTGATAGATATACATTAGTTAAAGAAGGTGAACAATTGAATAAATTATTTTTTGTTATACATGGTTCAATAGCAGCTTATATGAAAGAAATAATTGGACCAAAAAAAGAACGTAATAAATTTTTAACTTGAAAAAAAAAAACGAAATATTTCTTTTATTTTTTTCATTATAAAAGGTGTAATGTTTACAAGTCAAACTAATGAAATCAGTGGTCTTGTTAGTGTTCTTACTGGTGGTTAGTAGTTTTTCTTCTTTTGTTTTTCTTTTTGTGTAATCAAGAGTTAATTTATTTATAGAACCAACATTATTTTCATATCGTACTCATGGTTTAACAGATATTTGTACGATAACAAAAGAAAATTTTTATGATCTTATGCGTATTCAGCCAAATCTTGTTTTACCAATAGCAGCTAGTTCGTTTATATGTTTTGTTTCTTTAATTTTATGTTTTTTATTAATATGTTATTAGTGATGGTTCAACGGATGTCACCATTAGTACGTCAAATTGATTTTGCTCTTGAATGGATGCTAGTTGAAGCTGGAAAAGCTTTATATCGGTATGAAAAAAAAAACAGAATTTCTATTTGGTTGAATTTTTTAGTTTTTCTTTTATTAATTTAATAGACAAGATTATAAACCACAAAATGTTTATATTGTTCTTAATGGTCGTGTTCGAAGTGTTTTATTAACACATGATAAAAAACGACGAGAATTAATTGGTGAACATGGTCGTGGAGAAATGGTTGGTCTTATTGAAGTCTTAATGGAAATGCCTAGACAATCGACAACAATTGCTGTTCGGTATGTTATTAAAAATTTTAAATTAAATATTAAAAATACAAATAAATTATTTTTAGTGATACGGAATTAGCTGTGATACCATCTGGACTATTGAATTATATAAAATGGCGTCATCCACGTGTTGTTTCTCATTTAATTCATGTATTATCACAAAAAATCTATGGAACTATGCAAAATACATTAACAAGTCGTGTTGGTTTAGGAATGCCGTTAGCTGATGGTAAAAATATTTATGAGACTTAACAATCTTTTTGTGAAACATAATCTAAAAGGAATATTGAAATATATAGGGTAGACACTTGTATCGTTCACACACTGTGAGCATCCAGACGGACATTAACTGAAAATATTGAAAGTATACTTTTTAATGGTTTAAAAAGGACAACACATACTCTGACCAATGCGTTATTTAATCATATAAAAGTCTTTGTTTCTCTTGTTTGCTATAGTCGAAAAACATGGAGAAAACTTCGACGAAAAATCTGAAACTGCGCCTTTCATTCTATAGATTCGTAAAACCAAAGCTTTCGCTTTTATCTATTTGGGATTCGAAGAAAGTCATTTCTCTTTAGCACTGAGTGCTTTGACGGACACATGTGTTTTCTATGATGAGTTTGCACAATTTTTAACAATTCCAAATCGAACGAAACTTACACAAAATATCTCCGTCCCCTCCCTCGTTCATATCTCCGATATAGCGTTCACTGGTATCAGCACGAACATTTCAGAGCTGATCATAAAGCTTTGTTAGACATATAAGGTCTTTCTAAGTTAAAAAAATCATATATCCGCCTGTTCTATGGGATAACGGTCACTGTATCAAACACTAGTCAAAGACCATTACAGAACATGACAGATGCTGTTGACATACGATCAAAGCCGTATGTCAAGGACATCTTGCTCTTATATATGAACTACTTTCTTATTGCATTTCTGAATGATTAAGTAAAATGATGGTGAAAAAATGTATCCCAAACTATATAGAATAAACAATCTCTCTTTGGATAGTAGGAGTAGCTACATTGTGTTTCACATTTGAATTCCGAATGGATTGTGCTAAAAACTTTTCTTTTATTTAGATGAATTTCAAGAACAAGCAGCAGCATTAAATAAAAATTTATCGACTGTTGCAATTGTTGCTGCATCTGATGATGTTCCACTTGATTCATTTACTTGTGAACTTGTTCATAGTCTTTTAGCTATTGGTAAGAAAAAATCTATTTTAAATAATAAGTTATTTGTTTTTTTCTTATTTAAAAAAAAACCTATTTAAGGTCCAACACTTCATTTAACACAACAATTAATTATTGATCGTTTTGGCGTTAGTGCATTTGAAAGTATTAATGATTATCGTTTAAGTGCGTGGCTTGGTCAACAAGAAGAATTGCACAGAATTGTTGTCTATCAATGTGATAAACAATTAACACCATGGACAAAACGATCACTTCGACAAGCTGATTGTATTCTCATTGTTGGTATTGGATGGAAAGAACCAGTAAAACGATCGGTTAGTATTATTTTATATTCCTGATTATAACGTAGAAAGAGAAATTCATTACATAACTATTGGTTATAATATTGAATTAGCATTATTGAGAACTTATAGAATTTCTTTTTCTTTAAGTAAGAAACTTTTTTGTGGTAGTATGAAGTCTTTTCAAAAACACTAAATAATTAAAGAATGAATCTATCAGTTTTGTCTTATTATTAAATGAGGATAAGTTAGATTGAAGTGACATTGTTTGCATGTACGTTGACTGAGAGAATGTTATATCGATCTTGTCATGTGTTTTAGAACTTTGCTTTGAATTCGAATCGTTGTTACATAATTGTAGACAAAAGACTGAACTTTAATAAACTTGGATTTCTACAGGCGTTTTGTTAGAATCTATCATTGTTAACATATTGACTTCATCTGTTCACAACTACGTAGATATAAAGGGTTCAAATCTGTATTTCGATAAATTCGTTGCTAATATATGTTTACTCATGATTGTAAGTTGATAATTCGTTTATAAGATCGAATAAAAGTTCCTATTGAATTATTCTTGTGTTACTTATTTGAAAAATATTTTTGTTTATGAATAGGTTGAACATGAAATCGAACGAATAGCAGTTCGAGCTCAGAAAGAATTAATACTTCTACATCGTATGGGTAGTTTAAAACCAAAAGGTACAGCTGAATGGTTAAAAGAACGTAATTGGTGTACATTTCATCATCATGTTCGATGTCCAGAACGTGTTTTTCAAAATATTAATTTAAAATGTTGGGTATGAAAATCTTTGATTATCTTGTTTTTTTTTGCATTCTAAAGAAATATTCGTATTATTTTTAGAATGATTATACAGATTTACTTGAACCAGATCCAGATCCAACAACTGATTTTGCTCGTATGGCTCGTTTTCTAAGTGGTACAGCTATCGGTCTTGTCTTGGGTGGTGGTGGAGCCCGAGGTTGTGCACATGTTGGAATGATTCAAGCCATGCATGAAGCTGGTATACCCATTGATTTAATTGGTGGAACAAGTATCGGAGCATTTATGGGAGCTTTGTGGGCTGATGAATTAAATATCAAAGGTTATGTTGAAAGGGCAAGCGCTTGGTGCAAAGTAAGGTTTTTTGTTCATTTAATTTTTTTTCTGTTTCTTTTTTCATTTGATTTGATTATACATAGAAAATGACATCTTTTTGGAGAAAACTTCTTGATTTAACATATCCAATAACAAGCATGTTTACAGGTAAATAAATAAGCTGTTTAGCACAATCCATGTGGGATTAAAATGTGAAACACGATGTCGTTGTTCTTGCTAATTGCAGGGATATTGTTTGATTCTATCTATTTAGAAGCATATTTCTTCAATAATTCTTTCACTTAATCCTCGAGAAATACAATAAGGAAGTAGTTCAAATATTATAACAAGGCGTTATTGATGTGCAGTCTTTCATTGTATATCAACAACATCTGTTAGAGTCTGTGTGAGAGAAATGGAGTTCAAGTTCTTACCCCCTATACTTCAACACACCTTTTAGATCGTGTTTCACACAAATTTTGTTTTTATTCACAAAGAAAACTGAATAAATAATTATATTTTGTGTAGGAGCTACATTTAATGAAACTATTGAAGAAGCTTTACTTGATGTTCAAATAGAAGATTTATGGATTCCATATTTTTGTATAACAACTGATATATCAGCATCAAAAATGCGTGTACATACAACAGGTACTATAAAAATTCTTTTATTGATGTTGTAAGTAATAAACGAAAAAAGACGTATGTTGTTCCAAAAACAAAAAAAAATTTTAATTAGATATGAGCATTCCCATATTTTTCTACAGGAAGTGCTTGGCGTTATGTACGTGCATCGATGACTTATGCATTTTATCTTCCACCTATGTGTGATCCATGTGATGGACATCTTCTTGTAGGTGAGAATTTCAAATCGAAAAAAAAAAGAGTAAAAGAACAATGAAAAAAAAAAACAATGATTTTTTATTTTATTTTATTCAGATGGTTGTTATGTGAACAATCTTCCTGGTAAGATTTTAATGACTATAAAGAGAAAATCAATTGACTAAATTGATTTTTTCTTTTGTATCACAGATTCCTGGACAGAGTTTCGCAGCACATCATACGTCTTTTTTCAAGTGATAATTTTATCGAGTTCTTTTTTTTTTTGTGCATTGTTTGAGCTTTTTTCTGTTATGTAAATATAGGATCATTGTGGCGATATGTTAGAGCATCAATGAGTCTTTCGGGTTATTTTCCTCCGTAAGTTTATTTTAATAGATTGTTGATTGCAAAACTAGGCTTTTTTTCTTGATCTGATAGATTATGTGATCCCAATGATGGACATTTATTACTTGATGGTGGATATGTAAATAATTTACCGGGTAAGATAATGTCGTAACTAAATGTTGTTTTCATCTATATTTTATACATATCTTAATAAGTCGAGTTTCAAAACTACTAATTGTTATTGAGAGTATTAATTATTCATGATTCGAAAAAAAATTGCTTCAATTTCGAATTATGTTCACCACTTAATCATATTAGTTACACAGTTGAAAACTTGATATCTGACTTTAAAAAAGCTCCTAACAAGCTTCGTTGTGTATTTCAGAATGAAATCTTATGATTGCTAATATTAACTAACTTACGAATGTGTCATAAACAAGGAGAAAAAAGCGAGACTGAAGACTTGCACTTATAAATAGTCCTAGTGCTCCTCTTTCAGTATGAAATCATAGGACTCATTTTATCCGTCATATCAGTGGCTACGAAACAGTACACTTTATGTTTTCACCAACATTTCATATGGAGAAAGAAAACAAAGTGAGAACTTCACAAATTGGTGCTTTTATTAAAATTATGCATAACAATGTTAAGGACTTTTTGCCTTTCTCTCAATAACTTATGTTAATAAAAAGAAAACAAAGAATACCGTTTTGTAGCGATTAATGTGACGCATTATATGAGCCGTATAATTGCATACCTATAAAAAACAACAAGACTATCAGTGTTATAATATGGAAATACTGATGTTCAATCAATGATTCCTAATGTTCTGATTAAACCATAATTGATTCTCGAAATGGCATATCATAGAATTGTATGATTAATAAATGTTTCAAAATAGTAACTTTTATCCATAACTATGATTATTTTAAATAATTGATGGAAACTAACTGTCCAGGAATCGATGTGATCAAAATTTAAAAAAAAAACATGAATGAAAATAAACTAAATCTTTTAGCGGATGTAATGTATAAGCTTGGCGCACATACTGTTCTTGCTGTTGATGTTGGTGCACAAGATGAACAAAATTTTTATAATTTTGGTGATCAACTTTCTGGTATGAATAGATAAAAATAAAAATTTTGATTAATAAAAAAAAAATATCATACTCAGGTTGGTGGATTTTATATAAACGTTGGAATATATGGTCGGCACCTGTTAAAATTCCTGAATTAAGTGAAATTCAAACTCGTCTTGCTTATGTATCATGTCAACGGCAATTAGAAATAGTAAAAAATTCGAATTATTGTGAATATTTACGTCCACCTATTGATCGTTATCGAACTTTACAATTTGGTTCATTTGATGAAATTCGAGTTCGTAGATTTTAATTAATTATCTAAAAGACAAACAAATATTATCATTTTTTAGGAAGTGGGTTATCATCATGGCAAAGCTGTTTTTCATGGTTGGTCAAAACTAGAATCATATGATGCTGTTTTTCTTAAACAAAAACTTCATTCATCTAGAGAAAAACTATTACGACTAGTAAATATTAATAATTTCTTTTCTCTTAACTACAACAAAAAACATGATTTCTTGAAAACATCTTTTCATAGCGTAAACAAGAATCGACTGGAGCAAAGTTTATTGATCTAGCTGAATTAATAACTCGAGTACGTGAACCACCAAAAGATGATTATGACGACGACGACGATGATGATGATGGTGATGATGATGATGAAATTGGTAAAATAAACATTTTCTTTTCGATAGTGTTGTTTTTTTTTGTGAAACACGATCTAAAAAGAGTGTTGAACAGTATGAGTAGATATTCGGATCTTCCTTTCACAGATGTGATAGATATCCTTAGTAACGGTCAATTACAGGCATGATTGACGTCATATCAACAACATATCACAGATGTAATAGACATCTGTGGTAATGTCTCTCCTTCACCATTGGCCGTAACACACGTTGCTGATAGATTATCACAGATCATATATTCATAATGTCTTGTTATAATATATGAATTGCTTCCTTATTGCATTTCTCGATAACTAAGTAAAATTCTGTAATCAACTACAGCAATTGCATCATATTTCACATTTTAATTCCGCAGAGATTGCGCTATTCATTTTAAATCTAACTCATATATAATCTGTCTTTAGCAACAACAAACACCGAAGATTCACATACTTCAATTTCAAGTAATACAAAGCCTCGTACAAGAAAAATATCACATACAAATAATAGATGGCTTAGTAATGTTGGTGGTGGTTTAAGACGTTATAGAAGACGTGTATGTTCAATTTAGAATTATTAGACATAAAATTATTTTGTTTTAAATTTAGGTTCGATTAATTTCTCGTCCTGAAACACCACCTATAATCGTTCAAGGAGATAGTCGACAAATATTACCTGTAGTTAATCCCAATGATGACAATTAATATAATTATATAATTAATCACGCTGATAAAATCATCTTTGTACGAAATCCGGTCTTGTAAAAGGATGCTTTCAATGTTTTTTTAAAATTGATTAGCTCATTGTCTTATTTATATTCTTTTTTTTTCCTGATTGTAAATTAATTAATTTCCAGATACACAACGATTCCAATAAGAATAAGATTTATTGTGAAACTCATTATTCTATGAATTATTTAATTGAACAGAACAATTTAATGTATGGAATAATCATTTTTTTCTCTCTACTTTACGAGAGTTCAACTCAAATCAAATGGAAATGAGTAGTTAGTTTATTCGAAAAAAAAACAGGAAAAGATTTATAATAATTTTATTGAACATATTAATACGACAATAAGTTTCATAAAGTTTATTTTAACCATAAAATGTTTCGCAGCGTCTAAAAAAGAAATTTTTGTTAAAAATTTATATTTTCCATATAAAAATTTTCTTCTTACCTGCACATGTAATCTGGTCGTTGGTTGGGATTTGGACAATAATTACTTGCGTGTCCTTGTATACGACGACGGCATGTGCATCGTGGTATACTACTACCAGGCACAGTTGAACATGTTGATGATATAAGACATTCAGGTACACAACGTGGTTGAATACATTGACATAATATTGAATCAAGTATCTAATTGAAATAAAATAAAAAAGCAGCATTTTTTTTAATATTATAAATCAAAGAAAAGTTTTACTTTGCCTTCTCGAAGACATTCATCTTCTTTTTTATTACATTTACATTCACACTTTGTATGATTCATTAATGTTAATGGACGATTAACTTCATATTGATTTGTGTCATCCAAGGAAATTAATAATAACTAGATAAAAGAAAACTTTCCTGTATGAAAAAAAATTTTATTGTGTTTTTTTACTAACTGGACTAAATGTCACTGGTTCTTGTACCGTAGATATACAAGAAAATTGAACTTCTTGACAACAACCACCACATCGATGTATTTCAAGACATTGTGGATAAGGTATTCTATTATGACCAACTTTACGATCAACAGGTACTTCTTCACATATAACACGAGGTTCACAACCACCATTGCGGGGTTCAATTGTTAAATGTGTATCTTAAAATAAAATATAAATCCAAAATAAATAAAAAATAAAAGCCTTTAGTCAAATACCTGTTTTTAACTGTTGCGCAGCTGTTTGAATTGCTTCTTGTTCTCTTTTTAATGTTTCAGGAGATAACATTGCTGATAAAACAATCGAAAAAACAACTCAACTTAGATAAACTAATTAATTGATGGTATAATACCCAACGTTTTATTCAATATAACAGCCGAGGGGCACTGTCTCTCCAAAAATTGGGTTAGTTCTCTCGGAATTTGAGGTTATTGCACTATGAACTATGTGTTAGTGCTCCCAAAAAATAGGTTTTCGCTTCCCCACTATTTTAAATCGCTCCTCCGAAAGAAAATATTTGAATAAAACACCGATAATACATACATAAACGACCTTTGTTGCTTGAACTTTTAAGAATAATTAAAACTTCTTGAATTGACTTAGCTTGAGCTAAACGAGCACGAATTTGTGCTTGTTGATATTTATTCTGTACAAAGTAAGAAATCAATTTCTTTTTCTCAAATATAATATTCTCATACTCATACCTCATCACCATTTATAAAATTATTCAATACAATTAAAATAAACATTATAAATAAATACATCTTCATCATACTTTGATATTTGTGTAACAAATATATTTATTCCGTCTTATAGAAAACTATCTCATATGAGAAAAATCTTACATATATAAATAGATATGAATAGATATTCCTTCATCTACTAATGATAAATAACATCAATGTCATTTTCTGACTCATGATACTTCGTATTTTTCTATGATATTTATTTATTTATTTATCTATATTATACATAATATCATATAACAAATCATTGTCAAGAGAATATTTTTTTTTTCTTCTGTCATTTGTCTTCATGGATATTTCATACATTTCCTAAAAAGGAAAGAAGAAAAATTATTAAATATATCAAATGATTAATAGGATAAAAATAAACTAACTTGCAACGAGCATCAGGCTGATAACCTGATGGACATGAATATGCGCCATTTTGACCTGGAATAGGTCGTTTACATACACACGATGGTTTATCTTGTGTACTAAGCAATTGACAACGTTGCATTGCTTGACATTGAGGAAAGCAAGCTTGCTCTCTGCATCGACATAATTCATGATCCAATACCTGAAGAAATTTATGGATGAAAAAAAAAAACTTTCTGTTATATATACCTGAGCATTACTTGGACATGCATCTTCTTTTAATTTACATTTACATGTACATTCCGTATGATTTTCTGTTTTAAATGGTTTCAATGCAGCTATTGGTGGAATAGATCCATCACCATGTTCAAATTTGATAATCTACATAATTTTTCTGTCTTTAAAATCATTATTTAAAAAAAATTGAAATTATTTACAGGACTGAATGAAACATAATCAATTTTTGTTGGTTCACATGAAAATTGTGTCTCTTGACAACAACCAGAACATCGATGAACTTCGACACAATTGGGAAAAATAATACCATCTGTTGTTGCTTGTTGAGCATAAACTGGAACACATGTTATACGGGGTAAACATCCACCATTTACATATGAAACAATTTTATCATCTATAGATAGTGATTAAAAGAAAAAAAAAGAAGACGTCACATCGATTGCTAATTAATATTAAGACCTTTCGGTAAATCAAAGCCAGCCAATTGTGTATTGATTTCTTTTTCAATTTTACGAAAATCCGCTTTTATAAAATAAATAAATAAATAAAATATCAATTATAAATAAAAACAAAAAAAGAATTATTGCTCTTCAGACTATACTTTGCATAGCTACTTGATGTCTATTCCTCACATTTGCATCAGCATATATAGCAAGAGCTTGTTTTAATGTACGAGCTTTCGATAATTGTGCTTTGAAATTCGCAAGAATAAGCTATTGATATGAAATGAATTTAATATTTTGAATACTTTATGAACTTTTACCTGATCACGTGTAGCACCATTAGCTCCATGACTCCAATAAAAGTTTAATATTGTTAGTATCAATATGCATAGAATGAGATTGCCAACCATTTCTATGACTAAGAAATATGTATGCTGTATACAATTGTTGAGATAAAAAATATATCTATGTATATACATCGTCAATGTTCGGTTAGCTTGTCAAGCTTTTCTTTTATTTCTTTATGATATTAATCATTAATGACATTCGCTTAGCAGATATAAAATATGGCTCATCAAACAAAATGCAAAGATGCAATAATAAATTTGCCAGAAACATCATTTAGCAGACATCAGCATAATTGTATAAAAAATGTAATCATATGTTAAATATCACGCGCAAAAAAAAAAAGAAAATGAGATAAAAATTCATCCAGAAGCAACACAAGCCGTATTTGCAACTACCCAAGTAGTGCTCGTTGGACAAGCACATGTACCCGTATTGCAATAAAGTGTTAAAAGACATGTATAATTAGCTGATACTGAACATGAACCACCATATGATGCTCGATTTACTATTTTAAATTAAAAAAGAAAAGAACAATAACTAATCAAGATACAAAATAATATATGTATTTAATATTCATACCGCATTGCGAGGTTGTTGAATCATAATATTTTGTATTGTCACAATTACAAACTAAATCAGGTAAAAATTGAGAACAATTACATACACCTGGCACTGTCGGACAAATCAATGTTGGTAAACAATCACTATCCGATACACACATTTCAGTATAATTAAGACGTGATTCTAAATATTTAGAAAAAAATTAAACAAATTTTCATTTTATTTTCGAAAATACTACGAAGAAAAAATTAAATTACTGCATGCTTGAAAATTGATATTCCAATATTTCGTTGTATAATCACATTGACATCGACTATTATTACAATAAAGATTTTTTGTTGAATCACATTGATTTGAACCCATTGTACATGACTGATTAACAGTATATGCAGTTTCTTAATTCAATTAGGTCAAATAAGACAAAACTTTTATGAAAAGAAGATCGATCTTACGACAAAGATTAGATGAATTCAAAAATGTTCCAGCTGGACAAACACAAGTTGATATATTCCATACTTTTGAATTGCTACATGTACAAGTACCCGTACAAGTAAAGTCAACGGATGGATCACATTGATTTGATGCTGTACATGATTGATTATAACTTAAATATGTACCTAAACAAAGGAAATAAATTTTCAAAGATAGATCACTCTAGGTGAATGATAGGGCACTGGAATCCGTAGATTTCAAACGAGAATGCATCGGAAAATCGTATGAGTTTGGAAGCAACAATCTGGTAATCGAATCCAGTGGCTGATTAAAACAGGTCACGGTTGATACAGGCCGAAACTGGAAAAATCTAACCATCGGATTTCGTCGATGGATTCCTGTTTTCAAGTTCCTACTAGAGATAGAATTAGTTCAGCTTTTTGAAAATTTAAATCGAAGCGAAACCAAGATCGGTTTGAAAAGCTGCGAACTAAATCGATCTTGTCTCGATCTCCTACCTGTTGAAGAAGCGTTTCGAGCGAAATTAGCCGTGCTTCATTTGCTCGAGACGCACTGCTTATATTTCTTCATCATTAAGAATAATTTGTAAATCAATCTGTACATTATCAATTTTCATCATTCTTTTCAGTCAACCATCAATGATAAAAAAAACCTGTATAACTGTCAAGTTGTATTTAATCTTAAGCTGCTAGGACAATTCGTCGCATGACATGTTAATCTTAAAGTATGCTGAAGGAGCATCGAAAGTGAGTGAAGGTGGATATGGTTGGATGTGTAGATCAGGTTGTTGGTGAAGGTAAAAAAACGTTCCTTGCACACACCGACATCCACACACCCGCGACGAATCATTTGTTTATCTACTCTTATAACTATGTGACACTAATTAAAGAATAAACTTATTTGTTTCTTTGAATAACTGTTCGTATTCGAGTTGAGTACCTAATAGAAGATTATGCTATCGAACAGTTTTCAATGGAGTGCTTAAGTTGTTAGTTAACGAAGTAGTTAGAAAATCCTTTTTATAAAACAAAACATGCACCGTCAAATTCTGCATTTGAAAATGACTCATAGGTATTTATCCATGTTTTTACTCATGATTTTTTGTGCTTTTTTTTCTAGCAAATATGTTAGTATGCTCTCACATGCTTGAAAAAAAAACAAATACGCATGTTTGTTCAATTTAACGATTTGACTTGTTTAGAAAATCAAATGTTACTCAATTATATATTTTTTCTCGAAAAAAGCTTCGCTTATTATCATTTCATTTTTTTCTTAGATTCTTATGGGAAATTTTGATGACATCTTACATGATGTTGTTGCCGTATTCCATGAATATGGTGATGAACATGAACAAAATCCATTTGAACAAGAAAGACCTTGTGATGAAATACACTGATTTGAGTCAACTGTACATGCTTCATTAAATGTAAGCGAATTATCGGCAACAGTCTTTGCTGAAATACAAAAATTAAATTTTATTTCCTTGAAAAGTGCAAACGTACTTTTTTGAGTAGTTACTACACCGACTATTGTTCCAATGATAGCAGCAATAAGAATGATACCAACAACTACCATAACAATAATTATACATTTGGGTTGCGTTGATTGTGTGTTGAATGTGTCTGTCTAGAAGAAATCGAAATGATAAATTTTTATAAATGAAAATTGAAAAAAAAGATTACATTGATTAAATTTGGATCCCATGATGATTGTCCATCAATATCATTAGCTAATATTTCTGGTTCAGATTCTTTCCTTGGAATTTCTCTAATTTGAATATTATCATGAAATTGAATATTTTTTTGCGTAACTCGTACTTTCTTCATTTATTATTATATGAATGTTTCGAATGAAACAAACAAAATAATATTTAAATGAAAGAATATGTTTATTGAATGTTTCCAATTGATTATATTAAATATAAGTGGAAAAGATTGTCAAATCGTCAAACGAAAACAAGTGCGAAAAGAACAATATAAAAGAAACGAAGTGAAATATTTGTTTGCTATGAAAATCAAAAGGTGAAGCCTGAATATAAAAGAATGAAGAGTAGTTGGTTGAAAAAAGCTAAACAAATTTTCAGTGTGTTTTTTGTTTATACAAAAGTTTGTAATTCCATTAAATTAAAAATTGGGCGACACATATATAGGCAACATTTTTGAAATATCAGACACAATTGATTGCTGAACTGAGTCAATTAAATGGTTGAAATATTTGCATTTGTACCGATTGGCAAGATATCATGATCAAGCGTATGATTATTACGTTCATGATTAATTATTTGAGTTTTTTTCTTTATAAATGATTGCCACCATAATTGAATTTGATGATGAATTGTTTTATTCCAATATAATATTGCATTGCTATCAATCAAAATGCTTATTGATGGTAAAATAAGTGTAAATAAATAAAATATATCCGGAAGTTTTTCTTTTTTATCAAATACTTCAATTGTTATAAATGGAGTCCAACCAAGCAAAAATATAATTGTAAAGAATGAAAATTGTCTTAATAAACGTAAATTTCGGCGTTTACGTCGGTTTAAACGGCATTGTCTCGTTCGAGATAGAAAAGGTACTTGTCGTGAATGTGTTACATTTAAATAAGTCACTAAATTCATTAATGATATAAGTATAAACGGTATAATATAACCTGTACAAAAATACATAAATAATAATGATGATTGTTGATTAATCGTGCACATTTTAGCTTTTGATTGAAATATTATTTGTTGCTTAGGTAAAATTAAAGTTATACCTGGTAAAACAAAAGCTAACATCCATATTGATATTAAATAAGATTTAATATAATAAATTGTCGTAATCTTTTTATTAAATGGATAAATAATTGTTAAAAACCGAACAAATGTAACCAATGTATACGAAAGCATGACACAATGAGAACTTGACATAACAAGAAATCCAATAAATTGACATAAATATGAATTTACATTTTTCGTATTAACAATAGAAATTGTGAAACTAACTGAAAATATACATGATAATGAAAAATATATACAAGCAAAACAAACATTTATTAAAAGAAGATTTTGTGCTGTACGAAGCCGTTTAATAAGAGTTAAACTTGCAATAAGAAGTATATTAATAATAATTATACATAAACAAATAATGTATGTGCTAATACTTTTTAAAATAATACTTATAAGAATCGGTACAGATATTGAACCGATTCCTTCATGTGATGACATCTTTTTTTCCAAATAGAAATCAATATCAATGACCAGATTTTTTTATGTGATCAATATCAACATAAAATACTAAGTCTATAGCATATTGTTCAACAACAGAAATTGCAGTATTTATATATGCAAGTAAATGTTTTTCTCATTGGAGAAAAACAAGAAATAAAGAATACAAATAAAATATATAAAAAGCGAGAAGAGCTATATAATATTCTTGTAGATTTCCTGCATTATAAAAACAGCAAATAAACTCTTAATAAGAAAAACGAGTCAACATGACATTTTTTATGTTTAATGGATCTATGAAATAAAGAATGGCTTAACATAAATCATAGCAGTGCATTTTTTATGATTCACATCAATAATTGTCAAGAGATATGAATGAAAATTTTACTTAAGAGACTTACTTCAGAATAAATTACATTTAGAAATCAATTAGCTTATATATTTGATTTTCATAGTTTTACTAAATATATTTCATTATGTTTACAGTTACATAGGAGAATATTTGAACACAAAACAAACAGTTATAAAATATTCGGAAAGAAATTATTTTGTTTATTATATAACACGCCAAATAAAAATTCTTCTCGTGATGGTATAACCAGAAAAAAAGTTATAGCCGCGGGACTCAATCATTTTTTTAATATGGAACTCAGCCGATGGTAGAGAGGATTCGAGGCTTTCCGCTGGAAGGGAATCATGCGCTCTCTAGTTCTCGTCCGGGTTGAACCATTATGTTGTTGAAACTCTCTCAAAAAAAAATGTATAATTTACTTTGGAGTAATACATCACATATCTTTGTCATTTATCTTTTATAATATTCAATGGAAAACTATTTGTCTCTATATTCTTCACACAATTCGTAGGCGTTCATGATAAATTACTACTGTCATAAATATTTTTTTTTTACACACAGTTAATATTTTAATAAGAAAATAACATCATATTAATAGCTAATATTGGCGTCAGATTCAAAAAGAGAAAAGTCTCAAATGAATATTCGTAGTTGAAAAATACAATTTATATACGGTTGTTTACAGTTATATATGACAGATCACGATAGTTGTATTTCTCTGCAAATATAGAGTCAGTAATACGACAACATTATGATATTTTTACATTGTTTGACAGCAATCCGTAACGATTAATATGGGATCTTGAGAGTTATCATTATTATAGCAGTCTAAAATTTTCTGGGATCAAAATAAGATAACATACGATGTTTTTATATACGATAATACGTACAATACAATCCTTTAGAAAACAGCCATTTATACAAAAAAATGAAAAAATTCATGCTCATAGTATATTGTTTTGATTAACACATTAGATAGAAGGATTGCAGCAGAGATAAAACCGATCTGAAATCGATACCAATGTTGGACTGGCGAGTTGTTGTACTATTACATTTGTGGTTAGTGATACGTGACATGATCAGCTGTCAACAAAGTTTCATTAAACATCCTCGATAAAATATAAAGAGCAAAATATTAATAAGACAAATCAATAACGGCCGGTCTGAAATCCGTAGTGGTACCGGATCTATCTCTAAATCTTAGGTACATCTTCATCGTTATAGTCTAGATATTTCTCTTTGTGTTTCACAATGTTGATCAAGCAATATTGAATATTTGTGCTATCTAATTACTTAAGGCGTACCAAAAGTCCGTGTCTCGCCATTTAAAGGGCCTTGTCGGATGGGGTACATCGGTTCAGAAATAAGAAACAAATATATCATATTGTAGACCTTTTCGAGCCGCATCGAATGGTATATAGTAAATCCTGTTTTCATAGAACTTTGAAGGACCTAGAGTCAATTTACTGATAGATGACTACACATTCACACCCATCATTATTTACACCCGTACCTGAGGACCATAAGNGAACCCTTGAATTCTGACGATCAGATACCTTTATCTTTCTTTTTCGTCTGTTTACTCTTTAATTAACTGTGAAAATAAATAAATTTGTATTACAGAAAAACAAAAAATATTTTTCGGAGAGTATACTAAAAAATTCGGGGCCCCGACTCCGAAAACCCTTTTCAGACCCGATCCCCGCTGATCTCTAGTCACTACCCATGTGTTCGATTACGATCAAACTGCGATCGTACTGTGACCTGGAATTGCGAAAAACTGCGACGTAGTTAAGCGTAACTGAGATAAAAATATTGCAGTTGCACTTAGTTGTGTCGCAGTTATCAAGTCACTGCGCCACTGTTTCTCGAAGGAAAGACATAAAGAAGATTTTCATTTTATTACTATCTTTATTGTGATGAAGCAAAAGTTTTTAAACTGCAATAAGCTAAACAATCAGAAAAATAAAAAAACAATCACAATGTGTAACAAAATTACTAAGAAAATATTTCAAAAAAATTAGAAGAAAAAACTAAGAAAAAATATAATAAAATCTAAAAAGAAATTTTAAAAAGTCAAACAATCTAAAAATAATTGAAAAAGTCTTCATCTCAAAAAACTTTTCAAATCTTCTCTTTTGAGCTCATTGCTCAACGACAAAATACTATTAAAATATCAAAAAGTGTTTATTGTTTGCGGATAAAATGAGATATTTCCTATACATTTGCCTATTAATCAATAGATTTAGTATTGCCTTGTTTTTCTACGTAATGTAGAAGAAAGGAACATATATCAAATGATAGAAAAGTTTTTTTTTTGTATCAAAATCTATGTTCACTTTTGATCCGCTAGAAAAAATTATTTACATTGTGTTCCGACCTGAATTTTATGTTCTTTTTCTTCAAGAATAGTTAGGATCTTTTTCGAAGATCTGAAAAATTAGTTTAATGATAAATCAACAGCTTTTTTTAACTTTATAAGTCCTTTTTCGAACATACTAAAAATTATCTAAGTCGATCATTTTTGTAGAGTAAATAGTTCTTTACAAAATATTATATTAAATAAAGCTGTAGCTTTTATCCAATTAAAGCTTTAGGTATTTTGCCAAGAGCTCTTTTCAACAGATCCAAAAAATCCTTTTTTCAGAAGTGAAAAATTGATATGTCTCGTCGAAAGACAATAAAACCTTGAATAATGCATTTTGTAAGGTTACTTCTCATCTATAGATAAGAATTTCAACTTGTAGTTTCAAATCACGATAGCAAACCGATCTCGGATCGAGTCAGACTACAAAATTTTATACAAAGAAAAAACTATCTAAAACTGTTTAAATAATCATGGTTTACGAATAATGTGACTTTTGAATAAACCATGAAAACATACATTGATTGAATTTTTATCCTCCTGCAACACATTCCTTTTCTTATTTATTAATTGCGTATTTTTGATCTTGATATAAGCATTCAATATGAGTTTGGCGAAAATCAGTTAGCGCCATCTTTTATTTGTTTTCTTATGAAAAAAAATCTGTTCATGACTCAGAATGATAATCATGCTTGCCATCTTATTTTTTATATCAGTAAGAATAAACTAGATTTTGTTTTTGCTTTTATTGTTTTTCTCTACCACTGTAACGTCATTTATGAGATAGACGTTTTCTTTGTTTTTCTGACATGTTGTTCTACCTGGTGAATCATTTTTACACATTTATAAAGCAGCACAAGTTCTTTTGTAGATTTGTTGTATAATATATATATTTTTTTAGTTTTTTTAAGTTTTCACTATTAATTATTAAAAATGAATCGAGTTTTTGGTAAATCAAAAGCAAGTGCTGTACCAAAACCAACATTAACTGATACTGCGTCAACACTTGATTCACGTGTTGAAACATTGAATAAACAAATTGCAACAATTGATCAAGGTTGATTTATTTTATTTTTATTAATAATTATCATTTTGATTTATTTTTAATATGTAGAATTACAAGCTTATAGTAAATTACCTCCAGCTAGAAAAGTAAATTTTTTTCATGATTTTTTTAAAAGAAAATAATTGTTTATTTATTTAAGGCAGGTCAAAAGGCACGAGCTATGGCACTTTTAAGTAAAAAGAAAATGTAGATAATACATTATAATCTTATTTTTTATTAAATTTTATTTATAAATTCTTATAGGTATGAAAGACAACGTATGACATTAGAAGGACAAGCAAGTAATATAGGTGCAACTGCATTTGCCGTTAGCAATATTGAAACACAAAAACAAATTGTAAGAAAATATCAAAAATATTATTATCATAATTAATAATAATCTATTTTTATATTTTTTGTTTTAGTTTACTGGATTAAAAGATGCTAAAAAACAATTAGTTAAAGGTTATAAAGATTTAAAACCTGATAAAGTTGAAGTAAGTTATATGGTTTATCAGATAATCTTTTACTTTCATACACAATAATTTTTATTTAATAATTGAAATTCAAATTGAGTTCACTGTTTTTTTTTAACAAAGAATATTAAAAAAAATTAATCAACAAGTTTATTATAAAGCCTTGAATTGTCAACTACAACTATGAATTTAACATTAAGGGTCCGTCTTTTCAGAATTTCTGAAAAATGCCTCATCGGAAATATTTGAAATTTTCAAGGTAGATAGATTTCGATGAGTTGCTAAGGCTAAAAATCATCCCACTTTCTCAGTCGCAATAAATCCGATAGAACTGAAATTCTTTTTTTTTTTGAGATAGTAGACACTGTTTGAGTTGTCTACTTTCTTTTAATCTCTCTCTGTTCGAATAAAAAGATGAAAATACTGATCGTATCTTCAAAAATCGATGGTGAAATATTTTTTAAAACAAAAACTAAGTAGTCACTCCAAACAATGTGCAATATATGTATAATAAAAGATTTCAACTCGATCAAACGTACTATGTTAAGGAAATGGGTGACGATTCTGAGTCTTTTTTGTGTGAAAAAATTGATTTCAAGATAAACGAAAAATTAATTTTTCTTGTATGTATTAAAACGTTTTTCTTCCGACTAAAATGATCGAAAACTGAGCATATTAGAGGCCCATGATCCATGGTGTCAGCACTTTTGGAATAAGAAATAATTGTAGTGCAAATTTTGCTGCTAGAAATTTCGAGAAGTGAATTTGAAAAGAGTAGTAACTAACAACGAGGAGCTCTCATTTATATGACATTTGACAGACGACACTTACTAGCTATATGAAACTGATTACTGCAATAACAGTATAGTTATTCTAATAGTATTATATATCATTGGGTATTTAAATAATATAGACGTTTATTTTAATTAATATACTGTTTAGCTTCAATTTCTTTCTTTATCAGATTAGAAAAGCTGTTGTTGTTATATAAGAGAGTTAGCATTATTCGAAGTCTGATTTTTCTATATGACATTCTTTTAATACAATATGTCATTATGTACTTCATCAAGTGCAAATAATGAACTTTTACCAGGGATAAACCATCTAGAAAAAGAAGCTTCAGTTTATTTTAGTCAATTATAAGCGCTTTCTTAGAAACACTACAGAAACTTATGTCGGGATCGGTTCGATTCTTAAAAAAAAGTGAATGAGAAAAAGGGCTGTTAGAAACGAAAGTATAAGTTTCAATTAAATTTTCTATAATTTTTATCGATTTATGCTGTAAATCGCATCAATCAATCCAAAGCTCAGAAGAGATGAATAAAACAAAGCCCTAATGTTGAAGATTTTTTCAGATTTAATGTGAATAAATTCTTAAATAGTTTTCTTTAAGTCGTGTTCGAGATCAGACCAAATTTAACAGAACTACAACTAAGACAGGAACTGTAAAGAATGTGATCTCACACATCTCTAACTCAGAACTTGTTTATCAATGTAACAGAAGTAGAATTAGTTCAGTTTGAAAGGAAATCAATTTTGATTCAGTTCGAACTTTTAAAAATTAACAAGGAAATCTCTTTAGTTGTTTCCTTCCGATTTCAAATATTTTTTTGCTTATAGATATTATATAGTGTTCTAATAAAAACTTTAAAAGAATTTGGATCTCTATTGAAATCTGACTAAGCTATTGAACTTTTAATATGCCTATTTTCGAATTTTTCGGTCTGAAACTTTATGCATACATAGAATTCAACTAGATTAATTTTCTTTAAAAAAATCAGCAGTTTTGAACAATGTCTCTTTGAGATAGGCAGTTGTCAAAAGAAAGGATATTGTACGCTATCCACGGAAGAGGGTCTATATCTTAAGAGTCTCATATCTTGAAGAGACTTTATTCAAAACTTCTCAATTTTTTTTATAGAAGTCAGTTTATTGAGTTCTCTATATACACAAAGCTTCAGGTTAAACTTCGATGCTTCAGTCAAATGTCAATACAAATGCAAATCTTTTTTGGGGTTTTTATCATATGTAGTATCTATAGGCAAAAAAAAAATCATTGATATCAAAAGAGATTCTCTCGTAAGTCGATTTGAGTTTAAATAACAATGCAAACTGACTCCCTCTCTGTAATGTAAGCATTTCTAATAAAACAAAAAAAAATTGTAAAATTCAATGATTACATCTAATGAACGGATTTTTAATCGTTTTTTTTTAGACGCTTATGGATGATCTTGATGATCATCTTCTTGATCAAGAAGAAATGAATGATATGTTTAGTAGGCCTATTGGTCAAGATATGTATATGACTGATGCTGATCTTGAAAGTGGTATGAAGAAAAAAGTTGTTTTTGTTGTTGCTTTTTAATAAGTAATATTTATATTTCTTTTAAAGAATTGGCTGGTCTTGCCGAAGAAGAATTTGGTATGGAGTCTAATGCCATGCTTAATGATTTACATGCACCTAGTGTTCCTGTTCAACCACTTGATGCTGGTCATGCAGCAGCTTCAACAACGAAAGTTAGTATTTTATTTTTCTTATGTTTTATATTCTTATTTATTTTTTATTAGGATGGTATTATGGTCGATGAATTCGGTTTACCAAAACTTCCTGCATCAGGCATGAAGAATTAATTCATTGATTTTGTATTAAATAACTCATCAAATCTTTCTTGTATAAACATTTTATTGCTGCTCTTTTTTTTTCTTTTCTTTCGCTTTTTCAATCTATGGAATAAACAAAAATAAAAACTTTAACTATTCAATTGTCTTTATTCTAATTTAGTTGATAAATATTTATTAAAAAAACCAAACAGAGAGACAAAAAAAAAAGAGCATTTCAATTTCAAAAACATTTTTTCCAACAAGACATTTTCCCCATAATCGACCATCTAACACATCGACATTTACCTGAACAACATTGGTAATCATGTGAACAATAATTATTTTTTAAGCGGCATCCTTCTTGATTCATTTCGGTCAAATATTTACCTCTTCCACCATATGTATAGTAAGAAGATGGTAAATTTTGAGATTGATATGTTGATGGCCGACCAAGATCATGATTATCACGTGATAATTGATCAAAATGAAAATGACGTGATTGAATAAATGTTGGAGATATTCCTCGTGAATATGATGTTCTATCTAATTTTTTAGTATTTTCTTTTGAAAAATCATTTCTTATTTTAGATGGATTTATATCAATAGATGGAGATCGTATACGACCTGATGATTGACCATAAAGTTCTTGAACTAAAAAATATTTAATATAGAAATTGATTATATATATTAATATTAAAACATATTTTTTGAGTCATATTTTTTTTTTCGCCATAAAGTATGGTTGTTAAAAAAATAACTTCTGTTTTTTTCCCTTTTTTCTTTCGTATCCTTGTAATATAAAAGCAATCAAAATAAAAGAAATCTTTCTGTATTTTTGTTTTTCTTTAGATGACGTCAACAAAATCTGAAAAGACTTTAGATGACGCAGAAAAAGCTGCTCAAGCTAGACAAGATGGCTCTGAACCGTGTAATCAGCAACCAGATCAAATACTTCCTAATCTATGTAAATATTTTTTGTCGTGTTTTTTCTTATATTTCAATAAGCTTTACCTGCATGTATTTCTTGTTGATTTAAGAATATTATAAAACATATTCCGAAGAGTATTAATTGTGACGTGTTCATCTTTCAAAATTGAAAAGTTCAGATACAAACGAAAGATGAAAAAAAATACGAAATCGAAGGTGTCTAATTGAATTCTTTTTTTTTCTGTTCTATATGTCAAACAAATGTACGAGTTCATCATGTGAACCATAGTATTGGTCGATTTCTAAAGAGAGGTCATATAGTGATGTGATTTTCGTGCTATTAAAAGTTTTTTTTCTCGTTCTATCAATGTTGGTAGTGACAACTGCAATAGACCGTTAGAAACAGCACAGAACACAATATCTCTAGAGTATTTGTGTTCTTTTAAGAATCCTTGATTTAAAAAACTGCTGAAAAAGTCTCCAAAAAATGTTAAATTTAAATAAATGTATAAATAAAAAAACTGCGTATGAATAGTTTTTTTTTTCAACAAATTTATTATTAATACAATAACCGATAGTATAATTATTAACAGTTATATTTTTATAGAAATAGATAAGACAAAACAAAATAGACAATTTAGAATGAATATTAGAGACAGAAAAAGTCTGGATAGATAAAAAGAATGGCTACTGAGTTAAAGAAATTATTTCAATCAGATGACATTATGAAAGGGCGAATTGAAAAGTTTTTAGATCAATTGTTTGTTCATTTTCGGGTTCAAGAATAATGAAATAATCTTTGAATAACTGAAAAAAAAACATTAGTTTGAACGAAAAAATTTTTGCATTTTCATTATTGCAATTTCAAACTAAATGTTAGGATATTTATTTATATATCAACTTGTAGATTAGAAGCTGCCCTACAAAATGTCTTATTTGAAGCCTTTTTTTGTTTTTCGACCCGGTACTTGATATTTTCTTTTTCTTATTAAGTATGCATTTTTATAAAACTCGGCCACCATTTTACGTCGACAAGGGCTCTTGAAAAAATGCCTCTAGCCTCACTTGAGTAAAAACTTCAGCTAAGTTTACTATTGCATTTTGTAGAGAACTGTTTGCTCTGCAAAACGACCGACGCTGACAATTCTTATCATGTTTGCAAAGGGATTTATAGGTTAAACAAAAACCTGTCGACTCACCATTAAAAATAATTTTTGCAAATATTTCAAAAAATTCCGCATTACTCTTAAATAAAAAAGGCAGATTTATTTCTAAGTTCATATTGAAATTCTGATCACAACCTATAGTTTTTAACACATCTGAAATGTTTTCAAGCAGGCCAAAATGAACAAGCATGTTAACCAAAAACGTTGACCCACAAGTTCCATCCAAATTAAATTTGTAATGCTTTTCAAAGGTTATTTCACCCAGTCTCGAAGAAAACTTGAGATAAAGTTTCTAAGCGTACAACATTTTGGTCCTAACTCATTAGAAATATTTTCTATAGGGTCAAAAATGAACAAACATCTTGTCTCAAAAGTGTTTCAATCAGCTGTTATTATTATTTAACTTTGTCTTATCCATTAATTCATTTTTTGAGATCAGTGCATTTTGCTGTTCCGAATCGATAATCTATTACGTAGAAACATGACGACGCAAGATCATTCAATAAAGTTTTGAATAGAATTATCTTGTCTCATCTTATGCAATAGTGGCTATTACAGAAAAAAAAACTTTGTTGCTTGAGTTTAATTTTTCTCAAAGGCATCATATATGATGGCTTGCGTATATTGCATCACCTGACAGTGCATTACGAGCTTCAAACTAATGTAGCACTTTTTATTGAAAAAAATATTTACTCAAAACAATTTAGGAAAAACTCAAAATCTTTTTGCTCTTAGCTTTTATTTACTGACTTTTGTGTTCTTGCTTTGATATTTATGTAAAAAGTTATATGAAATTCAAACAATTATTTTTTTTTTCCAAAACATTATACGCAACAATCGGCTGGAAGGATAGCGGTATTGTCATTCAGATTGTTTAACTATTTACTGTTAATAGTTAGCTGATCCTCCTCTATATGGTTTCGAAGTAATAGAGAAATTTGATTTTTTTTGCTGACAGTTTGATTTTTAATTTAATAATCTAAGTTTTAAATTTTATCACAAAGAAAATAAAATAAAAAAATCAACAAAGAAGATTAGTAGCTGTGTGTCGTCCGTTAATTTTGGTTAATCGAAGTTCAATTCTTTTAATTCAAGTCATTAAGTATCACATAATCAGTCTTAGAGAGATGTAAGCCGATTTACGATCATGCGCTTGGTTTAGACCCAACCGTACACTTTGAAGAGCGCTTAAATAATCACATGTCAGATATACAGTAGCTACTAAAATTATTTAACAAGGTTTATTTTCAATTATTTTCCGTTATTGCAAGCGATAGAAAGAATCCAAGCAAGTGATTCGAATAGAAAAATTGTTTGTAAAAGAAAGATAAGCAAATAAAAATTATTATTAAGCTTCCAAAGACACGTACTGCAGAAAACCAAAAGGATAAATTTTTATCACCTAGGACGAGTAAATATAGTTTTGTTTAGACTATGTAGAACGACTAAGAGAATAATTCTGTATAGAATAAGACGTCTCCGAGATCTTTTTGATGTTTTCTAGCTGAAATACAGCAATCTTATGGAAGTTCCTAAAATTGTTTTTTTTTTCTAATTTTCTATGAAAAAAAATCACTTGTTGTGCTTCAAACAAACCGCTATACCTCAGGAAAAGAACTACCGCAGAAAATTCGTTCGTGTGTCATTTTGTAGAGGATGGTTTAATTTATCTTTCCATGAAGTCTAAACAAAATTTTATTAACGTACTCTAGGTGTTGAAAAACTGAAATTCAGTGTATATGAAGGAAACTCTATTCACCAAGACAACAATAAACCTAATCATGAGACTACGGATAGAACTCGTCCATTTGGTCTCGAACCCAGTCGGGTCTGAGTTCGAAAACGTTTCATCTAACCGACTCTAAGTAAGGGTCACTCTTCCTACGTGAACTACAGAGTATAGTCGTATTGAATATATATTCTCTTGAGAAATAAGTTAGACTTAATATTTTTAAAACATATTGCTATTAATACTCGTATAAAAGTAATTATATAGTTTGAGAGTGTACGGGAATTCTTTACAACTATAGATATGCTCGTTTTCAATTACACATGTTCTGTAAAGTTGAAATTCAAGTACAGTGAAGACTCCTTCCTCGTCAGAGTCTTCGTAAATGTATTTTTTGTTCCTTTTTCATTCCTTTCCTCAAATTATTTTTTTTTTTATAGAAACAAAGCTATTGCAGGAGCAAGCTTATATTCTGAAAGTGCATTAAAATATTCTTTTTTGTCAGTCTTTGATTTTCAATTATTTGATGACAAATATTTTGAATATTGTTCAGATAATCACGTATCATATTTCTAGGTCAAGTGTTGTTGAGAATTTAGACCATATCTTTGTGCACAATACTCCATCGAGACAACAAAAAAATATCTGAATACAATTAAGATCGAGACTGAGAGGTGAATAATTATCTAATTGTATATCTCATTTGATTATTAGATTATCACTGATGGATTGTTGTATGAGTTATGTGAAGTAGTGGGGGATCAAAAAGTGTCAGCGTGGGGATACATTAACAATATTTGAAATATTTGTCATCAAATAATTGAAATGATCCGATGTACAAAACTAAACTTGAAAAAGTAGATAAAACAAACAAAAAAAAATGAATTTTCGAAGAATCTGACGATGAAGGTGTGTTCATGGTACTTGAATTTCTATTTTACCGAATAAGTGCAGTTCAAAACGTACATGTATGAGTGAAGAGCATAGTCATTATACTTCTGTGTCCCGAAAAGAAAAATGTCTATAACTTGAGTTCTGCTCAATCGATTTCGATAGTTTCTTTTGTTTTACTGGTCTAAAGGTGGTCACTCACTTTTAAAAAGATCAAGTTTACCGAAAAATCATAGCAACAGTGTCAGACACCTAGCTTCTAACATCATCTGTAGAGGAAGAACTAATTTTTTCTGTTCCATTGTGATTTTTTAAAATTAACTTTATAGCTAGGACTGTAGAACTTATCAAAAGCTTTCCGAAATATGTATTTAGTTTTAGCTTTAGACGAATTTTTATGAATGAAAAACTGCATTGGCGTTTTGTTCGAAGAAATTTCATTTGAATAAATTTGATTCCATATCAAAGAGAAATAAAGTGAAAATAATTTAAGAAGTAACAAAGGTTTATCTCATCAAGTTTATTAATACAAAAACTTTATACAAAAGTAAAATGATGTCCATGCTGTAGCAGAGCAATTTTTTTTTGAATTTTATTATTGTTATAACTCAATGTAAACTGAATTTTTTGCGATGAAAATTTGGCCACTTTTTTTCAGTTCATACAGTGTAGTAATATACCAACGAGTCAAATAAAAATCTCTCGTCACTTGAGAGAAAATTCAATTTCATTAACAAAAATGTAGAGCGATATTTTTTTTGGAATAATTATACACTAACATAGATTGATGTATAAAAATAGCATATAGAAATTGACTGTGTATCGAGAGCTATTTAGCAGTATCATCATTTTCTTATCTCTATTAGATCGGGAAAAGGTATCTAGCACTAACTTGATAAAACTTGCAATGAAAGAATACACTTATCAATTGTTGTTATCCATAATTGTCGAAGCATTCTATGAATTCCATCAAAATAAGCAATATGTATATGAATTCAAGTGTCAACACAGGGAAATGTTGGAAAAGTATTATTTTCATACAAATTCGACATGGTTCTATCAAATACAACACTTAGTTTCCTCCTATTATTAAATTTATTTTTATCGATTTTTTCTTTCTTCAATGGTACAATACCCGTGCTTTTCATCCATATAGGTTTGTACAGAATTCTGCACGCTATCCGAATATATAATTGCTTTTCTCAAAATATTACTTCATAGTCATGATATGTTGAAATTATCGAGTCTAATTATTTTCTTCAGGAGGAAATACATCTTGTATTAAGTAGTCTTGCTCTATTGAAAACAGTAGACCTGGAATATTCTGGGAAGAAACAATTTCCTATTGTTGCCTCTAAGTCTTTTTCGAGGAGTAATTGCTATCCCTTGCAGTGCTAGTGTACCCACCTTCCCCTCTCTATCCTTATAAAGACTAACTCTCTATCACCCATTTTGCACTGGTACATTTAAGGATATCCCGTTACGTGATCCATAATTTTTTTTCCATTTTTGATTTTTTTTTGTGGTCATTGTATAGTTTAAAGTAGTATCTATTTATTGAGTACATGTTAGGATTTCAAAATTGTTTCTAAACGTTAAGACATTCAAAAAAAATCAAGTCTTGCATAAAGGAAATATTGAAAAGTACACATTCTTTCGTGTTTTTCTTAAAATCAATTTTAGAACAGAAAAATTGAAATTTTTCTCTTTTTTTCTCGCAGACACTTCTGCCTACTTAGCTCAAAATTTTTAAGTCACAACTAGAATCAAACCAACGTGTATATCATTTTTGGTATTAAATAATGTTATAGTGCTGTTTGACAGATCCTACAAAATTTTCCCTAGGCAAAAAAAAAAGTTTTTTTGACAGGGCTTTCAATATTCTGGTTTTCCTAAGCGAAGAAAATAAATTTTTTCAAAAAAAAAAATGTATACCACAATTTAGTCCTACTTATTACAAAAAAAAATGAACCATTAAAAAACGAATGCTGACTGTTTGCAGGAGGAGGAAAATTCAAGTCATTTTTGGCGCCTACATTCCTCATATTTCATAGAATGAAGCATCTGAGAATTCAGCGTCTATGACAACTTTCACTGTACTAGTCGAGATTTCTCTCTATCTTGAAAGTTTCAGAATTTTTGGTATAGGCGTTCTTGAAAAAATCGGGAACGGGTCAGAGGTTGCCGTTAATGTATCATTCTTGATGATCAAAAGACAGAACATTAAAATGATTTTATTTATCTTTTAGTCTCATCTCCAACTAAGCGTTTGGCACTTGTTTTAACTGGTTCATTTAATCCAGTAACTATAGCACACCTACGTATGCTTGAATTAGCTCGTGATTATTATCATCTTCAATCAATTCAAGTTGTTGAAGGTTTTATATAATTTAATATTCCTAAGCGTATATTCTGACCATAATAATGTTTTGTTCTTTTTGCCAGGAATAATATCTCCAGTAAGCGATTCTTATGGTAAACCAGGTCTAGCTAAAGTAAATCATCGTATTGAAATGCTTCAAGCAGCTATAAGTAATGACCCTTGGCTTCGTATTGATACTTGGGAAGCTGAACAAACATCTTGGACACGAACAAAAATAGTACTTGATCATCATTATGAAGTTATAAAAAAACGATATGGTGAAAATACTGAACTTCGTTTATTGTCAGGTGAAATAAATTTTAATTTTAATTTTTTGCTGTTAAAAAACAAAGATTTTTCTATTTAGGTGCTGATGTTGCACGTTCAATGTTAGATCCAAAAATTTGGATACCAAAAGATATTGATGATATAATGACAAAATATGGTCTTGCTTGTATAACTCGTTTAAGTGCTCCAGAACCTGGTCAAGGTGGTGCAACTGTACCCGATGTTAAAGAAGGCATGCCTGATCTATGGAAACAACATATTGACATTATACAAGATTGGGTTGTTAATGATATATCAGCAACAAACATAAGAAAAAGATTAGAAAAAGGTTTGAGTGTTAAATATATTGTACCTGATGCTACAATTAAAGTCATTCGTAATTATGGTTTATATAATTCAGACAAATGCATATGTTTAGCTGATTGGCCGGCACATGAACAAAAACAAACATGATTTAATAGAATAATTTATGTGATAATCAACTTGTTCAAACTTTCTTTTCAATACGTTTTCTTGTAATGTCAATCACTGATATTTTATTTGTTCGTCTATTTTAATTAAATAGAACACGTAAAGAGTACCAATCTTTTTTTTTTTACTCAAATATTCTTGAATTTTATTAAATAAACGAGATAATAAATGTGTGATCAATTAGGCTTATCCCCGACCTCTTGAAAGAATGTCCAAGGGCGAAATAGTTGACTTTTTGATATTAGAACCAATATAATCACTCGGAATCAATCAATGGAATCAATAGGAAATACTTGCAAGCAATTATAATCCCCTGGATTGACTAGAAGTCAATATAAAATAGCGAAGTAAGCTGAATGTAATGGATTTATTTCTACACATACTGTTCTTAAACAAAAGTTTCGTCAGTTGAAACAGATTAAATAGTCAATCAATTTCGTAATATCAAGCGATTTTACATGAATAGAAATAGCTATGACTAATGAAATTGACTGTTGCTCTCTTGAAAATAACTTATTTCATGATTTTCTTGATTCTAAAATGGCTTCAATCATTGCAATCAGTCGTTTCCTATTTTGATAATTCCCTCAGGATATCTTAAGTGACTCTATTTCTCTTCGAATGATATAGAACATGATGATATTGAATAATAACAGCTAAAATATTAAACGCCAACAAGTAAATAAAGTTGGGAATAGAGTAGCAGAGTCTATCGAGATGTAGAATAGAGCATAGGAAGCAATTCTATATTTATGGAATCGACTAAGATAAGGAAGATCACAAAATGACAGGCGTAACAACAAGAAACTCATCAGATTAACTTTCTCTTCCTTTCTATCTGAGAAACTATGCCAAAAGTCACAAGACGAAAGCAGTTGACAGTAATGATCAGAGTTATTTTTAAATCATTGAGATAAAGCATAACGATTTATGCGTGATAAATAAGAAGAGATGTAAATTTGAAAAATTTATCAATGTTTAAAAGTATTGAAAAACTAACAAAAAATGATTTTATATTTAAGTTCTAATGTAAATGTTTCGGTTGTAGAAGCCGGAGGGTTGGCTTAGGATTAGCATCCGGATTTGAAATTTTTTATTCATGGGGTTTGAGTACAAATTCGAAGCCGACTCAATGGTTTATACTCTAAAAGTGACAGTCAATTATGACTTGATTATCACAATACTTTCATCAAGATTGTCTGAGAAATCTGTACGATTTGTTAGTAGCAGAATATAAATAATCGACAAAGAGTATCTCGTATCTTCGGAGTAACTATCAAACTCAAATTGAAAACTCTATTGAAATTACAGGTACGATTTGATTTGTGGGTTAAGGTTGAAACATCCTTCACAAATTGAGTCAGCCTCCAAAACTATTGAACCGGATAGGGAAAAGGATTTAATTTCTATGAATATGAAGTTATTATATATTGAATTCTATTAATCATTTATTTATTATGCTAAATAGTATTCATAGAAAACTTTATGTCCACATAAATTATTAATAAAATTAATGCTGATATCGAATCATCACAAAATGATACTCAATGATTTCTCAAATAAAATTCAATGAAGACTTCGAAACGTATATAATTTATGAAACTTGTTACACTCGTATTGATATTGTTTTATATCAAAACTCACTCATAAAGATAGATACAAAAAAAATATGTTCATTCATTTCTTGAAATGGTTTTATCTTTCAAATCAATTCATAGTGCTATTCAATATCTTTGTGAAAAAAAAAACAGAACTATTTCTAAATATTTCGAGTTATTATTCGATGCAGAAAAAAATGAAACTTCTTGCAAAAAAGAGAAAGACTCGTTTAAGATTATTCTTGTTGAAATGTCGAAGATTCGATAGAAATTGGTTGAAGTGAATTATTTGTAGGAGATCCTGTAAGAGTATTATGATTTCGTCTTACACGTGTTCTTTGTCGACGTCGTGTTGTTGTTGTTGATGATGATCGTAATATATCAATAAGAACTGGTGTTCGACAATAAGCACAATTTGAATGGCAACGTAACCATTCATTAATACATTCACTCAAAAAATTAATAACAAAATAATTGAGTTTTTTTAAAATCAAAACAAAATACCTATGAAAAACATGTTGACAATTAAGTATTTTAATTGAATCAACTGATTGAAAATCTTCTAAACAAATATAGCATTGTGTATTAATCATAATTGTTTGTTGATATTTATCATTATATTGTTCTTTTAATGAACTATACATTTTTTGTGGTATACTTAATATATCTGATAAACGTAAACCTTGATTATTTCGAATATTTGATGAAATAATCGAACGTCTTCGTCTTGGTGCTGTTGTTAATGTATTATTTTGTGGAGTTTCTAATATAATCTCAATACTTAAATCTTCACTATTATTTGAATTATTATTTATTGATGGAGTATATTCATCATAATATCGATGTTGTGTCATATCAATCGGATTATTATGAATAATTAATGGTTCAGTTGTTGTTGTTGATGATGATGATGATGATGATGATGATGATGAATAATCAATAATTGGTATTGATGTTGATGTATAATAAAAACGATGATCATCATCATCATCTGGATCAAAATCAATAGTTGATAATGAATGATAAGATTGATTTTGTTCATTATTTGAATTATTATTTTCTTTAGAAATATAAAATATATAATTAGATTCTAATCTAATATAGATATTAATATTCAATATAAACTTACCATTTGCAATAGTTAAATCAATCGGTGATGCATTTGAAAAATCAACTAATACTTCAAAATTTTCATTATCATATTCATCATCAGATGTAACAAGAAAATTATTTTGTACTATTTCATTTTCTGGTAAGAACATTTCAATATCATCTTGTTCAATAGATGATGTATTAACATTAGTTTGAATATTATTACTATTATTATTATCAATATTAGTTATTAAATTATTTATCGTTTGAGAAGATATTAGAGATGTATGTTGTCGTCGCCTTAAATTTGATAATGTTGAATTATATGGTGTTGAACGTAAAGCTGTAGCTTGTCCTAAAATGCCTCGACGGATTTGTAAACGACGAGAATTTGATAATGACGTTATTTGCACAATTTCATTTGAATTACTATTATTATTATTATTATTATTAATCATAGAATTTTCTTCTTCCATTTATATGTATAGTTTAGTAATAGAGAAAAAAAATAATTTAAGATAATTAGATAGATGATCACTTTCGATCAACAAATATTTTGAGATGACATTTATATTAAGTTAAAGAAACTCAAATATAATATATATTTATATATTTATATATTTTTTTTTTGTTAATTAATGTTTGTTGTTAAGCATTTCCTTTTCGCTCAAAAAAACAATTTTTTTCCTCTCATTTTGACAGTACCATTGAATGCCCTTTGTAACTGATGTCTATCGTTTTTCCATATGGCTCAATTTTCTCTAGACTCTTATTCCATGATGAGTTTTGAGTGGACATCTTTGTATTATTATTTTTTGTCATTTCGATATTGTATAAGCATTCTTATTTTGTATTCGATCACAAATAATAAAAAAATATATATTTTATATGAATATGTCTATATTTATCTAAACTATCGCATGTCTCGAAATTGATCAATATATTTACTCAAATGAGAATTACGTAGTTTGTTTTTTCTCTCTCTCTCTCTCTCTTTGTTCATTAATATAACCAATGCATTCCTCGCTGAATAGAAAAAACACATTTATGGTTAGTGCATGTTCTTGCATATAGAATGATTATATAAAAGAGTTCTACTAATAGAAAAACTAAACGATCAGAATAGTTGTTCTTCTTATCTATTTTTTTTTTTTGCTTTTTTTCCTCAAATCAATCATTCAAAGAGAGAAAAAGGAAGCAGAAGCACAAAGGAAACAGTCGACAATCAATACGTTTCCTCTGTTCTTCTTTTTATGATGCAAATTCTCATACAAGAAAAAAGAAAACAAAAAGGACTTCTATGATCCACGATAATCTTTTTGTGAAAATTGGTTTCCGTCTCAAACATTTTTTTATTGTATATCAAGTTGGTAGACGAGGTAAGCCTTGGCGGAAATGTTATCTACTTTGAATAAACAGAACATATTCTAGTTACAGTAAATAAATGAATTAATCTTGCTGATAAATGTCACTCGTAGAACACATCCGAAACCGTGTGGAATATACCATGACAAAAAAGAAAACATAGAGAGCAAAGCATATCATCAGAGAATTGTAATGAGGGACTAAAAAAAAGTGTGCCATTAGCAACTCATAAACGTCATTCACAGTTGACTCAATAAGTGTCACATAATAGATTATGTATTCGATAGTATATTCAGCTGTGTTTCTTTCCTTGGTTAAACAAAATCAATAAGATCTCTTTCTTTAACACATGTGATAAGTTCTATTTATTATGTTTCCTTGATAATTATTCATTCGGTTTTTTCTCGCAATTAACAAATCATAATATAATGCACACATATATATATATATAACTTGTTAAACGATATGGATTGTCATAAATGGAACATATCCTAATAATTTATTGTTCACCAAACTATTCGTATTTTTTTTTCTGTTAGATATCATTTTCTAATCATTCCCTCATGCCAATGAAGAGCCAAACAAAATAGAGATATAATCCTTTTAGATTACATTATTGTTGGGTTCTTGATTATAGCAAGCGAGAAAAAAAAAAGAAAAATCCAAATTTGTTTGCTGCTTTTTTTTTTCTAATCGCCAACGCTATATTACATCCATCCACGCAAAAGCGATTGTGTCTCTGAGGATCAGCAGTAGAGGAAATCTGATGTGACACTTTTATGTCATATTTAAGTAGTGTCTTATTTCGAGGTATTTCTTGTCTTTTTTCTATCTAAATCAGTTTTTTCTTTTTTCTATCTAGAATAATAGAACATCAAACAAGGGACTCGTTTCCATTAGTATTCATTTGGCTTTTAGTTTTTTATTAGAATTATTGGATTAGTGTATTCAAATAAAGTAAAACAAAATGATGAATAATAGCGATCAAAATAGCTTGGCTTGTAGTCTTTCGGATGAACGACACGTACTACATGTTCAATATATTCTTGGTGGATGGATATCATGTATTGTAGTTCTCTTTGGTATATTTAGTAATGGTCTTTCAATATTAGTATTAAGCAATCGTCGTATGCGGTATCTTTCAACTAATATCTATCTGCTTGCACTTTCGATTGTTAATCTTGTCTGGCTAATGCTTTACTTTGGTGTTAATTCATTTCGATTTACACTTATTGTCCCCAAATTTTTAGCTAATCGAGAAGAAGACGCTTATCATGAATATGATGATTTTGTTCAACGGTAAAACAAAACAAAATAATTTATCTTTTAAGATCATTCTTTTTTTTTCTGTTGTCGTTCTTCTTAGATTTTCTCCATACATAATTCCATTAATGAATACTTTACAATTATGTTCAATTTATTATACTGTAGCTGTATCATTTGATCGTTTTCTTTATTTATCATATGGTCTACAAGCTGAAACAATTTGTACTGTACGAAATTCTCTTCGTGTTATAACAATAATCACAATATGTTCTACTTTATTTATTTTACCACATTGGTTTAAACATCGAGTTGAATTAAATGAAAATAAGCGTGTTCAATTAAAATGTAAAAATAAAATTCAAATAAAAAATTATTTTCTTCTTATTGTCATTTTTTTTGTTTTGTTTTAGTAACAACAATTGGGGAAAATGAATTATTTCGTAAAATAATTCATATATGGCTTTACATTCCTGTTGTATATGCACTTCCATTTCTATTACTTATATTTATAAATTTCTTTACGATAAAATTATTACGTAAATTTTATTTGAATCGTCGTCGACATTTAAATTTAACATCAGCATTATCAGCACAAAATAATGAACAACGTGGACGTGGTATAACATCAATGTTAATTGCTGTTGTTTTATTATTTTTTATTTGTCGTTTTCCAATGTTAATTAATCATATATTCGAAACAAAATTATCCTTAACATCATATGATGATTATGAAAATAAAAATGCACAGTCTAATAAAAATATGTTATATGATCATTGTCGTTCTCGACGTTTATTTAATACAACAGTTAATTTTTTACAAACAATAAATGCATCAGCAAATCTTTTTTTCTATTATATCTTTGGAGAAAATTTTCGTGAAACAAGTTTTGAATTAGCAAAATTAGTTCGTAAACGTGTTGTAAGACGACGAAATACGGTATTAGAAAATATTAGTTATTATATTCAACAAAGAAATACAAGTCCAAATATAACCCTACGAAATCAAAGTATTGATCAACAACAACAATCATTAAATTTATTAAAAATTGAACAAGATGACTTAACAAAAAAATAGAATAGAACGACATTTTTTTGTTTTTATGCATTCCACCATAAAAGAATTTCTTTTTTTCTTTTCTTGGTATTTTCTTTTTTTTTTGTGATATAGTTTTAAAAATTTATAATGTGTATGTATTTCACCTGTCTAGATTATTAACGATCGTATGAATATATTTTTTAATTTTCTTTGTGCTCTTTTTTTCTCATTTGCATGATTCTTTACCGCTTTGTTTGATGTTTACTTTGTTGGAAATAGATCGTTATGATTTAAAAAACACTCATTTAGTAATCTTTTGATTAAAAATTTAAAAAAAATAAATGCTTCACTGATAGAATTGATGTAAATCTATGTTTGTATTATATTGATGCCTAAGACAAACTATTAGACATGTCACTATAAATATAGACCTTATCGGCATTTTCTATGATTTATTATGAAGTTGATTTTATATTAATGAGCAATAGTTTTTTCACTTTTTATTCGAGACTACTAATCATTGATGAATTAACTTTGACATATGCCGGATGCGCCTTTCTGGCAAAACTTGATATTATTATATGGTTATTAATAAAGTGAATGTAAGTTCCGTTTTCTTTTATTCATCATTTTGGTATCACCTGGAATGTATTTCGTATTTATTGTGAAATCATAATATTGGATTGACTGAAATTTTTTATAGTACTTGATATGTGTTCATAGGATGTTATCATCTAGATTGTTCGTTGATTAGAAACATGACAATAAAATGTGTGAAGGACAGATAGATTGACAAGGAGAAGCAGTAAATGTAGTGAAAGAACATTTTATCGTAGATTTATTTATTCACTTTAAACAGAAACGAATAATCATTTTAATGGTATAATTCAAAACTATTCGACTAGGTTTTTCTTCTATCCTGAGAGTTATTATGGTTTGTTCGCTGTTTCCATTTTTTGCAAGTGAGAAAGCAAATATTTATTTGACTTAGTCAATATCAAGCAACATCTGGTATCTAATTCTATTAGAAATATTGAATTTCACATCATGATACGAATAAAAACTGTGAAGTAAATATTGACGAGGTCATAGAATACACTCATAATTAGTAGTAATAAAAATACCAACTACTTATATATACACTCATTCACCTAGTCACTCCAAATCCCTGTTATCGTTCTGTCATTGATATATGCGCAGCTCCAAATAATCATTTGAAGTACATAGGATTCGTTACATAATGATATTATACGAATATAGTGACTAACAATAACTAGAAGATGACAAAACTCTTTAGTATAGTATGGTAAACTGGCATCTAATTATATACAGCTAACATCAATTAGATAGCTGTCATTTTCAGGCAATTTTTAAAAGTATTTGAATTTTATTGTAAAATAAACAGATATTTTTAAATATAATTTTCCGAATACGTACAAGAAGTACGCAACACCTGTTAAAACAAATAATATATTTATTCATAAGTAAAATCATGCATTCTGTCACGCAATTTATGTTAGTGATTATCTTTACAATTTCATTTAATTTAAATAAGTGAAGACAACACGAGACGCATCTAATTCTTTTGTACTAATTCTCTTGCTTTGTTTTTTAAAAATTATGAACAGCCTACGACTTTTTCTTTTATATATAATTACATTCTCCAGTGACTTACAAGATAGACAAAGATGTTCACCGGTAGAACTAACAGACAACAGGCATTTTCATTCTTATTAATAACACCATTCATTCAAACAAATAATCTTTTATATGCCATAAGATTTTTTTTTTCTTCATTCTCATAAGATGAGTCTTTTGTAAAGACAAGAAAATTTTCAATGAAGTTAATTAAATATTTTTTAGACAGTTAAGAATGTTTTTGACAGGAAATATGCTTTTAATAATACATTTTTTTCATTCTATTATTTTAGAAAATGTCACGAACAATCAAGAAGTCTACATTTTATGTACCGCAGAAAAAAGGTCAATACACCGTCGTAGAAGAATATAAATGAATAACCATCACTATTCAATAAGTAATAACTAATTACATGCATTTCAACTGGCAAAAATTCATTAACTGAGAAGCATTTTCTAAATTATTTTTTTCAAGAAAAGTAAAGCATGAAGTATTTATTTACTTAATTGAGATTCTTTAGAAAATAGTAGATAAGTAAAGAAAAGGAAAACTTCTAGGTGATAAAATTGTGTTCTTTAATTATTATAAAAAAAAATAGATGATTATTCTTCTTTCTGTCAGAAACAGTTATTTTTATTTGTACGGATACAATCATTGGTTTCGTTATGAACCAAAAACACGAATTAAATAAAATTACTGGAAAAATTATGTTCGGCTTATTAGGCTGTCGGTCGATATTAACTGTGACCAAGGACAGACGTCATAAACGTTAACAGTTGATAAACAAAACAATTTTTTTCTTTTCTTTCTCTCGTGAAAAAAAAAAGGAAAAAACATATATATATATCTATATATATATATATATCTTAACGGGCGCGCCTCAATCATTCAAAGTACCATATTCATCTCAAACATTCTTATGTTTCTTCAAATTATGTCTGCATTTGTCGTTCTTATCTTTGTTTTGATATTTCTTTTATATTGGAAGTTGATTCGTCCAGGAAAACAGATCTATAATGTACTACGAGATCAAGGCATACCATGTGAGCCTTTTGTACCTTTTTTTGGTCAATTACCTCGATTGTATCAGTATCGAAAACAAAATAAAATAATGAAATTTCATGAAGAATTATGTACAAAACATGGTTCAATATTTATGTTTAATCTTGGTGTATATCCACGTCTTGTTGTGCAAGATGCTGATTTAATCAGTGATATACTTGGACGAGCACATGCACAGAATTATTACAAACCGATTGATCTTATTTGTCGTCTTAAACCACTTATTGGTTTACATAATCTTTTAATTAGTAATGGAAATGAACATGAACGAGCAAGAACAATGTTAAATCCTGGTTTTTATTCCGAAAATCTTCGTTCAATGGTATCAATTATGACAGATCATACATCTAAAACAATTGACAGACTACTTGAATCATGTGAAGAATCAATTAATTTACAAAAAGAACTTAGTTTTCTTACATTAAAAATAATTGCATCAAGTGCATTTGGTGAAAATATTGAAACAATGACTGATGCAACAGAAATTGTTTGTGAAGCATTTATTGCAGCATTAGATGCTATTATTAATCGAACATTATTATTAATAGATCAAATTCCATTGTTTTCAAGATTACCATTTTGGGGTAAAGATATTGTTGATAGAGGCTGTGAAAAAGCTTTAAATTTTGTTGAACGTATTATTGCTGATAGAAAACAAGGCCGTACAAAAAATATGTGTCAAGGTGCAGATATTCTTGATTTACTTCTACAAGCTGTTGATTGTCATGGAAAACATTTTACTGATGAAGAAATTCGACAAGAAGCAATGGTCTTTGTTCTTGCTGGCCATCAATCAACAGGTGATCTTATGGCATGGATTATGTATGTATTAATGACAAATCCATCTGTATTATGTGCTTGTCAAGAGGAAGTTGATCGAGTTTTACCAAATGGTATGATTCCAACATATGAAATATTAAATAATTTAAATGTTTGTGAATCTGTTATATATGAAACATTACGTTTATATCCACCAATACCATATTTTGTTCGTCAATGTATACGTGAACATATTATTAGTAATCCAGATCATCAATTTTATATACCTGTTGATGCAACTATTCTAATCAATACATATTTAATTCATCGTCACCCTAAATATTGGCCTCGACCGCTTGAATTTGATTATACACGATGGATGCGTCATCCAATCACAGGGTTCAGACCTAAATTGGCTCATCCTTACTGTTATTTACCGTTTGCTTCAGGACCACGTAATTGTATTGGTCAAAATTTTGCATTACTTGAAGCAAAAGCTATATTAGCTATGTTCATTCAACGATGTAATTTTGAACTTCAGCCTAAAAATCAAAATATTACGATGGATATTCGAATTACAATGCGATCAAAATTTGGATTATTTAGTAAAATTACTAAAAGACGGTGAAAAATATTTGTTTTAACTTTGCGTCCAATTAATCTTCAAGTTTTTTGTTTGTTAGTGTTATTTTTAAAAGTTTATGCTTTATTATAAAAGTGTAAAGAGAATTTCAACTAATGAAATTTAATTGGTTTTAATTAATAAATGTGATTGAATGACAAGAAAAATTTTAATGACATTTGTGTACTCGACACATACTTTTTTTTAAAGATTTTATCAAAAAATGAAAAGAAACATTTTTTTTTATAGAAGAGCTCGTGATAATGTACTTAAGATTTATATTCTTCATAGTCATTTTTAGCATACTTATTAAATATCTACCCTTTTACAAGTAACATCGGATAAAATACTATAAATATTAAAGTACTTCGTATTATTCAAAGTACTCACTTAAACATAGTTTTTTTTTCGTGATAAATGATTAATAAAGTAAACACACATTCTTTTTTTGTTCGTTTTCTGTGTGACCTGATAAAAAACGAAAAAGCTGTAAATACTAGGACATCATTGTTAAATAAAATATTACTAAAAAAGAGACTCGGGTTTTAATATGCTGGAAAAAGATATATAAATAAAAAGACCTTTTGTATTATAACAATACAATTTTTTTTGTCGAAAATATTTTTTTCTTTTGATACATTAAATGGAGAACAAAAAAAGCGTTCTGCATACAATCATCGTGCTATTGACAATCGTTATGTCAGAACTCAAAGGTTAGGACGAGAATCTGATCAAATAGCTGTAAAAAATGTCCATAGAAAGGTTGTGTAAAATGTCAATAACATTCAGTCCATTTCTAATGCCAGTAATGAAATATTGTTGATTATTGAGAAGAAGAAATTGTACATTTTTTCTCAATTTAATAGTTTCCGCTTATTCGATGAACACTGAAGATAATTGTTAATGTGTACGGTCGAGAAGATAAGCAGTTAAATTAATGTGACAGCTGTTATTAACTTGTTCTGACAAGGTAATTAGTTCATTTTTTTGTCAATGAATAACATAATCAGCACGTGTAAACTCTCTTGATTTTTTGCTACATGTTTATCAAGATAAGGTCATTCTAATCTATTAGCATAGGAATAGTTTTACTCGAACATGAGATTGTTTTGAAAAAAATCTATTTGTACAATTATAAAATACACTGTTTGTTTTTATTTTCAGTATGAATAATTTATCCAAACAAATTGTTTATAACATCAGATGGACATCACTGTCAAGACAGTCATTATCATTAATATTGTTTTAGTCTAATATTAAGCTAAATTTGATCTTGCGTATTAAATTTCATTATACCTGATATGTAGCAGAGTGATAACCTAGAGAGTGTTTTTGTTTTCCGATACCGACCTAAACTGATCAGATAGGACAGAACCGATATGAGTCATTTTTCACTTTTGTCATCATATTATAGTCAAATAAACCTGTTAATTAATCATATCTACCTCTGAGTCACTACAAACATTACGTAGCGCTCCTATTTCAGTCTTGCAATGAACATGATTGTTGATGTATACGACGAGAAAATGACATCCATATTCTTCAGCTTGTTGGCAAAGACCTTGACAAATATGCCGATGTTCTTTTAACCTATTGTAAGACTATGGCAAAAGTGTTGATATGTCTACCACAGTCTATAACGCCCTAGTGTATTATCTGACATCCTTGTTTTTTGTCCTGTTGTTCTCTGTCATATAGACGATGAGGTTTCTTACAATGATTAAAGTAGTTCCATTGCGTTTCATGTTTTAATTCTTTCGAGACTGTACTGAAAACTTTTTCTTCGATATAAATTTCGTGAAAGTGTTTTCTTTTTTGATATCTATCAATGGACAGAAATTTCATAGGGCTACAAAGTCTATATTAGCATTATACATTAATTAAATATTTGCCAAACAGAAATCATGCACCACATGTAAATGTACTCAGCTTCTCACAATAGGTTTACTTTGCTATCTCTTATGTGTATATGAAAGATATGGTGTAAATAATACGAAATGAAAATAAATATACAGTAGAGCCTTTATTTCGTAAGCGGCATCGTGGCCGAAGGAAAATCGTTTGCTATAGTAGAGTGTTCATAAGGAGAGAGGAAATTAAGGAAATATAAATCAAAATATCAGTTTTATTACTTTCTGTCTACTGTCACTTGCTTTTTATTGTTTTAATAAATAGTTTTTGACTTCTAGTGATGTAAATTTTTTAACCCAATAGGTTTCAAACATAACGTCCAAATCCTGTATAATCAGGCTTAAACATTATCATTGATGATTTGACTAAAATCATCATTCACCTTGCACTTCACCTTTTTGTTTACATTAGTTTTATAATAAGTAATATATTCATTTTTGAATGATATTGATTTGACCGAAAGAAAAAATAGCGAAGTAAAGAATAGCGGAAAAAATGTCGAAAAAGTTTGCTTTGAGATTCTCGACCAGCGAGAGGAAGACATTTTATTGCATGCAAAAAAGTGAGAGACGTAGACATGTACCAATAAGAGATAATAGTGTATGAAAAATATTCAAGAACAAAGCAAACGAAAAGACAATATGTTTCTTTATGTGAATGGGTGTGCGTATGGGTGTGTGGTGTTTGTGCGAGTGTCCTTGTCGAGTGTGCATGTGAATATTAATCTTCTCTTTACTCCTTTCCACACACCCATACTCACAATTCACATCGCATTCTTGACAAAGTCATTTAATGATATGTAGAACATTTCCGACATTTTTAGAGGTATATATTTCCTCGTCATTTTTATACGATCGACATTTTTTCTTTCAGCCTAATTAATACTTACCTCATTTTTTTCCTTTTACCCTTTTACGTCAGATTTACTTCGATAACAAATAAAGTAAAAGTCTATTGTTAACATGGTAGTATATTTTGAAGGTTATTGGCGATCATAATTCTTTCACTTGAACTTGATTTAAAGATGCAATGCTGTTATCAGTGATATATATTGTCTAAACGTAACAAATATTAAAAAGGTCTGTTTTAATATATTTCGAATTCGTCTTCTTATCAAATTTTGAAAACATAAATTTACAGGCATCGTCGTCAAAGAGTTAACAATATTTGATACTGCATTGATAGACATTTGAAATTCGTCTTTTAATTCACGATAAGATAAACCACGTTATTTGTCTTTGAAATAAGTTCTTTTTTTTTCTCTAAAGCAAGGACATTGCGAGATACCAAATCTGATAGACAAAGGTTGAAAAGGTACTTGAAAAGGCAACTATATCTATTTGCCCATTCTTTTTCTTTTTTTTTCTCTTTTTCTCTTTCATTGAATTAAATCATAGAGTTAATTTATTTCTTGATAATCATTTTCACAGATACAATCATATGCTTCATTCAAGTAGCACCTTCCATTGATGTTCACATTGATAAAATCAATATATATAGACGAAACCAAAAAAAATATGCTCACATTCAGAATGAAGGGTTATTGATAAAGTAGGGGTACAAAAACCCGCAAAATTCGCTCGGATGGACTGGAAAGTGTTCGACATAACATGATTTTCACTGAGAAAGGTTTTACCATATGATAAATTACAATGACGAACAATGATTCTATTTTGTTTTGGTACTATAACTTGATATCGATGTGAGCTGCTAAAGTGTATTCAGTATATTTTGATGGATATTCACTCAATAGAAGTATTCTGATGCATGTTCTCTCATAGAAATAGTCATTAACATCAGTAAATATGCTTTGATTTGAGGAAAAAAAATCTATATCGATCAATAAGAGATCCTTTATTGGACCAGCCATTTGCCGTTACCGATTACAACTCTGATATGTAGTTGATCAATTATTTGCATTATTCGAAATACATGTCGTTTCGGCTACATTTATACAGTTCGATAAATAATTTATATATGAATATACAAGAAAAATATGTAATTTAATTCAGTAATTTGTTGCATTAACTTTGAATCAAAATGCGAATGTTTCTTCCCCGCGTATTAAATATTTATTTCATATCTTTTTTTTTCTTCTTTATTTTAAACATAAACAAACAAAAAATAGTGATAATGATAAATTCGTTATGAGTGCTTACTATTTACAATCATTTCTTTCTCGTTTTCCAATTAATCAATATTTAGATATGAATGCAAAAGTTCAACATTGTTTTTTACTCGATGGTAAAACAATTCTTCCTATTGATTACAATCATCAATTATTTATACCTATTAAAATACTAAACACTACTGAAAATAAATATTGTTCATGTTATCAAAAACAATATCGATCACATTCATGCAGTCATTATTGTCAGCAATCACTTGATGAAAATATAAAAACAACTAATATCGCCGAGAGATTTAAAGGTACTCGATTAAATATTGAATAAGTCGAGAATACAAGCAATTAGCAATCTATGGTTTTCAGAAATGACATGACAACATCTTTTTCTTTGATAAAATATACATTAAAATCATTTTGAAGCCTTTTATTTCCACAAAAAAATTCAAAATACATATGAAAGTAGTCTATCATTTCGTTGATATTTTGATAAAAAGTACGGCATGACTAGCCATCAGACACTCATACATGAAGAGGGTTCGAACTTGAAAGTGAAGAAAGCTAAGTGTACCATTTAAAAGAGAACAACTGATAGTATTTGAAATGCAAGTATCTCTATTCCTGAGTAGCATTGAATGATATGAAAGCGTTAAATCTTTCTTAAAATGGACAACTCGAAAATTTGTTTCAAAGATAGTTGAGAAATACATCGTCAAATAAGAATCAATCAACAGAAAAAACGATTTCTTCAATCAGTCGTTAATCGATCGAATACGAAACATTCTTTCAATTCATAACCTTCGTTCAAATGTTAGATGTTTACAAATCAAGATAATGCGTTTTCAAAACTATATCTATTTTTAATGAAATTCCGTAACGAAACTCGCCTATGGCGTATTATACGCGCTTTTGTTGCTAGTGTTCAGAACAAAAACGACGTCTCCAGATAGAATTTAACAAGCTTCACCGAACACATCCATTTTGAGCACAGCTTCATCCAATACTTGCTTCCGGGTTTCTTGAAATATTGCGTTACAAAATTTTATTAGTATCTGAGTTTTGCAGTGTTTTTAGACCATTAAGCAATTTATATTGTTTTTTTTTTATCACTATGCAACATATTTAGAATTAGTATCGAATTTGAACAAAATGGAGTGTTTAGTTAATCCAAATTTCAACTATTCTTTTTTTTGGATCGAAAAAGTTGAAAATGTTTCTCATTTGATTCTAGTGAAAAACATTATTTGCTGCGAAATCCATGAATATTTGGCCGTTTTTAATTTCTATTTTGCTTTCATCTAGGTTGAAACTGTGATTTTCGGAAAAAAGGATAAAATTCCATAACGAACACTATTATTAATTTGCTATTCGAAACATTTATGCTTGTTAAGGAATGGCCTGATATTCTGAAAGTTTGTTGAAATTTGAACAAATTTTATATAAAAACTTTATTTGTATATCGCTTTGTTTCGTAGTAAAATATTATACTCTTAGTTTCGTTAACAAAATTCCACTGTTTGAAATTTTGTAACGGCCGACCTTTTCTAAATAGCTCAGCTTCAGCTAAAAGAAAGTCAATGAAACTTTTACTGGTAGTAAATCCAGAGGGTCTCTATCTATCATAAAAGTTTCAAAAGCATTTGCTCAGTATTAGGATATGAAAAGATAATAGATATAACCTGCATCTTTTTTTATGAGATCATAAGAGTTTCATCGTTATCCATATCATTATACCCATATTTAAATGCTAATTACCAGCCATACTTCATGAATTTTGCTTTCCCGTCATATATATATATATGTTGTAGGCAAAATTGGAATTCTAATATTGACAAGGCAAGAATTTGAACCCCATTGGAGATAAATTCATATGATCACGTGCTTTACTAAAAGTCAAATGAAATGAAAAGAGAGAGGAAACTGTAATCGTAGCGATAGTGTCGATAAGCGCGCTATAAATATAGATGTACCCGTTACAATCTAATAAAAAAATGTCTGAATCGGGTTCGATAACTGATCGCACTTGCGGTTGTAAAGGCAAGTACGCTACAAAACAATGGAAGTTTTTTGTTCGACAAAATGTCATTCCAAACGAGGTGGTTGTACCAATATGGATAAACAGATTAAAATGTTTTGTCTTGTATATTGTTTACTGAAATGAAAAGATATTGTTAAATAAAAACCAATATTCTATTCAGGTTTGAATTGTTTTTATTGTATGAATTTATCCTGAATGGTATTCTAATTTTGCTCAGGCAAAAACTAGAACGTCAAGTATGACTGATGAGTGCATAGTTAATATTAATTAGAATTCTAATGGATTAGAATTCTGAGTTTGCCAAGGACAATTTAAAATTTTCTGGAACTCTAATTTTGCCTACACTATATACGTAATGGATATTTTCTCCTTCCTTCTAATTCTCATTCTTTAAACTTGTTTTATGGATCTTTCTTTTTTCTTCATAATCTTTAGGACTTTTCACTTTACGTTTTTTCCCCGTCTTTCATCGTTCTATACATAGTCATTACATTGCAGCGAAGAATTTGAATATAGAGATAGATATATATACAGAAATAAACTATAAATAGGAGTATGATTTCACAATAACCATTTAAATAGTTTCTTGAACTGTATATTTTCGAATTCTTCTATATAAATGATTGTGTCAAAATCAAAATTTTATCGGAATGACAAACTATCTTTTTTAATGTTTTGTAGAAATCATTGATTTCAAAATAGCTCTGTCCTATATAACGGTTGATCGGAATATTTTTTAGACAAGATGTTTGTTTACTTTTAACCTGATAGAAAATATATTTAAGGAGTTAGGACAAGAATTTTGTATGCTTAGAAATCTTATCACAGTCTTTGTTCGAGAGCAGTAAAATACTCTTTGAAAACTCAAAAAAAAATAGCTCTGATGGAACTTGTGACCCGACGTATCTGGTGAACACGTTCGTTTATTTATGCGTAGTTAAAAGCATTTCAGACGAGTGAAAAACTATAGATTGCGACCAGCATTTGAATACAGATTTAGAAATTGTGTGTCTATTTTTGTTCAAGGGTAGTGAGGAATTTTTCTGAAAAATCTAAAAAGTAATCTATAATAGTTAGCTAATAGTCTTTTGTTTATAATGTAAGTCTCTTTTCGAACATACAAAGCACTGTTGGAGTCGATCACTTTTTAGATCAGACACTTCTCTACAAAATACGATATTAAAATAATAAGAAAATCTCTTCATCTAACTGCTTTCGATTTCAATGGTTTTTGATCTTTAGATACTACAGAGTTTTCTAATAAAAACTCTAAAAAGATTTATATTTCAATTGATATTCAATTAAACTATCGAAGTTTGATTCGAAACTTAGTGCATATAGAGAACTCCACTAGACCAGTTTCCATTAAAAAATTCACAAGTTATAAACGAAGTCTCACCAAGATATGAGACTCAAAATATAGATCCTTTTCCATTGATAGTGCATACAATATACACTTTTTGAAAGCTTCATATCTCGAAGAGATGTTATTCAAAAATTCTGAATTTTTATAAGGAAACTAGTCTAACTGAGTTTTTTATGTCAGCAAAGTTTCAGATCAAAATTCGATAGCTTAGTGAAATTTTATAAGAACTCAAGTCTTTTTAGATGTTGTCTTAGAACACTATTTCGTATTTCTAAACAAAGCAAAAATCATTGAAATCAGAAGTGGACAACTGAAGAGATTCCCTCATAAGCTGTAGTTTCTACCTAAGTGTGGCTACAAGCATCTTTTTTCAAGAGCTGCATTCACCGTAAAACGATTGTTGATCAAAAACTCGTTTCTTCAAAAATGAGTATTTATGAAAAACAAAAATTGAGATGCTTTATCAAAAGACTAAAAAAAGACTTTAAATAGTGCATTTTATAGAGTAACTTTCGATCTACAAGTTGCCATATAAATAAAGAACTCAACTTCTAGTTTCGAATCACAATAGTGAATATACAAAAATTCCTCATCTAAACTAAATTTTTGGACTTTTCAAAGATTATTTCACTATTCTCAAAAAAACAACTGAGCGAAAATTTCTAAATGTATATTCGAAAAGAGCACAAAATCTTGGTCTTAACTTATCGGAAACACTTTCTAGCGTGCCGAAAGTAAACAAAAATCTTGTCTAAGAAGTTTCCGATCACTCCGTTATCGTCGGAGAAAAAAAGATGCCCTCATGTCTTCTCGTTCGATTGCTGAAAACCGCAAGTCACTAACTGCTTGCGTCAATTTTTAACCGAATACATTTATGCCTCGAGTCGCTATTAATTATAATAAACATTATGAAATAGATCAAGAGACTCTTTGTTCTCGTTCATTACAATCAATAACAAAATTATCTGAAAACAAATATATGAACAAAAGAAAATCTTCATCTAAGATTGCAATTGTAAAACGAAATCATTGCAAATATTATCGATCTGATCAACAAATAAATAATAATAAAAATAATATTGAAACATGTACGTTAAATAAATTAATAAATAATTTTTTATCTCGAAAACTATTCTTACATTTTACAGATTTAATCACTCGTATGAAACCATCAATTAATGTCTCAAAAGATTCCATTCAGATTAATAACAATCAATCACGTAAATCTCGATCAACAATCACTATTATTATCAAACCATTCATATCAAGGGAATATTCTAATCGTTGTCATAAGCAAGAAATTTCTCTCGATAAAAAATTATCTTCAAATAAACGGAAATATTCATCATCATCATCATCATTAAAAAGTATAACTAAACGAATATCAACTTCAATATCACATAAAACATTAAATAAAACATATCATAAACATCAATTATCTACATTTAAAGATATAACACGACCAATTCTTCCAATATCAACTGACATAAATCATAATGAAAATAAATCATCAAATATTCTTCATTCTGGAACACTTCTCAATATGTATCGTAATAAAAAACAATATATGAAAGAAAAATAAAAGTTTTATTTTTTTTTTTTTACTAAAATCAATCAAACAAATAAACAGACATAAATAAACATATATATATATATATACGTATATTATTTTCTTTTTTGTTTTTAAAATGTTCTTTTATATGTTACCAATCTTCAACTGAAATTGATTTTCTTAAACCTTCATGACATTCGACTTCATCAACAAATATTGTATTAGTTTTTGTTTCAATATCTTTTTCTAATATTAATTTATCACGATCTAAATTACGTAAACGTACATGTGATTCATTCAAACTAAAACAAATAGAAAAATATGAATAATAATAAAAACTAACATATGTCAAATCAGTCAACGAAGACTAATGATGATATCTAAGCAAAAATTGAAAAAATGTGCAAACCAGATTGAGATCATCAGAACTATTTATCTACAAAGACATTGCCTCGTCTCTTATGTTGACATTTCGCATGCAAATGATAAATGATTCGTACCTGCTCCTGCTATTTCCTTTTTTCTTCTATCTATCTATCTTTCTTTCTTTTTTTTTGTGATTCATCAAGCCAAGCATAGCGGAAAAAAAACAACATAGTAAGTCTATTTTCTTTTTAATTTCATACCGTTCTTGAAGTTTTTGTATTTGACATTCAATTTCTCGAATTTCTTCTATAAGACATTTTTGTGGTGCATCATAAACAAGTTCAACATTAGGTCGTTTATGACGAATATCAAGACGTGTATGAGCCAATTTTAAATATTGTTCTTTATCACGTATAGCTTTTTCAGTATTTTTAATACTTTCTTCAAGTTGATTAATTAATAGATTAACCTAAGTCATAAATAATGAATAAATAAAAATAAGAATAAAATCTTCTTATATAAATAACTTTTTATTTACATCATGTAATTGATCTTCAAGTTTTTGTTTCGCTTGTTTTGATTCATAAATGCGTCGATCAAATGAACGTCTTGTACATTCAATAGCTTGTTTTATATCAGCAACAAGTTTTTTTAATATACCATCAATGACATTACGTAATTGTACAGCATTAAGTCGTTGTGTTTCAGCATTTTTTATATTTTCATCTGAATATTCTTCCCAAAATGGTTCGGAAACTGATCTAATCAAGATAAATAAGAATGTTAATCTTTTCAAAGAAATTTGATCTTTAGTTTTTTTTTTTTCTATTAAAGACGAAAGAATTCATCTTGAAAGAATATCTTTCAACAGAAGTACTATAGTAATTCTCATCTATCTCTATATATAGTTGTGGGTATGTTTTACTTGCTTTAGTACAAATATAATACACCCATGGGCGTTTTTTTCCATCTCCATCGATCTTTAGACTATCGACTAGAAAGTTCATTTTGTACTAGTCTCAAGAGAATTCTTTAGTGGTTTTTCTTGCTTGTTTTGTTTTTTCTACTAGAAGATTATTTTCTCGTATGATTAATATATAGAATTTGAAATAACATACCGAGGATTAATATGTGTTACACCTTCTTTAAGATAATTAGATGGACTTGTTAAATTTAAGTCAATAATATGTTCATCAAGTGATTGTGCAGTAAATTTGTCTTTAAGATCTCGATCGAGCATATAGCGAGCTTTGCGCATCAGTCTATAGAAATAGAATAGAACATAATTATGTCTCTATTGAATTGCTCCGAAAAAAAAAAAGAAAGATGAAGAAAGGCATAGCGCCGGATTCGATCAGTGCATGCCGAACATATATACAAAGAATGATGAAAGAATGAATAAGAGACAGGAAGTCATGTAGACGACTTTCAACACATACGGATATAATTCTAATCGACACTTAGATAGAAAAGATTGTAAAAAAGAAATAAGAGAAGAAGGAGTGAAGAAGAAAAAGAAGAAGAAGAAGAAGAAGAACGCGTAAATTGAAAGAAAAAGACGCTAGAAAATCATGTGTCACCTGTTCATTGCCAGTTTTTTAGATGACATTTCTTGTCTGTTTCTCTTCTTTTCTATTAGATTTTGTTGATGTTATTAATAACAATAATGCTCGATGTATTAAATAGTAATTGATTTTTAATTTCAATCTAATAAACAACAGAATATATGATTTATTCTCATTCTTCTTTCTTTTTTTTTTTTTTTTTGTATTTTGTTATTCGCTTTGTCATTCTTTCAGATACAATCGAACAAATTATTGGATGTTACCAAAGGGATGTTTGTATGAGTATATCCATTTGCAATATGGTATCTGTTAGAAAATATTAAAGAATTGTCAATCTACTGTATGTATACATATGTGATACAATAACAGACAGAATTGTAGTTAACATTGCTACTTAGGCTATTGTGTTTTCTCTACTAAGTGAAGATACGATGTGTCTAAATGCCCAAATACTATACTATAAAATAATAATAACATAGAGAGTAAGATATAAATAGCAAGAGCAATAAAGTATGCAAACATATATTGATAAATAAAAACACAGAGTAGTGTCGGTGAACAATGAATAAAATCAAGAACAAATGATAGAGATTAATTATCTATTAGAGTTGAATGATATCAATGTTAATGCATAATATCTATTGTGTAATACATAGCTTTTATTGGTAAGATTTGTTTTTATTATTGTTTTTACTTTTTTTTTTTTTTATTTCTTTCAATATTCTTATTATCTTGTTACAGTGATATATAAAAAGAAAAACGAAAATATGTACAACAGTTGTTTGTTGAAATAAGTTGACGAATAAAGAGACCGCATTCGTGCATACCCATGAGAAATGTCATCATCATATCAGTTTGCACTCAGAGCGAAGTAGACGTGCTTATATGTATATACATGTCAGTCGACGAATGTTTGTGTGAGTAAAATCTTCCCAATCGACACGTTGCACCATACAAACTCATATACATGCAGTTACTAACGATCTGATATTAAAGGAATTTTTTGACTATCTGCATGTATACATATATATTATATATATATATATTTGTGTGATGAAAGACCAGAAGCATATTGCATCGGGTTACATCGATTTTGGAAGAAGGTGATATCATCATCATCATCATCATCATCATTTTTCCTTTTCCTTTCCCTTTCCCTTTCTCTGTCTCTCTCTCTCTCTCTCTCTCTCTCTATCGCTTTCTCTTCTAAGTCAAACTGTTATTACTTATGCTTATTATAGTGTTTAGTTTTTGCTTTTTCTTCTTCTGTGTCTGTTTTCTAAATATACATATGAAAACCCAATTCTCGTTTTTTCTTCTATTGTAGTTGTCATCAAACAATGCGGACAATTATATAGGCGCATTCATACATTTGTTTGTTATAAATGAAAAAAAAAAAAAAAACGATTCATCGACCAGTATTATAATATCACATCTTGATGATGCGAGTAGCAGCATCAACCTTGTGATTGTTATCGTTCTAACGTATACATATAGATTTTCTTTCTATTACTTTCTTTTCATTCAGCTTTAGGAAATTACTCTTACCTTCATATTATTTATCGTTTTTAGATCTAATTATAAGACAATATGGTTGAAAGTGGTATATGATCAGTAAGAGTGAGAACATGTTTCAAACGTGCTGAGAGAATCATGATGTTCAATCGATTGACAACGTTGACGTATGGCGTTTCTCTTATTGAAAGGCATTCCGAGTCTTGCCGGTCACAATCAAGCGCCTCAAGCTGATCCAGATGATTTTGTTGATCGACTTAACTATCGTTATACAGTTATTTTACTTAATGTTTTCTCAGCTATTGTTACAAATCGACAATTTAGTTCTAAACAAATTCAATGTAAATATATATTCATTTCTTATTAATTAAACTTCGAGAAAAGAAAATGATATTCAAATTTATTTTTCAGGTTGGGTACCAGCTATGTTTACATCTGGTTATGAAGATTATACAAATCATATATGTTATATTACAAATACTTACTATGTTAATCAAACACAAAAAATCCCAGGTACGCGTGCAGAACGACAAAGTCTACAATTACTTTATTATCAATGGATACCTTTTATTCTCTGCTTTCTTAGGTAATAGCAATATATGAATAAGAATCAATTTCTTTATTCTTTTTTTTTTGTTTCGTTTTTTTAAGCATTCTTTTCTACATTCCAAATCTTTTTTGGCAATCTCTTATGAGTCGAAGTGGTTTGGATTTAAAAGATATAATTGAAGCGGGTAAAAGTTATAAATCAATTGATAGAATGGATAAAAGACGTAAAATAATGAATTACATAATTGCATCTATTGATGAATTTATTGATGACCCAAGACGTGGAAGAGAAAATCGACATATAAGTTTACTTAAACGTATTCAAGCAGTTTTTTGTTGTATGTATGGAAAATTTCAAGGAAATTATTTTATGATGGTTTATTTATTAACAAAAATTCTTTATGTTTTTAATTCAATTGGACAATTAGCAATATTAAATGAAATGCTTGGAATAAAATATTATCGTTATGGTTTAGAATTACTACAAAAATTAATTTTACTTATACAAAATCAACCACTTCAACAATCGTATAGACAACAGGGTGGTCTTTCAAAATATTTTCCTAAAGTAACATTATGCGATTTTGAGTAAGTTTAATTTATATTTAAAATAAAATATCTCGTTTAATTATTGTTTGTCCTTATAGAGTACGTGAACCTAATCATTTATATAATTCACATCGATATACAGTTGAATGTGTTTTACCTAATAATCTTTTATTTGAACAATTGTTTACATTTTTATTTTTTTGGTATACTATGATAGTTATTTTGAATATTATTTCATTATTTACATGGTCATATTCATTTATACGACCAATTCGGATAAAATATGTAACAACACGATTAAAATTAATATTAATAAGACATTTACGAAAGTCTATGATAAACTCTGATGAATCTTCTCAAGAACAACAACCACAACCACAACCACCACCACAACTACAACAACAACAAACATTATCTGATGATTCCCTATTACATCGTGATGATTCTCATTTAGATTTTGCTAATAATTATTTAAAATGTGATGGAATATTTGTACTTCGTCTATTAGAAACTAATACATCCGATTTCGTTGTAACACATGTTATTGAAGAATTATTTTATTCATATGAAAGAAAAGCTTCACAACCAGTTGTTCTTGATGGACTTGCTAAAATGATGTCAACACTTGGTCCTGACCAAGGTTTGCTAAGTTTAGGGAAATTACTTTTTTTACCCGTTATGTCCGATCCAAAAATGGCTGCTACATTTACTAGAGGAACAACTAGAGCAACAACAATTACTACTACAAATAGTAATATGCTTCTTCCTAGTTTAACAACAACAACAACAACAACAACAACTGATGATCCTTTACGTAATGCACCAAAATTACTTGCACCACCTGCTCCAACTCGTCGACGAATATCAATGCATGAAAAACATTCTCCTACTGGTTCTATAACAGAACCGATTGAAACTGTTCAACGAACTTCGTTATCAACAACAATAGAAACAAAACCAAGTGTTGATGAAGTAACGGAAATTCTACGCGAACGTCGACAAAGACTTAGGCGAAAATAATAATAATTCATTTTCATAGATTCTTTTATCTTTTCTGTATGCCTGTGTGCCTGTGTGTGTATGAATAATAATAAAAAAAAATCAAAAGGAAAAGAAGAAACAAAAAAGAAAAGATATTTTCTATACGGTAAATGTCAAAAAAAAAAAGATAATTCTGATAATAATTATCACATAACAATATGTGACATTTTTATCATCATTTCCTTCAAGGTATTCTATAAATAACCTTAAGTTAGAAATGAATACATTACCTAAGTTGTTCTTTCGTTTGCTCGATTGTGCGTGTTAGTAAAGTAATAGCTGCTTGAATAGCTGTAACTTCCATAATTAAATCTTTTTGAACATCATCATGAACTAAATCAATATCGTAACGTTTTTCTCTACAATAAAAATAAAACGAAAATCTTTATAAAAATTCTTTGAGAAAATATTTTTTAAACTAATTAACCGATTTGATAATGTTGTTTGAACGATATGTAAATTATCTTGTAGTGATTGAAGACGTTTTTCAATACGAACAAGATAAACTTCTGTTGCATCAATTTCTTTTTCTATTTCACTTCGTTTTACCTCTAATTCACCTTTCCAATTTTTAATATGATCCAAACGTTGATCTATTATAAATAAAAATAAAACAAGGTTTTTTAAGTTGTTTCTTTCGGTTTTTCTTTTCATCTTCTCACGTATTGAATTACGAATGTACAATATTGGTGGAAACACTGATGCTGAGTTACCGACACAGGATACACTGGGATACTGATTATACAACCATCGGTGTATGCTACAACATTTAAACATCAACTCTATTGAAATAAGTCCTTTTTGTAGCGGTAATGCATTAATGAACACTGATGCTCACGAAGTTAGTATACTGAGTTCAAATGTTTTAGCAAAAAAGTTATCAGTCTAGAAAAGCAGTATATAAAGATATGAGAGGATTTCTTATGATTATATTCGGAATTAGTATGGTCGATAATCTATAATCTAGTATCTTCGTTAAGGAAGCGATTGATTTGTTGGAAAACGTTCTCTAGTGTATCGACGATTAGTACACTGACAACTGCACATCTCTATATTATAGATAGCCTAGAAAATGTAGTCTAATAGTGTATCGTAATATTTTTTTGTATTTTTTTTCGATAAAAATTTATATTTAAGATCGATGAAAAAGAAAATTAATAATTTGTAATCATTTTCTTTTTTTATTCTATTCTCGTTCACATGTCAATTGTTCATTTCCGTTTCCTTTTTTATTGAGTGAAAATTGAACATTGCCAATTAGTTGATTCAAAATTATGGAAATTTTAATTAAGTTTTAATAATAACTATTCTAAAGGTTGTCTTGTATTTTGTAATTTTCAATTAGAAAACAATTTTTGGGAAAATATATAAGCCGATTAAAACTAGGCTATTTGCTTGTTTCTCTTTTTTTCTATTTTAATATATTAATTGAATTGAAGCTTGAAAACATCAAATCCTATTATCATATTATAGCTTTTTTTTTCAAAGTCATTCGGTCAATAATCTTTTCGAAGTATATGTTCAACACATTTTTGACATAGAAGTCTTTCAATAGGAATAAATGATAAAAAAAATATTAAACAATCGTTTGTCAGTGATATCGTTTCAAAATATTTTTTTTAAATCATCTTCAACATTGATGAGTATTTAGTTATATTTATGTCTATTATTGATACTCACCAAGTTTTTTATTAACATCAGCTAAAGTTTGTTCAACATTGCCTCGTCCTTCTTGATCAAGTCGGTCACATTCAAGAATAAGTCGTTCAGCAACAGTTCGATCTCGTTCAGTATTTTTATGTTTAACTTTTGATGCAAGTTTCCATTCTTCAGGTGTAAATCGTTGAGGACGTATTACAACTTTAGCCATCTTTATTGATATGCAATTCGTTAACAATTTCTTTTTACAATTGATTGAAACAAGTTGCCATTAACAACTAATGTTACCATAGAAGAGTCTTTTGAAGAACATTTTCTAGATGTCGCAATAGATTTTACTCATAAATTTCATTGTTGTTTGTTCTTTTTTGAAGTGAGTAGAAACAAAAGAAAAAAATTAAACATTTAACTATGGCTCAATATTCAAATAACGAACTAATTGAAATTATTATTTTAAATACAAATATTAGTAGTATAAGAAATCATTAACATTCATTATTAGCATATTCTCATATTTCATTCACTTGAAATTCAATAGAAGAAGAAAAACAACACTGTATGAAATAAAATATAATTATTACTAAGAAAACTTTTCAAAATTTATCACATTTTTTAAATAAAATAAACGAAAAATCTTGTCAATAATGTTTTAATAAATCAAACATTCATATTCGTTTGAACTTTCTAATCATTCTCGTTTTTTTTTTCTTACGTCTTTACTCTTTTTATTATTTTCAAGATAAAAATAACTATGTCGACATCACCAACAAATCTTGAAATTCAAGGAAGTTTTATGCGTGTACCACCACCAAAAGAATTATCGAAATCAATTGAACGACGTCAATCATCAGAAGAAATACAAAAACCTATAGGACGACGTTCAATAACTTTAACTAATCGGTCATCAGTAGCTACACCAGCACTACGTAAAAATGTTCCAACAAATGCAACAAAAATTGAAACAAAACAACCCATTAAAAAATCAGATGACGCGGAAACAATGAAAATAAAAATTTCTAATCTTGAAGATGAAATTCGTCGTCTTAAACGACGTATTGAAGAATTAGAAAAAGAAATAGCTGAATTACAAAAACAAGTTAAAACAAAAGATAAACGTGTTGCTGAATTAACGAAAGAAAATGAAGAACTTAAAAAACGAGTCAATTTTTTTTCATATTTTGATATTTTTGTTTAATTATTCTTTTGTATTTCTCCAATAGGAATTAAATTATCAAAAACAATTTGAAGAATTTCGTTTGGAAAATGATCGTTTAACAAAGGAAAATGAACATTTACAAGCTGAAGTTGATCGTCTTCAAGCTGTACATAACTCAGCTAATGATTCATCAGCTGAATTAGATGCATTAAGAGAACATGTTTGATTTTTTAAATATTCAATTATTCAAATTTATTTTTAATATTGTTTTTTTGTTTTTATTAGTATGAAAGACAAATAGAACAAATGCGACAAGAACATGCTCGAGAATTAAAAACTCGTGATGATAAAATATCATTTCTTAAAAAACAAATAAGTGATTCATTAAAAGATAATTCTTGGTATAAATTTAATATTTTTTATTATGATTTTGAATTTATATTTTAAATTTTAATAGGGAACGACAACAACAAATTGAAGAATTAACCAAACAACTTAAACGAACACATGAAGAATATGAATTACTTCGTCAAAAATTACTTCAATATCAAAATAAAAAAGGAGTAAAGATATTTTTGTTTTTTTTTTTTTGAAAATATAAATTTTTCTTTAAAATATTTTCAATTATAGACATCAAATTGTGGAAATTGTTCTGATATGACTATTAAAATTGAAGAAAAAACAAAAGCTTTACAAGAAAAAGATACGATTATACAAGAATTATTCACACTTATGACAAAGTTTAAAAGTCAAATTTCAAATCAAGAAGAACTTACAAAATTATTATCAACATATAATAATACTTCACTTCGTCATTAAATTGTGAATTTTTTTTATTATACATATTTTCTTTTTAATCCGCCCATAATCTAAACTAATATTAACAAAAACAAAATATTTTTACACGTCTCCAATTTTTTTTATAAATTTAGTTTCTTATTATTGACTCAGCAACGAATGAAATATTAATCAGTATTCTTTTTTTCTCAATTCTTTGCATTTGATCTTGTTTTTTGATAGCACTGACTAATAAATTTAAAAAGTGAAGCTCGATATTTGAGCGGTTATTCTTATGAATAAGACTATATAAAAAGTTTTTGTTTAAGACTTTTTATTCAAATTTAATGATAATCTTTTACTTTATATTGAATTACGATTTGTTACATAAGTATAACAAGTGATGCGAAAGTTTGTGGACACAAGGTTTTTATCATTATTGATCTATTTGAAAGTATTCTAGACGAATAAAAATACTAGGGGTTAGAACCAGAATTTCATGCTCTTATTAATATGACCTTGTCGTCAATTATTTGTCTCTTATTTGTTGAAGATAGTAAGATAGTTTTTCAAAGTTCTGAAAAATTAGTTTAAATTGTGAACAAATAGGTTTTTGATAATTTTCTAAGCTTTTGTTTTTGAGTAGGTACTAAAAGCTATGGAGCTCGGTAAATTTTCAGAGCAGAAACTTGTTTATATGATGTGGTATCGAACTAAATCATCACTTTTACTTGAGTGAAACTTTAAGCATTTCCTCCGAGGCTGCATTCCATGTAAAGTGCTTTTTCATCAAATAGTTGGTTTTGCAAAATTGTGACTAATAGAAAAACAATAGTTGAAGTACTTTATCGGAAGATAAAAAGGAAATTGAATAGAAAATATTGTAGAACTGATTTTACTCTACAAACGTATATAGAAAACAAAAATTTCAACGTTTATTTTTGAACTTCCATAGTAAAAATACAAAAATCTACGAAAAACTGTTCAGATCTTTTAAAGATATTCTAACCACTTTCGAGCAAAAATAAACAGAAAATTTCTAAGATCGTATGCAGAAAGAGAACAAAATTCTGATTCTATCCTATAGTGTTTCATCCGTCTGGAATACTTTCAAACAGATCAAAAATGAACAAGCATTTTAATCCAGAAACCTTCGCATCACCAGCTATGTTGATATAGAAATCGTATGAAATAACTGAAATACTTTTCAAAAAAGAACTTTTATTATATTAGAAAGCTTTCAAGTCTAAATGACTACCATTCATAATACATGATATTATTAATCTTAAATCATAATATTCAATAGTGCTTCTATTGGCAGTTGTATCAAGCAGAAGTAAAATATATATACCGTTTGATACTGTCGATAGACTCGATATTTCACACTTTGTTGAATAAAATAACACTTAGCTTGCAAGATAGTTAGATATATTTTTAAGTAGAAAAATAACAAATATAATCTAGTGATTCGATTATTTTAGAATATTTTACTTTTTCTTCATCTATTTTCTAATCTGTTGTTGATCGTATGAGAAAAAAAAATGAATGTGCGTTGTGTCGCTTATCATCTGTTTTATTATCAAAATGAATAGTCTTTTGATACACTGTGCTTTTAGTAATAAAAAAGCATAAACGGTATATTTTGTTAGTATAAAGAATGTATTAAAAAAAAAACGTTTTATTTAGAATTTCGATTAGAAATGCTAGTCTTAGTCATTCAGATTAATACAAAAACTCGTCTATATACTAATAGATAATTTTCAAATGAAAAATGATTTCATCTTATTTTGACTAAAGATCAGAAATAATGAATCAAAATTTAGATAGATAATAACTATCAATAATATGCAGCTGTTTGCAGAAGAAATGTGCACGCTTTACTAAATAGATAATTATTTGTAGATACATCTACTTGAATTGTTTCATTCTTTATAGACGATAAGATACAAAAAGTATTATATATTGTATCATTATTGAAAATTTTATTGCTTTATTTTTTTTGAAGAAATAACAGAAAAACTTCACTTATTCATAGACAAGATACAATTTATTACAAGATTCAAATCAACATTTTAAAACTATTTTATTGAAAATCATGAAATCTCTTTGATATTTTTTATTTTTATTTTTTCAATTTTGTACGTCACGACTGATCAAATATACTATTGGTAGAAATAGTATTCAGGTTATTCAGTCCGTTATTTGAGATACATTATCATTGATAAATTGTTATCTATATGTTTCGTGTAGGTGAAGTTAATCTTCTTGCAAATATTGGTTGTAGTGAAGTTTTATTTAAAAAAAAACATTCGTCCATATCTCTTTTGATACTCAATCAAATTTATTTCTATTAATTTTTTGATTGCATGAATCGCGAGTCGTCATGAGAATGGTTATTCCATGCTTCACAATGTACTTTGCACATCTGACGACTTTGCTTCAATAATGTAAAATGAATCGATAATAATGATATACATATATATTTCAAATTAAAAAACACACACTTTTACAGGAGCATTTCTTTGTTTAGTTGTCATAAAATGATCAACGAAAATACGAAAGATAGAATACACAAAACTCTAGAAAAAAAAAGAAAATTGCTGCTTTTTGGTACAAATATTTTTCTTTTGTAAAAATGACATATATTGTGTTTATTATCACCATACCATGGGGTGAAAGAAAAAATAACAAATTCTAAATATCCGTAAGGTAATTTGCTTGTTATGTGTTCATGTCTTCTGTTGACTCTTCTTTAGTGAGTAACGATTCCATAGAAGTCTTATTGACTCAAATAACATAGTCAATCTCATTTCTAATTCCATTCGATTTTATCCAACAAAGAATAAATATCAAATCACTAAAATAAACGAAATTTTATCGCAGAAAAAACTTCAAAGATAATTTAACTTTTCATTAAACTAAATCAAAGAAATTTTTCTTTTTTCATTTTACAAAAATCTTCATCGAATATAAGTCAAATAAAATAAGACAAACTCAGCAAATAAATAGAAAATTGTCTTTCATGAAATTAATCAGACCCGAAAGATATAGACCATCATTGTTTGTCTTATCCTCTTACCTAGATTCGATCCACATCCTTCTGTTTACGAGTACTTCAATCATTTGAACTAATTTTTTCTTATTCTTTCTATTTATCAAATTAACACAATAATATATATATTTATATATATATATATCATACGAAGAAACGAGCAACGGTAAATATATTCGGTGTAAGAATAAATGAAAAAAACACAAATTCAATAGATAGAAAAAGAAAACGAGAAAACAAAACAAAACAAAACAAAAGATTATTCATTATTTATTCCTTCTGCACCTATACAGATCATATTCTTATTATTTATCATTCTCGAACATGTCAATAGTGGCCTGAGGATAATAATCAGTTCAACTAAAACCAAAAAAGCAATGCACACACACAACACACACACACACAGACATATGCACATTAAATTTTTATCATTTAGATTTTTCGGAATAGAACACAAGAACAAAGACGAATTGTGCGCACACACCGGAAGATGAAAAAAAACAAAAAACAAACGATTGTCAACATATTGAATAAATCTATTGATGGCAAATCACAGCAAAATATTCGAGAATAGAAATGGAATGTGATTAGAGATAAGGAAAGAAAAAAAAAGAGAGGAAAACATTTATGTTGACGATGATGTTGCTTGTTGTTGACCTGTTTCATCAATATCTTCAATAGATAATGAATTTGTTTCTAAATCATCATCTTCTTCACCATCGATATCTTCTTCAATATCATCATCATCATCAACATCATCTTCATCCGATAATTCACTTGAATCTTCATCATCTGTTGAATTTTGTGGTAAATTTTCATTTGAATTTATATTTAAATAAAATGATGATAATGGTATTGATGATGTATATGGAATTTGTGATAATGGATTTGTTATATTTCGTTCATTTTGTGTTGTTACTAATGATGGTGATGATGATGATGTTTGTGATAAATGTTTTTTCATATGTCGATCAAGATTTGTTTGTTGTCCAAAACATTTATCACAATGTGTACAACGAAATGGTCGTTCACGTTTATGAATATTTCTTATATGACGTTGTAAATTTGATGAAATGGAAAAACTTCGATTACAAAATTTGCATACATATGGTTGTTCTCGTAAAAATAAAAAATAAAACAAAAACAATAAGAATCTCTATAAAATTAAGTTTAAAAAAAAAAAAAAAAGTTAACTTCTGAAAGAATAATTTTGATTAAGATTTTTATATTAAAATATTCTCATGAATTAATCAATTAACGAAATGATTTCATTCATATAAATTCGTGTTACTTAACATTTCATTTCAATTGACTTTATTGAAATGAATATCCTAAGATTATTAACTGTTCAGCTGTCACATATATGCGATGTCATTAAATTATTGAATGATTTATAACAACTCAATTGTCCAATGGCAATCTAATGAAGTCTACAATATGTATCGAAAGAGTTAATTGTAAAAAGTTATCTAAATATTTATCTATAATGACTGTCGATTGGTGGGAAAACTTCGTCTTTTTTTGTTTTCTTCCAATCATATGAAAAGCAGAAAACGATAACTTCCTATTATATCTCAATTCGATTATCTAAATTACCATACAAGAATATGACCTATTAGGTAGGTAGGCTTATCACAAAAAACAATTTCAAGTGATTCAAAGCATTGGCAGGAGTAGTGGTGCTCCGACAAATGGGTGTCACACACATGTCGATTGTGGGAGATTTTTATTTTTTCCAAGTAGAACTGGAATTTTTGTTTTTGTATTCTGTTAAAAGAAAGATATTCTGTCTTTGCAAAAAAATCGCCACATCTCTCTTCTAACGTTGTCTGCTTCGAATCACCAATGTGCAGTGATGTTCCGAGAAGAAACTGACACTCCAATCTTGGCGATCTCCAGACACCCTTGATCTTCTGTGCTGATATTTTATCTATAAACAAGACTAGGAAGTCTACTAGAATAAAAAATTGTCTGTGCAAGATATGGCCAT